TATGTATGATAAAAATTACATTAAGGATGTGAGTTACTTTGGAAGTCACTCCTTAGTTAGGGTTACTTCCACATTTATCACTAATGTACAGTTAGTACATTAACTTTCTTTTTAAGGATGACAGGGATCTTCCCTTTTCTTTAAATAACTTTCCCCTTTTTCAAAGGAAAAATATTAATTTTCTAATGACATTTTGGTCAGGAGCAGTTACTGAGAGCGGTGGTTTTATGTAAGGATCTGAGATAAGTCATTCAATATTTATAAGTACCGGAATAGATCCTCCACAGCTGACTTACTAAAACCCCAAGGTATGATGCCTTTATAAAATGACTTCAGGCCATGACCTTCAAACTTTGGAATTCTCCACTGACATGGAGAATGCTGAGTAGTCTAATGGATCTCTGGGAAAATAGTATGCTTTAGATATTGTAAAATCAATAAATGCAACAGTCATTTAAGTGTGCATATTATATAACATTTGGTTAATTATAACTCAAATCCTTTAGAATATTTATCTTCCAAGTGGAATGCTAAAAATATGACTGAAGCACTTGTAAAAACAAAGTGCAGAAAAACACAGAGGATAGTATATATTTTTATTTGCTAATCATAACATTCTGAATTAGCCGTAGATTCTTTCATATACATCATTTTATGTACTATGAAATTATATCACAGAAGCAGTTTTGTTTCATATTAATAATAAAACTAAAGGGTTTAATATTACTGAGTTGCTTTTCTATTCTTGAGTTCAATAAATTCTATATTGAAAGTTTTAGCATTTGCTTCAGATGGCAATAGTTGATGATTGGTGTACCATAGCAAAAATGTATGTGGGGCACATATGTACCTCATATCAGAGTTGTATTGGGGAGAAGAAATTGCAAAATTATTATTGGAAAACTTTTTCAAAAATGCTATAAAATTTCTTAATTGCTTAAATATTTATAATTGAGAAAACAATCAGATTCAAAATTGTTTTTAATATCATTGAAAAATGTCAATAATTTTTGTTTATTGAAAATAATGGTAGAGTCTGGCTATTGATTTGGAGGGAGAGGTAACTCTAAAAAATGTCCCCCCCAAAAAAACTCCAAAACAAAAACAAAACAACAAGCCAGAAGGTGGCACATGCCTGTAATCCTATCACTTGGAAGGCTGAGATCGGAGAATTTCAAGTTTGAAACCAGTTTGGGGTACCTACTGAGACCCTATCTCAAAAGAGAAATCAAACAAACAAGGTTTTTAAAAAACGAAACACTCTAACTTACTTGGGTATGATTACCCAAAGTGTAAATGTCCATTGTTCTTTTTACTATATGATTTCTAATACACCTTTACCTAATGATACCTAGTTAAATACACCTGTAGCCTGGTAAAAACTTTTTCCATTTATGTAGTTTTACAAGTTATATAGTAAAATTGTCCTTTTTGGGGACGTATAAAAGTTTATTAATTTTAGTACATTTATAGAGGCATTTAGACGTCAACACTATTGCAATGTAGTTTTTTCACCCCTTCCCCTCTCATGTTATTCCTGTATATTCACACCCTCTTTATCCCCCTATACCCTGACAATCAGTGATCTGTTTTCCATCATAATTTTCCCCCATAGAAACGAAATATGGAATATAATGTTTTGATATTTTGGGATTTAAAAACATGTTTGGTGCTGGGGATTCAACCCAGAGTCTTATGTATGCAAAGTACACACTCTACTACTGAGCTGTACCCTAATGCCTAGTATAACTTTTTGATGTTGAATTCTTTCATCAACAAAATTCTGTTGAGTTTCATTGAACTAGATACACACACACACACACATGCACATTTTTGTTTGGTTTTGCTATGTGGTTTGGGCTGGCCGTGGGCTCACTTTGTAGCCCAGGCTGGTCTAGAACTTGCAGTGGTCCTCTTACCTCAGCCTCCTGAGTGCTGGGATTAGAGGAGTGTGCCACCACGCCTGACTGAAGTAGTTATATTTATTAGCAGTTTGTTTCTTTGCTAAATTTTTGGTTTAGCAAAGACCACTTAGATGTTATTTGACACTTAGATGTTATTTCTGATCTGATAAACTGGCCCTGTATTTTGATTATTTTTTATAATATGAATATTTTTTCATATCAGTTAAATGAGATATAGTTAATTTTTTCAACTGGAATTTGTTTTGTTTGTTTTATTTTTACGGTTTGTTTTGTTATAAAAATGCACTTATGTTACAAAAATACATTGTCAGTAAGTCATTTCTGGCTGTATTTGCATTTAGTACTTGCTCTGAGCAGACTTCTGCTTTTATATCTCAATCAGTTCCCTGTGTCACTTCATGCAGTCTTTATTTGCCAGCCTCCTGTGACTTTTTTCATCTTTCAAGTGTTTTTACTGGGTACTTTTTCTTTCTTTCTTTCTTTTTTTTTTTTTTTTTTGGTAGCAGAAATTGAACTCAGGACCTCATACTTGCCAGGCAGGCAGTGTGCTGCTGAGCTGGATCCCTGGACCCCTTTGATACATTTTCAAAGCTTATTCCACGTGTCTATTCTTCTGTTGTGCAATGGATGAAAATTACGGGTTAACACTCAGATCATTCTGAAGGTGTTTCATTGTCTTGAGGGGATTCTGTGTTATAAAATTTTATCAAAAGCCTTTTGCTTCTGTTATGTTTTTGGTGAGAGTCAATGTTTCAGGCTCTTTGCTTTGCCAGTAACATCCGTGTAGTCCCTTGACTGCAGAACAACGCTTGTTCATATAATTAGCAGTGAATTCCCATCTTGTATTCGTTCCACGGAGGAGACTCACAGCTTTAATTCGTAACTGCAGATCGCCACTTGCAAGCTTTACCGTGGTTTCCACCTCCACTAGTTGGTTTCTTTGCATTTTAGATGTTGCATGTGAGCCTCAGCTTTCCACTTTATCTTCTCTAATTTGCACGAGTATTTGTTTTTCCAGAAGAGCCTCTCTTTCTTTTGTGAATACCGTAAGTTTCGCTCACCAGCTCTGTCGTGTGCTATTCCGGGTGTGCTGCCGCTTCTCTACGTCTTCCGTCGTTCCGCCTGCTCTGCCTCAGTCAGAGCAGCAGCTCTGGATCTTGCCTGAGCGCAGTTCGCCCCCCCTGCCTGTGTGTGTGTGGTGGGGTTACCGGAGGCCGAATGCAGGGTCCGCGCTGTGGAGCTGCGTCCCCAGTGCTTTTTAATTCTGAGGTAGAGGCTAGCCAAGGTGCTGTGTTACCCATGAGCTCAAACTTGGGACTCCTTTGCCTCAGTCACCCTGAGGATGAGGGTTACGGGCAGGCACCGTCATGACTGCCTAAGTCTTTCATTTCAATAGCTTTTCTCCTGAGTATTGTTTTCCTTGTCAGTAGTGCTTGTTGCCTAATTTCATCTATTTTTTTCTCCTTAGCTAACTCAGCAATTTCTAATTTACCTTGCCTTTTCCCTTTAACATCTTGCCCTTCCTTTAGCTTCTGTATTGTTTTTATTTTATTTTTTGTGCTAGAAATCGAACTTAGGACCTCATGCTAGCTAGGCATTGAGGTAAGTCCTCGGTCTCTTCTGTGTTGTTTTTAAGCAGAACTTTTTTTTTTAGGTCAGTGAGTGGCTGTATAGCTAAACAAGGAAATTACAATATTTGTATCATTCTGGAAGTTATTATTTTACTGGGCCAATACGGTTTATGAAAAACAAAATTTGAAAGAGAAAAAATTAATTTTCAGAAATACAGTGAACTATACCCTTTCTTAATGTGAGTGCCAAATGACTTGACAGAAGTTTCTCTGCCTTTATTCCAAGCCTCTCCCCCTGCCTTTCTGGTCTGCTGAGAGTCAGATGGATGCCTGTGTGATCTGTTTCAGAGCCCTTGCTCCTAGCGTGCCCTCCTTTATTCCTTGGTTACGGTGGTGTGTGCATTGTAACCCACTCAAGCTTATGTGCACAAACTCTTTGCGTTGTAAAGGTAGTTTGATTCTTTATCTTGAGGGCCAGTCTCTTGCTTAATTGAGGAGCATTTAATGATTTTATCTTCCAGCTACTGAAAATCCAGAGGAACCCTCCTGGTAATTATATGTTTTGGCCAGAAATAATGGTGATTCTTGTACCTGTAAGAATTGCATAAATTTATACTTTATCACAAACTGAAGCAGTGGGTTAATGATAATAACTGGAGAGTGCTTCAAAAATCAAAGAACAAAACTGGTTGTGGCGGTACATGCCTGTAATCTCAGCACTAAGTTGAGGCAAAGTGTTGCTGTGAGTTCTTGGCCAGCCTGGGTTACATAGGGAGACCCTGTCTCAAAAAACCAACTAACCAAACAAACAGATCAAAAAACAATAAGCAATCCATAATTTATTAGTTGGAAGTATAAAGATAAAGCAGTTCTTGGTTGGTTTGTTTTGAGACATGGTCTCTCTATGTTGTTCAAACTAACCTTGAACTTACTATGTAGCACAGGCTGATCTCAAATTCATGGTGCTCCTCCTGCCTCAGCCTCCCAACTGCTGGCACTACAGGCCTGTGCTACCATGCCCAATTTAGCCGTTCTGTTTTTACTGACAGTTCACCTGGTAATCAGTTAGCAAATTAATATTTATATGTCAAGATCATTTAATATTTATAGTTTAAGTTTGTAAAATAAATTACATGGACTGAGTTCTGACTTCCAAGTTAAGTATAATTCATTTGTGATTTGAGGTCTTGCAATTAGGTCTAGTCCAGTGGTTTTTGTTTGTTTTGTTCTGTGTGTATGTGTGTGTTTGTGTTGTGGATTAAATCTAGGGCTTCTCTCATGTTAAACATGTGGTCTACTATTAAGCTAATTTCCAGCCCTTCTAATCCCAATTTTCATAGAAGCATTAGCAGAAAAACTGGCTTTACAGTACATTTTCTGTTTGGCTGCAATTAAAATAAATTTTGATGCAAACTATTTTTACATACTCTTGGACATATTGGCTTTCATAGATGACTTTGGTGAAGGCAACACATAACCATTTCTCCACTGTCATTGCCTTTAGATTTTAACATTTGAGACCAAGAACCCAACGGAACTAGCAGAACGTTTGCGCTCTGTTTGTGGAAATCAAAGTAATGCCTATGCCCGTCTGCTGGAATACCGCCTGAACGCCTTGCGAGGACTGTGGAATGCCCAGCGCCAGCTGGCCCTGGAAGAGCAGCATGACAGGGAAAGCTCGGGTGATGAAGAAACTTTGGCTCTGCTTAAGCGTCAGGGCCTGTTGCAGCAACCCGAGCAGGCGCCCTTCACATCACGGATGGGGCTCCTACTGGTCTTCCCCCTTATTCAGTCCCAGAGTCGAACAGACCCTTCTCTCTGTAACATAACTGCTGAGGTGCTATTGAACTGCCTTCGCGACTGCCAGCCTTTGAGCTTGACCAAGGAGCCTGCTGACTGTCTCAATGGAATTGAAACCTTGCTGTGCTCTTGGCTAGAGGAGACTTCGGACACAGGCCGACACATCCCACACAAGCAAAAAGAAAACGCTGCTGCTGCCCTGGTGGCGTTGGCATGTGCCAGGTGAGGAAAATCGGTTGTAACACCTGGTGACTGTGATTGGTCACCACACCTGGGCTGAGGGAGTGAGGAAGAGGCAAAGTGTGTCCGAGGAAGTCTGTACGTTTAGAAGGCCTTCTTTGTTTTCAGTTTCGAATTTTGTAGCCTTGACACAGAGTATGTGGGGCTTTTGCCAAATCTTGGCACCAGGTGCCCAAGCTGGAACTCAAGTTCAAATGTTGTCTTTCTGCTAGAGCATGATAACGGCTTAAACAGCGCAGGGTGGGAAACCAGCCCTTGCCATATCTGCCCACCCTCAGACTGCTGACGTTCTGTCTTAGGTAGTGTACAGAGGATGTTCTAGCTGTTCTTCTGGAAGGGTGGTCAGAAGTTTTGTGGTCCATTTACTTTCTTCCCCACCTAATAGAAGGAGTGCATCAGCAAGTTAGTGGGTTATTTCTCATTTGGACTCCTTCACAAGAGTGAGTAATAAATTATATTTTTGGCCAGGTATGGTGGCGTATATCTATAATCGCAGCACTTGGGAGGCAGAGGCAGGAGGATCACCATGAGTTTGAGGCCAGCCTGGTCTACATAATGAGATACCATCTCCAAAAAGAATTATAGTTTTGGGCCCCTGTGTTTACCTTCATTAGTGTAATTGAAGTATATAATCAAGACTTAAGCTGGGTGTCATGGTGCACTCCTGTAATCCCAGCACTCAGGAGGCTGAGGCAGGAGAATCATTGTAAGTTTGAGACTAGCCTGGGCTACCAAGTGAGCTAAAGACCAGCCTGAACTGCATAGTGAGACCCTGCCTCAAACACACACACACACACGCACACACACACACACACACACAAAAGATGTAATAGCGTACTGTCCTTCATGTGCTCCTTGATGTTACTGATTCACTGTGAATAGAGGAGGTATTGGAGGTACTTTACCTAAACAGGATTCAGACCTTTTCAGCAACCTATGTGATGCTGGCACATGTATCTGGGAGGGAATCCACAACCCTGGCTTCCCTCTAAGCTAATTACTCTAGAGACCAGTTAGGACCATAGTCTGACAGATAGTTTCACTACTCTCTTCCTCTTCCTCAAATTTTTGTTTCTATGTTATTGAGATCCTTTTTCAGTCAAGTGTATGTGGGAAAATTCTTCTTGGAGGATGATGAATTTTTTTTTTTTTTTTGAAATTCTTAGCTTATAAGGATTTTCTATTTTACCTTTGTGGTTTTAAAATTGACCTTCAAATGATTGAATTTCAAATTATTTTAAAGGTAAAATATAGCCTCAGTATTAATTGTCAGTTTCTTTGCTCTGAACAAACTGTAACAGCTTAGTTTTGAATTCCTGAAGACTGTAGTTGATTGCGGAAATCTTGACATGTGCTTAATTTGGAGACTTTGGGTGTTATTGAATTAGTTTTCCTTGGAAAGCCTTTAGATTTATTTTCTGCATATGCAAAAGATAATTCGAGCCCTAAGTAGATTTGTTATCAATGTAAAAATCCGATTTTGAGAAAAATTATCTTTACATGGTAGTACTCTTTAGACAATTTACTATGTTGAGAATATTCAATTCATTAGTTTCTTTTTTTATTTTATTTTTTTGTCTTTTTCCTTTTTATTCGGTACCAGGGATCGAACTCACGACTGCCTGCTTGCAAGGCAGGCTCTTATGCCACTGAGCTAAATCCCCAGCCCCAATTCATTAGTTTCAAACAATATAAATTATTAAACATTGCATCATAAAACTCACTATTTTGGGGCCAGGGATTTAGCTCAGTGGCATGAGTGTCTCCCTGGCAAGTGCAAGGTCCTGAGCTTGACCCTTGGTACCCACCTCCCAACAGCAGCAACAAAACTCACTTTTTTATTATGTCACCAATTCAATCTATATCCCAAATATTTATAGAAGTTGCTTTGTATATTTGAGATTCTAAACTCCATTCAACAGAAATGTGAAATGAATGTTTTTATTTTCTTCTTGGTTTTTTTTTTCTGTGATGGCTCCTACACTGTATTGTTAATATTATCATCTTCCGGGCTTTACTTACTCACGAGTCACTGCCTTTCAGCATTAGATCATCACCTTTCATGGAGTTCCTAGAGCATTGTTAAACTTGTGAGCTAATGTTCACAAACATGAAATAACTTTCCCAAGAGATTATTATGTAGATATTTATTCATCCAACCAGTGAACATTTATTTGTCTTACATCTTTGATATACAGGAACCTTGCCATGTTTTAGGCATAAAGTGATTTAAGATCTATAACCCTATAAAACTGATAAATTGAGTGAATTCAGAGTGATTCACTCTCCCAAAGCTTCTTGCTTGCTTACCCTACGTGAGGTGCTGTTCTGGGTGGTAAGGAGATAGCAGAGAGCAGGCAGATGACGATCCCCCAAATTGCAGAATGTATATGAGAGTGAAGTGGGTAGACAATGAACCAAAAGTACATATAAAAGGTAATTTCATAGATGGGCAGTATACAAAAAGAAAGCAAGATTTTGTTTTGTTTTTCGAGACAGGATCTAGTTATGTAGTTCAGGCTGCCCTTGAATTTACGGTGATCCTCTTGCCTCAGCCTCCCAAGAGCTGGGATTAGAGGTGTGCCTCACCACACCTGGCAGCAGTAGATGCTTTGATAGAGAGTGACCCTGCAGAGCTGGGGACAGCCTTAGCTGGAGTCAGCAGAGAAGGCCTTACTGGAGAGGTGGAATCTGAACTGGGACTGGGTGACGGGAAGGGTGGCCATGCTGAAGAGCAGTGGCAGACAGCCGTGCACAGGAGTAGCAGGGTAAAATGCTGACTCTGTGCGGGAGTAGCTGAGGGCAGATGCCAGGGGGCAGGGCTGCTGGAACAGACTGGTAACAGGAAGACGAGAAGGGATGAGGTGGTTGTGGCACAGGTGAGGGTAGAGGCTTGTGAGCCACGGAAGGAGTTGAAATTTTACTCTTAAAATATAATCAAGTGGCCGAGGGTTATAGCTGAGCAGCACAGCACCTGCCTGGCAAGCACAAGGTCCTGAGTTCGAGTCCCAATACCAAAAAAAAAAAAAAATCTAATCGAACCTGGCGTGACATAATTCATTAAAAAAGCTAATGGTCCCAAATTTTCTAAATGTTTTTACCCTTTTATTTGAATCTCCATCTTCCCAAGGGAAGTGTTCCTGCTGGGCAGATGAAGAAGCCAAAGTCCATAGGACTTAGATGACAGGCCGAGACTGCAGCTGTGAGCGGCCGTGCCAGGTTTCAGAGCCCATGAGTCCTGGCGCCCAATAGGTGCTTTTATATTGTGCGGCCTCCCTGCCTTATACCATTCTTTGGTTTGTTCTTTGAGCGCTAGAGATAGTGAAAGGAACAATTAAGAGGAGGCCTCTAGGCTGACTTGCTCCAGCAAGTATTCCATTTCTATTAGGCTGTAGGCACATGATACTTAGCAATTAAAACCTTGGCTAAGAGAATAAGGCACCAAGCTAAAGTCAGCCCATCTGATAGAGGCGATCACTTAGTTCGGAAGAGTTCTTGTGGTGATTTATACTTGGGATGTAGCCAGGTAAGTCTTGTGCGTCTTAAAAGCACCTTCTTTTTTAGATCTTGCTGACCGCATTACACACTTAGGAACCTCACGCGTTAGGAACCAAAAGGAAATCATTCTGCAGGTAAAATCACTGTATGCTACCCAGCAGGGAGAAGCAGAACAGTTCCAGCGCAAAGTATTAATTACTTGAACATACTCTTTTTAGTTAGATTGAATGTGACAGATTTCAGTGAAGTATTCTATGAAATGGAAAACTTAAATTTTGAAAAAAGCATGCCTGGAATTACTGTGGGACTTTAAATACACGGTTGCCATTTCCTAAGGTGTCTCCCCTCTAGATCAGAAAGTAAGTATCTAATACTCACAAATTCCTTGTGGTTGAGCCTGTGTTTCGAACTTCTTTGATGGGGAGACTATTTTCCTTTTCAGCGTAAGCAGCACGGCTGCTCTCCTGGCACGATGTCTTGCGCCGGTGGTGAGAGGTAAGAACCAGCGCACTTCGGACCAGCAGAAGTAGACAGGCATGTTATAGAGCCTTCTCACGTGCGTCATAAAATTGATTGACTTTAAACTTTGGTGCTTTTTCTTTTTCTTTTTAGGGGATCATTGAAAACTTTTGTCCACACAGTCCATCTGTTACAGAAGCAGACTGATCTAGGGTCCCTGCCGGTGGCTGACGTGCTGTATAGGTAAGTTGCCGCTTGTCACTTTGGGTTCTTATCCTTCCAAGCAAGGCACATTTGTACATAAAGCCTCTTATTGGAAGGATATTACTACACTGTGATCAATTAATGGTTCATATTTTTCAGTAAATACCGAATCATAGTTAACTTCTTTAGTATAAAATGTGACTTACCTGTCCTTCTTTGAAAGTGTTTCTAGAGCATATTATCTTTCATTCTTTTTTATTTTTCTGTCTTTAAGATGCAATAACTTACAATGAATCCTTATTGTAAGTTTAAGATGATAATGTATTAAGGTAAAGAGAATAAAGTTCAAAAGCATTCACGATCTCATCACCCAAAGGTAGCCCCCCAACACTGTGGTGTGCTTGCTTCCTAAGTCATGCCCCTCTCTACGTCTCTGCCTATCTGTCTCTCATACTTGTGTGTATGTAAAATACATATGTTTCACACATATAAAATGTATCATGCTATTTCTGTAAGCACTGCTTTGTAATTATTTTTCGTGGGATATGTTCAGATGTGAGACGATTTTGAAGGTGGGGGATAGGCCTCCGTTTTATAGCTGAAATGGACAATCTCAGCGCATTTACAACTCTCCTCTCCCTCGCATAGGTTGTTGCTTCTGGAAGGGGGGCCTGGATCCCCTTCCTGTTTGCTTGGGGGCAAACATATAGTATCCTGGGGGTATGAAGACATGTTGCCTGCGCCAGACAGCAACACAGGCTCTAGTTCTGAAAATAAAGGTAAGGCCCAAGTGTTTTCCTGGGGTTCAGATATCAAAGGAACAGTTTTGATCATAGTTTTAGATGCTTTAGATAACATTTGGTTTTTTAATTAAGAGTTAAAGATTCCCATACAGTGTGTTCATTGTCTTCTTTATCAGTATAAAACTGATACTCGGTGAGGTAAGAAAATGGATAGGTTCTGCTTTTACCGGGAAATGAGATCATCGTGTACTTTTGCTGAGGAGGAGGTGCAGATTCCTTAAATTTGTTCCTGGGTATTTGAGTTTGGGCATGGAAGCCTTCAGCAGCAAGTTTTGGTTGCCTAACAGGGTAGCACACCTTACTGCATGAGACTGTTTCTTTTAGTAATTTATCGTGTGTCCTAAAACCAAGAAATGAGAAGGTTCAAGTGTGTATGAACTGCTGAGTTACTGCTTTTAAAAAAGTAGGCTGAATTAAAATGTTTTTATGCAGTCTCATAGGATTGCGAGTCAGTTTATTCACTCTCTCAGCAGAAGTGGGCAGATTTCTTAAGTGACTTCCTGCACTTAATTGGCTTGCTAGGCGAATTACCCCTCTTCATTCGCTCCACAAACTTTCCAGTCTAATGCCGTGGCTGTGCATTGCTGGCTGTGGCGCAGCTGCTGGCTTACTCCCCAACCGGTTTCTTATTGTAAATGGCCCTTTAAATATTATTAATTATTACAATGCATTATACTATTACTGTATTGTTAAATATCACATATAATGGATGACAGAAACAACAGGGGGAAAAATATCGCAGGGGATTGTTTCCATGAAGTGGTTGGCAGTTGCAGAAAGACTGAACTGAAGGAGTCTGGAGAACTTGGCGCTCTGAGACCTGGTTCTACACTTCTTTTCCCTTCCCATCCCGCCTGGGGCCACCTTCCTGCACAGCCTAAGGGCACAGTTTGCAGCTTGAGCAGTGGCTACCTTTCCACTCTCTGCCCAGCACCTAGGCCCTTTCGCAGTCCAGCCTTTCTTCTAGAGATACTGAGAGGAGAGGCCAGGCCCTGGATGATTCAGGGCCTTCCCTGACTCAGCCAAGGTTAGCGGGAGGAGCGGGAAGTCCTCAGATACTGTGGGCTGCACCTCTATCGTCATGGAGAACCAGAGCCTTTCTCCCACTTCACTCCATGGGACAGCTCCCTGGGGTGCTTTCTTTTTGATGATGACAAATGTTTATGAAGCTTTCTGTGGAATACTGATTCCTTGGATCTAGCACAGTGTGACTTCTGGCTCCTCCCCAAGTCAGAATGTTCGGGAAAGGTAGATGTTTTAAGTCACCAGAAGACACTGAAGTGCACAGGACCACACAACTAAAGGCACTCATGAGAGGGTACTTTCAGAGTTGCTTCAGAACCTAGAAGGTGGCAAGAGGAATGGGCTAAGTGTGTTTTAAGTGAGGGATGGTGTTAAGCTGATCTGTGTACTTTTCACTTTTATGCCTTTGTTTTTCTGTCTAAATAGAGAATTTTTGGAGAATATTTTTCTTACAACAGTTTTTTTTGTTTTTTGTTTTTTGTTTTTTTTTTGGTCTTTTTGAGACAGGGTCTCGCTGTGCAGTTCAGGCTGGCCTTAGGCTCACTTTGTAGCCAGTCTGGTCTAGAACTTGCCACAGTCTGCTTGCCTCAGTCTCCATGCCCAGCTTTACAATAATTTTTAGAATGACTTTTAAAATTTATTTTTGAGACAAGATCTTGCTTCATACCTGAAGGCCTCAAATTCCTGGGCAGGAGGTCATCTTGCCTCAGCTTCCTGAGTTAGAATAATTCTATTTAACCTTTAGCATTGAAATGTTAAACATTGACAAATGTTGAGAGAACACTGTCATATATATTTATATATTTGTTGTTGTCTTTTTGAGACAGGGTCTCACTAAGCAGTTCAGGATGCCTTGGGCTCACTTTGTAGCCCAGGCTAGTCTCAAATTTGCAATGATTCTCCTGCCTCAGCCTCAAAATTAGTATTTTTTTAAGCCCACTTGAATAGATTATAGGTTTTTGAGTGTTAATTTGTTCGTTTGTTGAGAAACTCATTGGTGTAAGTCCCAGTCATCTCAGATTAATAGAATGAATTCTTAGTAGATTTAGTACTCATTTGATGGTGTGACACTAAATTTCCTCAAACTAAAATGACATTCTTTGGATAGAAAAACTCCCTTGGAATGGAATGCTGATAATCAATACTGAAAGTTTTAGTCATAAACCCTCTTTTAAGGCAAATTCTTGGGAATATAAATTAGTAAACTTAACTATTTTATAAGCTGTTTATTTTAGATTGGGAAAGACAAAGCGAAGGGGAAACAACTGCTGTCTTTAAAAGAAGAGAGAGAGTATACTCTCTTCCTGTTCCCTCCAGAACTAAAACGAGGACTTCTGAATGGAAACTCTGGGGAACACTGTAGCTCCACAAATACCAGTGATATATCGACATAATTTCACGTGCACTTTAGGGGGCGCTGGTTGGGTGCAGAGAGCAGCACAGGTGTGTCAGCTGTGTTATCTCGCTGAGCCGGCACAGTGTCCTGGAGGTGCAGTTTGCTATCTTGACATTGCACGTGAGCTGAAAGGTCAGAGAATTCCAAGGTCATTTAATGTTTCGGGCTCTTGGGAGCTCATGCCTTTTTATTAGGCAGTCATTTGTAAAAGTGTTGTATTCCTAGTCATTTCAGCTAAGAGTTAGGGGTGTTTACATTCTACTTTGGACTTTTGCTTTTCAAAAAGAAAAAGAAAATATCTGGCAGACTGAACGAGGTTTCTCTCCTAATAATGATCTGTTCCCTTTCCCTGATTTCACTCATTTCCTTGTCCTTTTTGGGTGTTTGATTTTGGGGATTTGAACTAATGTATCCTGAAAGTCACATTGAAACACCTTTTGTTTTTTAAGATGTTGAAGATTATCTTTTACCTAACTGCCTAACTGCTTTTTCATTTAGAAAAGGCATGTGTATAATTTTATTAGAAAAGGCATATATATGATTTACTTGTGAAAAAACCATTCCAGATGCTGACTTGGGACGCTGCCTCACTGCAGACGGTCTTTACCTGTATACCACTAACTCAGTTGGAAGAGGAGTAAGCAAATTGGGGTCTGGATTACACGGTACTCTCAGGTCAGTTGCATGGCACTTGGTGAATGGTTTGGCTGGAATGTTTTCCTCTTGTATAAATCTCTGTGAAGAAGACCTGGAGGTGTGTCCCGGTTCCCCATAGAATGGTCACTAAATAACTAGTCTGAACTAATTCAGATGATTCCAGTTTTTTCATTTTGCTATCTCCCTTCATCTTGTGCTGTATGTGCACTTTAGCGTTGTTGATTCTGAAGAGTTGGGGCTTTGTTTCCAGGCAGAAGTTTCTCTGTGATCAGATTTCCCTAACAGTATCAGTGACTTTTCTCCTTGTTGACATACGAACATTTTCCTAGTTACGGATTTTTGTATTTGGATTAGTAATGATTTTCAGTTGGGATATAAGGCCTATGAATTTCTGCCAAAAGAAACCACAGTTTTGGAGACTCATTATTTAGTGAGACATTTCCCCTACTTTTTCTCCTTAGTTCATTGTGGAAAATTAATATTTACCATTTTCAGTCCCAAAGTTAATGTAGTATAGTCACTCTTCAGATATTATTAGAAATTAGCTTTAAAAATGTTTGCATGCGCTGCGGGCTCTGGCAGGGCTGCAGGCGCAGCGTAGTGAAGCCTCCTGTGCGTTTCTCCCACAGGGGGTTTGTGTACTGCCGGAACGAGGAGCTGGAGCCCGGGTGGCTGGCCTTCGGCAGCGGCAGTCTTCTACACCGGCCTGTGTCTTTTGATAACAAACCTCACTCCCTTTTCCAGGTCATCGATCAGAACACCCTCCAGGTAAACAGAAAACCATAGCACTGTCTTTTGTATTTTGGAAGCTACAGTAAGGGAGTTCCGACCTCATCCAAAGCAATCCTAATGCACTGGGTGCATTTTCCTCCCAGGATGGCCTCCTTTCCATTGTTACAGCGTAGGCATTTGATTTCTTTAATGTCTTGCAGTTTCTGTACATTATCTGGGAGACTATGCTATTTACTTCTTAAGGGCCAACAGTAAACTTTCTCTGGTAGCTGAGGATGGAACCCAGAGCCTTGTACATGGCAAACACGTGTTCTACCATTGAGCGACATTCCCCTGCCCCAAACAAGTTGCTTTTTTATAATTAAAGTCTAGACAGTCAAAGATAGCATACAGACTAGCTGGGTTTTTTGCCTTTTATTTTTTACTTTTTTGGTACCGGGAATTGAACTCAGAACCTCAGGCTTGTCAGTCTGTACCTGGCACTGTTGAGCTATGTCCTCAGCATTTGCTTTTTATTTTAACTAGGTCTGCTTGGGGAAGGCATTTTCCTATTCAGTTTGCTCTAAACAGCCTCCGTGTAGGAAAAGGGCTTGCAGTGAGTCCTGGATAAATGGTGTGTTAGCTTAAGTGCTTGTCTGTGGGGCTCTCATAGCACTCCGTTATGGCACTCGCCGCATTATGCTAAATTACCTGCCTCTGTCTCACTTCACCGACCACACACACCTTTAGGTCTAGACTTGGTCTTACTCATTTGGAATAGTGCCTGACATGGAATTGATAATAATAGCGATACTTAAAGCTAGCATTTAGCAGCGTCTTTACATAGACTTGCTGTCTCTTCGGAAGAGGCGTAATTTGGTAAATTAATCTTGAAGATAGGACTGTGGAGTAAGGCACCTTGTAAGCGCTGATTGTTTATTCTTAAATGAAGGAATGAATCCCAGAAAGGTTAAATAACTTGCTCAAGGCCACACATCCAGCAATACCAGAACTAGAACCCACGATTCTCTATTATAGAATTTGAGCTGTTTATACTGCAACTTTCTGCTTTTTAAACAGAGCTGAATTGAATGTTTAGAGTTACCATCTGGGGAGTGAGTCGCCTGAAATTAAGTGGAGCCAACCTTGTGAGCACACCTGTAATCCCAGAGGCTGGGGGCTAAGACAGGAGTTCAAGGCCAGTTTGGACTACTGAGCAAGTTAAAGGCTGTCTTGGAATGTAACAAGATCCTGTCTTTTGAAAGTAAAAGAAGACTGGGTTTAAAATTTAATTAATTAATATGTATTTATTTATCTTGTCTTTTTGCAGTTCCAGTTGGCCTTGAGCTCACTTTGTAGCCCAGGCTGGTCTCTAATGCTCAACGATCCTCCTGTTTCAGCCTCCTGAGTGCTGGGATTACAGGCATGTGTCACCACACCCAGCATATTATTATTATTACTGTTATTTGTCTTTGAGACAGGGTCTTACTATGTAGTTCAGCCTGGCCTTAACTCACTATGTAGCCCGGGCTGGCCTCAAACTCACAGCAGTCTTTCTGCTTCAGTCTCTTTCTGCCACAGCCTCCCAAGTGCTGGGATTTCAAGCAGGCACTACCATCCCTGGCAAAAGAAAAGAATTAAGTGGACTGTGACATCACTTTTTGTTTGTCACTCAAGTATATCTTCCCCAGGGAACAGGGACTGAGTGTTGTTCACGATTGTCATCTCCAAATCCTCTAGTGGGTGCTCGGTAATTGTTTAATGAATGAAATGAATGAATAAGCAAATAGAGGTCCAGTTGACTTAACTGCTTGTCACTGATGCAGTCAGATGAGACTGTCTTATGTTTAGATGAAACAGGAGATTAAGTATGGAGCGAAACAGACATTAAATCTCAGAATGTGGTTTACATTGAAGCAGCGCCAGTTTACTCTGTGTTGCTGCTGAAACTTTTTGAAAGCGTCCCAGGAAGCAGTGCTGCAGATCACTAAACAACGTGCATTGGGAGCAGCTTAGGGGTGATGTAGGCCAGGCAGTAGCTGTCACTTTCTAGATTTAAACCAGTTAAGTTTCTATTACTGAAGTGGACAAAACAAGTTTGGGTAAAATCTTGTGAGTTGGAAGATCAGAAGTTGCCTTAGGACAGCTAGCAAACACATCCTTTCCAAAGGATGTAGTGATGGAGAGACTGGCTGATATTTCTGCTGCCCCTAAGGATACTTAACTCAGGAGGTTGAAGCAGAAGGATTACTGCGAGTTTGAAGCCAGCCTAGGCTACATAGTGAGTTCAAGGCCAGCCTGGACTACGTAGTGAGACTCTGTCTCAATAAAAGGAAAAAAGATGTAATTCATTACCTTAAGTTTTTTTACTAGGGAAATTTTAGAACATACAATTTCCTCTAAAACTTTGTTTTTTTTTTTTTTTTTTGTCTTTTTCGTTTTTATCGGTACCAGGGATCGAACTCACGACTGCCTGCTTGCAAGGCAGGCGCTTATGCCGCTGAGCTAAATCCCCAGCCCCTTAAAACTTTGTTTTTAATAAATGTTAGGTAAAATACCTACACATAGGGCCAGGGATTTAGCTCAATGGCATAAGCACCTGCCTGGCAAGCACAAGGTTATAAGATTGATCCTCAGTACCTCCCCGCAAAAATACACGTAGCAGATTCAAAAGTGTTTAGTAAATACTTTTTCTTATTAAAATGTAGTTTGAGGCTGGAGATACAACTCAGTGGTAGAGTGGTTGCCTACCATGTACAGGGCCCTGGATTCAACCCTCACTCAGCACTGCTACCACCACCACCACAGAAAAAAAAAGTAATCTGAATTACTCTAAATAACCTTTTCCTCTGTTTCTGGCTGTGCATATTTATGTTTCTACTCACTTTTGAACTTTTATATTCTCACTTTCGTGTATTAGAGATGAGGGACAGGAGATTAGGAAGCCTCCTGAATCCTCATGCTGGACTAGCCTAACAGTGACCGTGTACTTAGCCAGAACGTCTGTGTCGCTCTAACGGAGGACTTCTCCCTTTCGTGTCCAGGTGTGCCGGACGGTGCCCATGCCTGCCAACCACCTCCCTGTCGGCAGCACCGTGAGCACGGTGCACCTCTCTTCAGACGGCACTTACTTCTACTGGGTCTGGTCTCCTGCTAGCTTGAATGAGAAAACACCAAAGGGACATTCTGTCTTCATGGACATTTTTGAACTTGTGGTACGGTCTCCTTTTGTGTCTTTGCAGAGACATTTTTATTTGCTTTCTTTTTATACTAATGCACAGAGGTCCCAAGATCCTTGCAGCACACATAGTGTATTTACTGTTCCCTGAACATAGATTTTCCTCTTGGATGTCTGTGAAGGGTTTTTTGTTTGGGATTGTATGGCATAAGGAGGACCAAGGTTTTAGATGGTAATTTGGCAAGAAAGGAGATAACATTATGGGATGTGTTAAAAGGGGACTATTTAGGTAGGAATGCTCATGGGGTGTTGGAAATGTGGGACTCAGTTGTAGTAGCAGAAGGACTCTAAAAATAGAAATTGAGAAACTCCAAGAACAGTAACAGTAAGAGTACACTTCATTCTTCCCCCGGGTGTCAGCTGGATGCTCGCTAGGGGCCGGGCAGCATCTTCCTAGCTGGTGGCATGTACTGATGGGCAAAGTGCGCAGATTCCTGCTCAAGTTGGACTTGAATTCCAGCTCCAGGGTTGGTTGGAGTGATAGTGGTGGAAAAAAAATATATAACCATAGACAAGTCAGCAAAAAGTGACAAGATGGTTTTAGGCCGTGAAGAAAAGTAGTGGTGCCAGTTAAAGAATTTGGAGAGCAGGCAAGTGAAGAACATACCAGGGAGAGAGGACCTCAAGGCAGAGGTAGCCACCGAGCTGAACATAGAGGAAAGGGCTTGGGGTTCAGCTCTGGAGCCCAGGTCCAGATCTGTGCCATCCACTGCACTGTCTAGTGCATAAACTACCCAGCCACAAGTGGCTGTTTAAATTTCAGTTAATCAGAATTGAATAAAATTAGACCCTTAGTTGCTCAGTTGCATTAGCCACATTTGAAGTGCTCACTGAGGCTAGCTGGCTGTCTACTGAATACATACCATAAAATAGAGAACATTTCCATCGCTGTAGACAGAGATGGTCTAGATCACATTTACAGAAAATTAGAAAAAAAATGTCCTGAAGCCATATCTGTGACAGAACCAGTTTTTCATAGTATAATTCACAACATCCTTCTAGGAAGAAATTAGCATGGTGTAGGGAGGGGCACTATACTGTAATAATTCTCTAATAAATCTTAGTGGAGTTAACATTGTTCTGGGAGAGCAGTCATTCGTCCTGCCAGCACCCTGTCCGTCAGCAGGCACGGCCTTCACGGTGCCTTCTCTTCTCTTGCTCGCTAGTCGTCATCTTTGGTGAAGGATCCTGCCATAGGAGGCTCTGAATGAGTTTGCTAGATACTGTATTATTTAAACATGTGTTCATAGTTGTCAGAAAAGCTTTATATTGTTATTTATTCTAAACAGACTTATAGCTCAATTAAAGAATTTATGGGTCTTTATCTGAAGAGCAAGGGGAACACTGAAAAATCCCCCATTTTCCTTCACGTGCTTTGGCTTTTTAAAAATATGTGCTTTGCTTTTATTAAATTAAAAGAAAAAATTCTACCTAAGAAATCCACACCCATGATTTAAAACAGCACACAGAGACTCATAAAGTGAGCTTCCTTTGCTCTGTTCCTCTGGCCAGCTATCCATAGTCGGTCACCTTCATGGTTTCAGCTTTCAGTTATTCTGTGGGTTACTCTTCTCTCTAAATAAAATACCTATGCTACTGTTTCTTGGTTGATGAACTCCAGATTGGGGGACAGGCAGCACTGACAGATGAAGATTTGCCTAAATTCCTCCTCTTTCTTTTCTTATAAACCCTAATGCACTTATTTCATTTACTTTGTTATCTTGGTACCTTACTTTACTGGTATAGCATTGTTTCTTTTTTTTTTGTCTTTTTCCTTTTTTATTGGTTCCGGGGATTAAACTCACGACTGCCTGCTTGCAAGGAAGGAGCTTATGCCGCTGAGCTAAATCCCCAGCCCTCACCATTGTTTCTTGTACATTAACACTAGACGCTGTCTTTTTGTCCCTTACTTTAGAAGGTGGAAGGGTAGTATCCCCTCCTGCTCCTCAGTGTGGCGAAAGCCACAGGTAGCAGTGAGGAGAACACCGGGAGGAGGAGGGGTGGCTTGTCACCACTTCCCCTTAGAGCATCACAGGGCTGGAGATCTCGGATACTCACAGAGACTGAAGGTTTTCATGGAGGCCTCTCAGTCCCTTGCGCTCACACACACATATGCTCAGATGCTGGCTGCTTAGGCAGAAGACTAAACATTTATTTTCTGAAGAAACTGAATTACCCCACAGGAAAAGGTCTGTGTACATCGATACAGGGGTTTGTCTAAGGCTGAGACTTGTCTCTCTGGTGAGTCGCTCTCAGTGCTGTCTCCCAGTTAGCAGGACTTAGCCATGTCCACAGAGGTCCTTATCATGTTGACTGTTGAAACAAGAGCAGACAAGCAAAATCCCAAACATCCCTAACTTTGGCGAGGCATGTATGTAGAAGGGAAGGAGGAGAAAATAAGGCTGTCAGATTACTAACAATTATGAAGCTAGGTAAGGACACTCAGAAAATACGTGCATCATTCTTTTCTCTTTTGTGTTTATCAATTGTTTTCCATAATAAAATGCTTCAAACAATCAATACTTACCGGGCAGGGGAGATACCACATCACAAAGGTGGTTTTCCCAGGGCGCGGCTCATCCATTGCACTCCAGATGTGCTGACCCCTGGGATTTCCCCAAATGTGGGAAACTCGACTGTGTAACATGTGGTAGTGGGGGGCTGCATTTGTGCTTTCCCCTAAAAAAAAAACACCAAAAATCCTCAAAGAATTGACAATCAGGGTCGCCAGACAAATGAGGAAATGCTCTAATACGAAAACTAAGGAAAAGCAACAGAAGAGATAGTGCAAAACTGTATCAGAGTGCTGTGTGAGATGCGAGGTGGCACCACCTGTGTGACAGGGTGTCTCAGGAAACTGTCAGAGCAGGAGAGAGCACTGTGATTACCCAAAGCTAAAAGTTACTAGGAGAGTTAAATATACGTCCTGGGAAGTCAGACAAGTAAAGAAAGAACAATAAATATGAGAGAAAAAGTAGAAGGAACAGTGGAATAATCTAGCTATGTTCTTGCAGATAGGAATTCCAAAAAGAGAAGAGAGAAAATAAAAGAGGGTGATATGATCAAGAAATAATAAAAGAAAAATTTCATACTAAAATATTTGCTTGTGCTGGGTGTGATGGTGCGCACCTGTAATCCCAGTCCTCCCGAGGCTGAGGCAGGAGGATTGTTGCAAGTTTGAGACCAGCGTGGGCTACAAAGTGAGCCCAAAGCCAGTCTGAACTGAACAATGAGATCCTGTCTCAAAAAGGAAAAAAATGCTTGTATCTAGAGTTAAAGGTATGTAGCAGAAATGGAAAATACCCATGCCATGATACATCATCATGAATTTTTAGGTTACTTGGGTTAAAGAAGCTTTCAGAAAATATTTTTTTTAAAAGAAAAAGTGGTTTATTTTACTTAAGATCTGCAAGTTCCAGTTATATGCAAATGACAGCTGGTTTTTATACAGACCCTCTGTCCCTTTACCCCGTGAAAGTAGTTTTTTTCTTTCCTGAAGACACCGTAGGATTTCTTTCTTTTTTTTTTTTTTTGAAAGTAGTAAAAATGCAACAGCACGAGACAGAACAAAGCCAATTGAGACAATGCAGTGAAATTGGTACAGGATTTCACAGTAGGATACTGGGATAGTAGTAATACGTACTATGGTATATCTCTTTAACTTCACCATAGTTGTCCAGTCAATTAGGTACAGCAAAATCAAACCAAAAATAGAACATTATGAAACCAATTGAGACTACTGAATAGAGCAAAAGAAATATAACAAAACAGTGAAAACAGCCTATGCCTTCAAACAGAAGATAGAAGGAAATCCATATTTGCTATACTGCATGTGGTCATCCTCCCAAAAGATGCTGAGACATCCATGTCCAGTAGCTATGGGGGGAGGGGGAGGGGCGCGCGGGGGAAGGGTGCTTGATTTTCAGCCCGCATCGCAGTGGGCTCACAGGTAATGGTTCTCCTCCCGGCCCACGCTGCAGGCGCTTACCAAGAGGGCGGGTGGATAAGCTGCCTGAGTCCCACCGTGGCCAGATCTCGGGAGTTGTGGGTCTCCTCCTGGCCCTTGCCCAGAAAGTATTTTTTAAAGTTATATGCAAATGGTGAGGAAATAGAAAAGCACTAGGTTATTCAACTGCATTTGTGTACGCAAATAATGGAGCAACACTTGCAAAGTTCTGAGGGAAATTGATTTCTAACTCAGAAGTCAATATTCAACCAACGTATTAATCAACTGTAAAGACAACGTAAAGATATTTTTAGGCATAAGTTATATAATCAGAAGCCCATATCTGCCCAGCAAGAAATGGAACAACTAAAATAGCCCCTGCGCACAGCATGAAATAAAAAGTTGAGGAAGAAGGATCCTGCTCTAGGTTAAAAGAAGTACCTTTGAATCAGTTTTGGAGTCTGAGTCAAACAATCCAACTGTTAAAAAGTACCTTTGGAGACAATTTGAAATTTAAATATAAAAGTATTTAGAAGTATTAGATAAAACCAAGGATTAGAGCCAGGCATGGTGTGCATGCCTATAATCCAAGCACTTGAGAGGCTGAGGCAGGAGGATTGTTTGAGAACAGCCTGGGTTACAAAGTCAGTTCAAGGCCAGTGTGAACTGCATAGTGAGATCGTATCTCAAAATAACAAAAATGAAACAGAACCCCCCCAAAATAAGGATCAGTCTTAATTTATCTTTTTTTTTTTTTTTTCTGTGCTGAAAATCAAACTCAAGACTTTGCACTTGCTAGACAGGTGCTTATGCTACTGCGCTATATCCCTGGCCTTTTAAATTTACTTTTTAAGTCTAGTAATGAAATTATGGTTACATAGGAGAATATCAGACATTTAGAGACCTGTAGTGAAGTATTCGGGAGTAGAATTACATGGTATCTGGAATATATCCTAAAATATTTGAGCAAGCCAGGTACAGTGGCACATACCTCTAATTCCAGCTTCTCGAGAGGCTCAACTTCATCTGCAGCCTGGGCAACTTAGTGAGACTTTGTCTCAAAATAAGGAAGTAAAAAAGGATAGAGATGCTTAGGGTGGGTCAAGAGCAGGCAGAAGAGGATTGAAGACAAGGAAGAGGCAGGTGCAGAGGCTGGTCTGGTGAGGAAGGACAGAGCAGGTGAGGAGGAGAAAGGGAGCGGTGGGAGGTGAAGTGGCAGAGCTCGTCGAGCTGTCTGTGGGCCTTGCGAGGTATCTGGATTTTATTTGAGACAGTCTTTGGTTTGGTTTGGTACTGGGAATGGAACTCAGGACCTGGCCCTTGCCAGGCAGGTGTGTACTGCTGAGCTACATCCCTGGCTTGAGACGTTCTTGGAGAGTGTTGAGCAGGCACGTGATGGAATCTTGCTTTACAGGTTCATCGTAGCTCTTGGATGAAGGGTAAAGATGGATTTAAAGACTCTTAGAAACTAAGCAAACCTAGAAGCAATCCAAAAAGGTGAACCTAATGTTGTATGAAGTGTAGAGATCTTACTTGGTTCCTGAATCAAGCAGACCACTCTAAAAAGTAGTTTTGAAAAATTGGGGAACTCTAAAATGGGGTATATTAGCTGATGTCAAGAATCATTGTTCATTTTGCTGGGAATAATTACATTGTAGCTATTTAAGAAAATTTTTCTATTGTATAGTGATATGCGTTGAATATGTAAGGGTGAAATGACAGTGTTTGGAATAGATGAAAGTATGGCAGAACACTGATGAATGAATGAATATTATTTGTTCTTTTTATATATTTTTGTATTATAAAAGTTTTCATAATAAACATGTTTTTTGAAAGAAGGCAGTGAGGGGAGGAGCAGGAAAAGAACAAGCAGGAGGCCTTTGCCGCAGACCAGGTGAAGAGAGCGGGCGCGGGGCAGCAGCGGTGGAGGGTGGCGCAGGGTGAGCAGATGCATCCCGGTGACCATCCTTTCATGGTCCCAGTTACGGCACACAGCCGCCAAAATTACCTGTGGTTTCTTGTAATGCTAGCACTTAAAGCTTTAACTAACTGCCCCTAAGAAGATAAATATGGTGGCTTTCATTTTTAAATTTACAGTTTATTTTTCTCTAGATCTTCAAAACAGACCACCTTTTAGTTTTACAGTAAAAAAAAATTAACATTAACATTGAAAAACTGGGGGTCCTTGACACTGTTCTTTCGCTGTGTCATTATTCATGGACCTGTGAGTCGAGTTGGACTGCACGTTAGGCCTGGACCTCCCTGACTTGGTCACTGCTCTACAGGGTGCACCCTGCTCTGGAATCTTCTGCAGCTCTCTTTTTGCTTCTCAGAGCACTTTTCTCACCTCCTACTTCTATTTTGTTCTGAGAAGTCTTCTGTCCTCGTGTGCTCTCTATAAAATGCTGGCTTTTAGCTGGTTATACTCAGTGACAAATTGTTTTTTTTTAATTTTTTTTTGTCTTTTTCGTTTTTACCGGTATCAGGGATCGAACTCACGACTGCCTGCTTGCAAGGCACTGCGCTAAATCCCCAGCCCCTCAGTGACAATTTTTTTTGTTGTTATCTTCTTTATGTTCCTTCTTGAAGATATGGTCAGCACAATAATGGACACACTTGTCTCTTTCCCCTCTTCTCCCTAAGAGTTTATTGTTTTCTTTAAGTAATGAGCCAAATGATTAAGTTAATCTTAAGTATGTTCCTACTATATTGTCTTCTGTGGGAAACAGGTTAATGAGCTTTTAGTTATTTTTATCAGTACCCAGGGATCAAACTCACGACCGCGTGCTTGCAAGGCAAGTGCTTATGCCACTGAGCTAAATCCCCAGCCTCAATGAGCTTTTATTTTTATGGGACTTGTCACAGTTTGGGCAGTTAGTAAGGAAGTAAATAATAAGGGCACAATAACCCGGACTAATGATCAACGCTGGGGAAAAAGAGAACTGAATACCATGGTGGTGGTGGGTGAGGAAGGGACCCTGTCGAGTGCCTGGTGAAGCTTCTCAAGGGAAGACACGTGGGCTGAGACCTGAGTGATTGGAAGCAGCCACCAGCCTGACGGGACCAGCTATCCAGTTTGCTAGGGCAAAGACGCTTCTTAGGACATGGGATTTTCAGTGCTAGCCTTCACATAGTCCTAGGCAAGCGGCACTGGCACGTTGTCCAGGAGGAGGGACCAGAAGGGAGAGGGCCTGGAACCAGGAGGCAGCTGTGCAGGTGGTGGGAGACAGGCCAGGGTGGCGGAAACTACTGAAAGGGTCAGCAGGTGCTGGTGCTCGTGGCCCAGCTGCCAAGGGCCAGAGTGGTAAACAGGGCGGGATGAGTGTTTCTAAGTGGTCGGCGGCCTGTGTGTGGCGAATAAAGGGTGGCAGTGCTGGGTGGCAGTGGGAGACCGCTGGGAGCTGCTGCTGGCCTGGAAGAGGGTGGCCCCAGAAGCACGCCCTTGGCACCCTAACGCTGCGTTGCCTTTCTCCGCTCTGCTCTTGACCCTCCTAAATCGGTAGCTTTTATCTCTACTTCACTGAGGAGAGCTTCCTGGCACAGGGGCTACTCTTGCACCAAGCTCAAGTCCTTCATTCTTCGTCACTTTTCTTTTCAGGATTTCAAAGTACTCAAGCAAGTACAGTAAGCAAGTTTTTTGTTCTGTTTGTTTTCTTTATCCATTGAATTTCTTACAGGGCGGATGGGTAATGCTTTCGAATGCCACGCTTTAAAGAGATTGATTTTATCTGAGGTTCCTTTGAAGGGTTATATTTAGAGCTGTGTAGCAGAAATGGAGCTGTGGCTGTGGAAGGTTAGTCAGGCAGAAGGGTGGGGGCAATGCAAATGCGGACAAAGGGGAAGTGTTACCTTTTAGGGGACAGGAGGCTCTTCAAGTAGAAATGTCAGCAGAAAGGGCTGGGGCAGTTAAAAAAAGGGGCAACTGGACCTTAGTATTAAGGATGAGTCTGCAGATAAATGTGAGAGTGCTTTAAACTCTCCTTCCAGAGAGGGGGAGTTGGATTTGGGGAGGGCCTGGAGTTGTTTATGCAGCAAGGCACTGAATGCCTCCCAAGGGCTGAGGCTGTGGTGAAGGAGGAGGCAGGATCCCTGCTCCAGGCAGCTGCCGTGGGTCCGGGTGAGGGCAGTACGAGGGTGAACAATGAATGGGCTAATGTGCAAAACCATAGAGGCGAACTGAAAGTCCTGTGTACACCCCAAGCATGTTGTACTCTGGCCTGAGGGATGGGGACAGGTTCCTTTTCAGATTGGTAATCAGGAAAGGCCTCTTTGAGTAGGTCACATTCTACCTGAAACCTCAAGGATGAGAAGAGCCAGCCCCAAGGAAGGGGCAGAGTGTTCAGGCAGAGGTGGAGGTGTGGAGCCAGCAAGCGAGAGGAGGGGTCAGTAGCACACAGGTCAGTGCCCCTGTGTGAAGAAGGAAACAGACTGGATTCATCAAGACTGAGGAAGGGAAGTCTGAAAAAATCACGGGAAAGGCCCACGGTGTTGGTTTTAGGTTACTGGTGGGCCATTAGGAATATCTGCCCAGTTGGGTGTGGTGGCACACACCAGTAATCCCAGCACTCTGGGAGGCTGAGGCAGGAGCATTGTAAGTTTGAGCTCAGACCAGCCAACTTAGTGAGACCTGTCTCAGAATTAAAAAAAAATGGCTAGAGATGTAGGTAGTGCAGAAGGGCTGAGTTCATTCCCCAGTACTGAAAAAAAGCCTGCCTTTTGGAGGGCGCTGAATTTAGAGACCAACCTCAGGGTTAAAGTAAGACGCAGAAGCAAGGGAGCAGGAGCAGGATTCTGGGACTCTTGGCTTTCCCCGTCCTTGTGAGCGGGTCTTTCCTGGCCTGCTCCTGATGCCCTTGCTTCCTCTGGCTGGTTCTCTACTACCAGCTCTTCCTGTGGACTCCAGCCTTGCCTCTGCTGGCCTTGCCTCTGGAGACTCACCCCGAACCCGAAACCGGCATTCCCTCTGTCTCCTTGTCCCACGGAGGCAGAGCAGTGCTGCCAGCTCGCTGGTGGGCACTGCCTGAACCCACCACGGCATGCAGAGACCATGAGAGATGTTTGCGACCCTGGATGAAGACTGGAAATAGAAACATGGGTGGAATTTTCTCGGAATACCAGGTCTTAAGATTCCTGAGACTCATGAAGTGAAGGCAAAGAGAAAAGGAGGTCAGCAGAGAGGGAGACACTCAGACCATGTGAGGTGAGGGAGCGGAAGGGCAGAGAAGTGAGCTGAGTTTGCAGACCTGGGTTAGAAGCGCTCAGAGGAAGGAGCTTGAGTGGTCCAGGTCCTTTCAGCAGTGAGGCAAAGCCAGGTGATCTGCCAGAGGTCAAGCCACAGATTGGTGGAAGGATTTTGGCATCGCCACTCCAGAGATATTGCTGGGGAACAATTAATAAGTGAAAAAGCTGCCACGTCCCAGGAAGGGTGCAGCTGAGGTGGTGTGTATTTATAGCAGAGCCTGCCTTGCTCTAGGATTGCTGTGCCAGGGCTGAGCACCCAGAGCGAATGTTAACTGCTGTTGATTTACAGTTTGGGTTTAGCCACTAATTATATTTTAAGAAGGCATTAATCTCATAGTTGTCCTGAGCAGTAAGTCAAAGACTGATTTGTTTTCCGCTCATCTTATTGTGTATCTGTCAGAGGCTCATAGTTTGTATATGCTGTCAATGGAACTCAGGAATTTTAATCAACAACTTTGTGTAGAACCTATTAAAGATGGATCCTTATATTTGGGGTATGATAAAAAGTGAAAACTCACAAACTTAGCCCGGCCTTCATTTCATCTGCGGCCATTTCTATGGAAGACTTAAGTTTTGAGGGCTAAGTCTCCTTAGGTGCAGTTTTTGAACTGTTTTTTAAGCAGCTACATCATAATAATTTCACGTAAAAGTTTGCTGCCTAAATAGAAACAGACATCAAGATCTGTTTTCTTTTGATATCAGGTTGAAAATGGTGTATTTGTAGCCAACCCTCTTCAGGAACGCACAATTCTAATGAGGAAAGAAGGGGAGTCTGCCAAAAGCATTAATGAGATGCTTTTGAGCAGACTCTCTCGGTACAGAGCTTCGCCATCAGCGACCCTCGCAGCCCTGACTGGCTCCACCATCTCCAACACCTTGAAAGAGGATCAAGCAGGTAGGTTCTCTGTGCTTCCTCGTCTGTCTCCTTGGATAGCTCCATCCAGCAGCTTTTTGTTGAGTACTTACTCTGTGCTGGAGAAAGTATCTCTCTTTGCCACCTTCACCTGGTACAATCTTCTAGTCATTGTCCAGTTTTTTATTCCAAGTGAATACCTGTTGTAGATCATAAACACTAATTCATATGAATAAATAATAAATTTTTTTTTGGTATCAGGGATCAAAGTCACCACTGCGTGCTTGCAAGGCAGGGACTTGTGCCGCTGGGCTAAATCCCCAGCCCAAATAAGTAATAATTTAAAGCAGCTAGGGACAGGGGAAATAGTTCAGTGGCACAGCATCTGCCTGGCAGGTGCAAGGTGCTGAGTTCAATTGCTGGTAATGGAAAAAAAATTAAAACAGCTGTCTTTACATATGAATCTCTTATCGTCATTACTGTTAACACACATTCATTGATTCATGGTTAGCTTTGTGCTTCATGAATGCAAAATATTTAGCATTATCCTCACGAGATACTGGAGCAAGCAAGAGACAAACTTGTACAATATACCATTTAGAGTTTATCATTTAGTTTCTCTGATTTAATGCTTAAAATAGATGATACATTTATCACCAAAAGTAAAAACAGTGTGATGAACTAATAGCTACTATCATGTTAATAACACTCTGTTGACTAAACACATCTTGGTGAAAGCATCAGGCCTATTTGCAGGAACGTCTTAGTTTCATCATGTTACACTCTTCCCTCTCTAGTTAACTATAATTATTAATTTTGTCTTTCCAGGATTCCGTTATTTACTTTGAAAAGTAGTATATTGTATACCATATTCTGCACTTTTTTTTTTGGTACTAGGCATTGAACTCAGGACCTCAGCTTATCAGGCAGATGCTACGCTGCTGAGTCTTATCCTCAGCCTCTGTTCTGTGCCTTTAAAGCAGGAATTTCTTACTCGGAGGAGTTTCTAATCAGGACAAGCTTTTAATGCACTCGTAAATGTGTTTCCCCAGCTTTAAACAACGTTTTATATGTGTTCGTCATAACTTTTGTCAGATTTTTAAACTCAACCATGCCCCAAAAATGTTATGAATCGTTATTCTAGAAAACTTTACAGATTGCACCTAACCACATTGTCTTATAACAAACTATAAACTGCACTAAAAGATAAATTTAGAAAAAAGATTGCTGGGGGCTGGGGATTTAGCTCAGGCATAAGCACCTGCCTTGCAAGCAGGCAGTCATGAATTCAATCCCAGGTACCGATAAAAATGAAAAAGACAAAAAAAAAAAAAAAGATTCCTTCCAGTTATGGTGGCACATACCTGTAATTGCAGTATTTAGGAGGCTGAGGCAGGAGGATTGCTGTGAGTTTGAGGCCAGCCTGGGCTATATAAGTGAGTTCAGAGTCAGCCTGAACTACATAGTGAGACCGTGTCTCAGAAAAACAAAACAAAACAACCAAACCAATAAAAAACAGGGCCAGGGATATAGCTCAGTGACACAGCACCTGTCTGGCAAGCACAAAGTCCTTAGTTTGATTCCTGGTATCAAAAAAATAAAAAACAAAAAACAGCAAAAACTTAAAAAAGACTCTATATATAGAAAAAATATCTGAATTAATATGAATTTAATGTAAATCCTTTGCTATTTGCTGGTTCAAATGCTAGGAAGAGAAAATACGTGTGGTTCATTTGTCATGAAGCTATTGTTATTAGTTCACTTTAGAATTTAAGGGTAATGTGGTATTCCCACAAGCCTCTATCATAGAAAATGGACGTGAAGATTAGTAAATAAATGTTATAATTCGAGTTACAGGAAACACGTTATACAAGGTAGTTCTTTTTAGCTAAGAAATGTTTTTTTTGTTTTTTTTTTTTTTTTTGTCTTTTTTTTCTTTTTTATCGGTACCGGGGATCGAACTCATGACTGCCTGCTTGCAAGGCAGGCGCTTATGCTGCTGAACTAAATCCCCAGCCCCTCTAAGAAATGTTTTTTATGACAGACTGAAGTCTTGCTCTGGGTTTGTCCCTTGAGAAGAAATTAAGTGCTACCTAAACAGTGGAAATGCTACAGGAATGTTCATTGGCTAAGAAAATATGTGCAACAAAAAAGTAAAGTCTTCAGAAAGCAAGAATATAATCAGAACTCTGTAGAAACTAGTATCTGTGTTCAAATCATGTGACCTCATACTTTATCAGCAGTCTCTATATTTGTGTGACACATTGCTATGTTAAAAATTCACTAGTTATAGACCAAATGGACTTTTGAAAGTTATTTGAGCACTTGGGTTTTTAGGAGTTTTTATTTTGTGATACATTAATATCTATTAACATGTTATGTTATTAAAAAACATCTTAGTGAAATTCTTAGTCCCAGAAAGTTGTTAAAATAGTCTGATAATTGCCTTTTCTGGGTGTCTTACCTAGTGGAAATTTGCGTTACTGAATTTATGTCCTAAATGAAGAAAATACTCATTGGGGGCTGACAGTTTTACAAAATGGATTCCTTTGAAGCACAAGTATTCAAAACAAATATCAGACAGATTAGGTTTCAACTTTACTCATTTTTCTAATCTAAACTATCTGAAAATGTGTATTCATGTTGGCCTGAGTAATCCATTTCATTTATAGACTGATAGCTTTCCAAGTCCAGCATTCTGCTTGCTTTTCTGTTAACTAGGCAATTGTTATAAAGTCCTCAAACTCACAGTTTCGCTGGTAAGTAAGGGAGAGAAAAATACAGTTTATACTGCTTGATGATGAACACTAATTATTTTCTTAATGATAGTTTATGTAACTGACCTTAAGAAAAGAAATAGGGGCTGGAGATTTAGCTTAGTGGCATAAGCACCTGCCTTGCAAGCAGGCAGTCGTGAGTTGGATCCCCGGTACTGGGAGGAAAAAAAAAAAATGAAGGAAAATCTTTTGAATAGAGTATCCACTTCCTAAAGGAAACACAAACAGTAGGATCCTTTTATTATCAGATTTAGTCCATGTGAGGATTTATTCTTTGTTTGCTCTTTTTTTTTTTTTTTTTAAACTTTTTATCGGTACTAGGGATCGAACTCACGACTGCCTGCTTGCAAGGCAGGTGCTTATGCCGCTGAGCTAAATCCCCAGCCCCTGAGGATTTATTCTTTTAAAAGAACTTTTAGAGTCATGAGGACCTATTCATTTTTGGGAACGCCTTGGAGAAACGGGCAGAACATGTAAGAAGAGGCTTGGGGTCGGGCTCTGGAGCCAGCAGATAACTGTTTTTCCCATCGTTACTACTTCCTGCTTGCCTTCCTCATTGGAATGCGTCTTTATTTGAGTTTAGGGCTCCCTCCCTATACCCTGCTGTGCTTTAGTAATCACAGTAACATGGTATTCAGTCTCAGCTTTTCATTCTCTTCCCCAGCAAATACTAGCTGTGGGCTACCGCTAAAGATGCTGCGCAAGACGCCCATCTACACCTGTGGCACGTACCTCGTGATGCTGGTCCCACCTCCAGGGGGATCGGGCAGCTCTGCCACCCGCTCTCTCTTTGGTGGAACAAGTGGTTTGTCATCTTTAAAAAGTGAGTAAATTTTATTTGTGATACTTGCTGTGTATCGCAAACTCTGAAATTTAAGGTTTTCCTATTATTTTAAAGTTACTATACTAAACAGTTGCTTGTAGTAGCTCTCTGATAACAGCATAAAATAATAGTCATCAGTATAACTCTAGCCTAAGGAGGAATTTATATTTGCAGTCCTGGAGGGAGGTGTTTGAACCCAGGTCCTCGAGCTTGCTAGGGGAGCACTCGACAATTGAGCTACACCTCTAGGCCTGGAATTAATTTAGAATAGACAGACTTTTTCTCCTTCCTTCCTTCCTTCCTTCCTTCCTTCCTTCCTTCCTTCCTTCCTCCCTGTCTCCCTTCTTTCTTTCCTTCTTCCCTCCTACCTTTTCTTTTTCCTCCCTCCCTTCTTCCCTTTCTCCCTCCCTTCCCCTTTCTTTCTCTTTCTGTTACTTTCTTTGTGTCTCTGTCTCTCTGTCTGCCTATCTCTGCCTGCCTGTCTATCTCTTTCTTTTTATCTCTCTCTATCATTCTATGTCTCTGTCTCTATTTCTCCATCTTTCTGTCTCTTAACATTCTTTCCTTACAGACATCCTTTAACCCTCTTGAGACGTAGTTTTCCCAGTGTTTTGTTTTGTTCTCTTGAAATTTGTTTAGGTACATAAAATTAAAATGCTTGAAAACTCAGTTTCCTTGTTTTCATTTTTTAGTACTTAATGTCGTCCTCTTAAAATGATTTTCTTACAGCAATTCCGGTAAAGGATTCTATTTCACATTTGGACTTCAAAAAAAGCAGTATTTATGATCCCCTCCCATATTGAGATTGAACCTGAGGCCTGGCACATGTTAGGCAAGCACTCTGCCACTGAGCTGTAGCCACAACCCCCAAAGAGCTTTCTTGTTCTCACTGCAGACATAAATTTGACCTCAGCAGTTTAAACAAAGTAATTTCTGTAATATCAACTTTTTTACAGAAGATCTTCAGAGTTAGACACAAGGTCTTTGCACTGAGCTGCATCTGCACACCCTCCCCCCTTTAAATTAGTATATGTTTGTGATACATAAAATACACATTCATCTTGGGGAAGTGGTACATGTACATATCACATCTTGATTCTTTTTACTTCCTGTTTCCCTCCTCTTCCTCCCATCTCCCCCCACCCCCAGCTTCTCTTCCCAGTTCCCTGTTGCCTGTGTTTTATTTTATTTTTTACTTATACTTTCATATAAGAGAAATCATGAGATATTTAACCTTTGGTGTCTGATTTATTTCTCTTAGCATTATGTTTTCCATGTGTACCATTTTCCTATAAATGACTGTGTTGTCTTCTTCGTGACTGAATAGTACTTCGTTACACATAAATGCATATACATATACGTTTACATTTGTATATCTACAGCCCCTTTTTTAATTTTGAGACAGCGAATGGCTTAGTGTTAACTGCCCAGACTGGGCTCAAACTTGTAATCGTCCCTTCTCCGTCTCCTAGAGTGCTGGGATTCCAGATTTGTACAACAGCATCTGGCTAATACTATCAAGTTAATCTTAGGGCCATTTCAGGTAGTTGTATGTGCTTGATTCTTAGCTATTTCTAACAACTCCAGACTCTTTTTACCTTTAGATCAAATTGGTTGAACTTTTTGTTGACAGCCTGTTTTCTCTAAATGTGCAGGTGACCAGATCCTGTGCCCTTAGGCCTTGGGATAAAGTGAATCATGGATATTTACTGTTTGCTTTTGTCTTTCAGTTATTACTTACAGGGTTATGAGATGTAATCACACGAAGTTAACTCCCTTAAGGATACAGTTTAATGGAGGTTGTGTGTGTGTTACTGCTGTGTCTCCATTACCTCAAAAGATACCCAGGTCTTTGGCGATCTCCCTTCTTACCCCCCATCCCGGGCATCTTCCCGTCTACTTTCTGTCCTACAGCCTTTTCAGCCTGGAGCATCTGTGTTTTTTGTGGCTGGCTTTGTGTGTAGAGTGTTTTATTGGTTCATCCTTGTTGCATGAGTCAGTGCTTCCCTCCTTTTTATGGACAAACTATATTTCACTGTAGGGCTAATACTCCATTTTGTTCTCCCATTCTTCAGTGGATGGACATTGTTTTCTACTTTTTGGCTATTTTGATAAATGCTGCTATGAACATTGCTGTAGAAGGCTTTGTATGAACAGATTTTCATTTCATTTCAGTTTATGCTTAGGAGCATGTGGTAACTATGTGCTGACCTTTTGAAGACATTGTGAAACCGTTTTCCAAAGTAGCTCTACCCTTTTCCATTCTCATCAGCCATATATTATGGTCCCCACTTCTCCACTCCTCACCAGCATTTGTTATTTCCTTTCTGTTCCATTTCAGCCACCTGAAGGGTTGTGGAGTGGTGCCTCTTGCAGTTTTGATTTGCCTTTCCCTAATGACTGATGATGCCAAACATCTTTTCATGTGCTTAGTGACCATTCGTTTTTCTTCTCTGCTGCATTCAAATGCTTTGTCCCTTTTAAATGGGGCTATTTGTCTTCTTACTGACAGTTTATCTTGTTACACTCTGTTGTAGTCTCTTTGGCATAGATTTCTCACTCAGTTGAAATTGGGCCTGTTTGAGTAAAGCAGGTCTTCATGGTGCCATTTTTCCATAAGGATATAACAGACACCATGACTGTTTTAGCCTAACAAATCAGCGAATGCTTAAATTCCTTCTGGGTCTTGTTCCAGGTTAGACACTGTGTGATCTGGTAAATATGAGCCTTTAAGACAGTGGAAGCGAACCTATGGCACACGTGCCCCAGGGAGCTGTTTGTTGTCACCATCACTGCATTAGCAGCTCGTTGTCAAGTTAGGAGAAGTGATGGAGAGGGCAGAAGGCTCCAGAAGGTGATAGATGGTGCCGCGGGACTGCTTGAACCCCAGTGCACATCCTTCATGATCAAAGAAAGCAAGCATCTGGGAAGCAGGGCAGGTCTTCAGGGATACCTGGGTGTGTTGCTAAGGGGAAGAAAGGTGTGTGGTAAACGCAGTGAAAAGGCAATTTGAGGAAGATTATTCTGTTGGCAGACAGAATGGAACAGTGGAAAATAAAGAAAGAATACAATTTAGGACACTTACGGTGAACCTTTCATTAGAGATTTCAAAGATACAAACTACCTTCTTTGACACAAGTGGCATAGGTTAGCCACCATTGGTTTAGGGTGCACCTCAGGTCACGTGTGATCTGGCCAACTGGGGTGAGGGGAATAAGAAAAGGAACAAACCCAAGCCAGTGTGGTGGCTCAGCCTGTAATCAACAGCACTAGGGAGGCTGAGACAAGAACATTGCTTTAGGGGCTGGGGATTTAGCTCATTGGCATAAGTGCCTGCCTTGCAAGTGTGCGGTCATGAGTTCATGAGTTCGATCCCTGGTACCTATAAAAACGAAAAAGACAAAAAAGAAAAAAAAAAAAAAAGATTGCTTTAAGTTCCAGGCCAGACTATCCTACATAGTGAGACCCTGCGTCAACAACCACAAACAAACAAACACAAACTCAAGAGACACAGGGCTACAATTTATGTTCTGGAGTAGGGGAGAAAATGCATTGCCAAGTACAGTACCTAACAGATAGTGCTGGATATTTTTAACTCACTTAAATTTTATAAGAGTTTTAATTTTTATAAGGTAGGTACTTTTGTTATTTCCTCTTCACAAATGAGGATACAGATTCAGTAACAAAAAAAAAAAAAAAACCAACAAAAGCAAAATGACAGCAACATCAAAGAAAAATAGCTATATAAGTTTTCAAAACAAGATGATAGGATTTTAACAGTAGTAATTATGTTGCATATTTTTATCTTCAAAATATTTGCTCATGTTATCAGATATAGGAATAAAATAAAGCAATAAAATGGAACAAAACATTGGATTTCAAAAACAAGACAGAAGGAAATCCCCACAGTTGCTGTAATGCATATTGTTATCCTCCAAATAGATGGTCAGACTACCAACTTTAGGCCTGCAAAGTCAGTCAAACAATACAAGCATTAAGTAATTTTTTTTCTACTTAAGTTGCTATCATCTCAACCCAACTTGCTCAGAATTAGCCCACTGCCTGGGGGGCGAGGGGTGCTTTCTTGTCTGCTAGCCAGTGCACCAGCTGGCTCGCTCAGGAAGGCATGGTTTGGCTTCTTGATTCCCTTCCCATTTCCCATGGCGGCTGCCCCAGCTCACCAAAGTTACCACTTTAAACACCTTCCTTTTTTTTGTACTGGGAATTGTACTCAGGACCTTGTGCTTGCCAGACACTGTGCCAATGAGCTGTGTCACCAGCATTTAAAACACTTTCAAAACCAAGGTTCAGTGGAGGGAGGGTGTAGGGTTAGGAGAGCATAGTTGACTGGCATGCACACGGCCCTGCAGCACTTGGGGAAATGAAAAGATTCAGTTTTAAATTTATGAAGATATTTTGATGATAGTTTCTTTGATCTTTTTGTAGGTGTATTTCTGCCAATGGACAGCAACAAAAAAGGGATATGACTTTTATGTTTAGACCTTAAAATTTAAACTTTGAGAATTAGTCTTCAGGATCATTAAACAGCTTGATGTTTGTTTCCACAGTCCTTGCATCTAGCTTGGTTTATAATATTTCGGATGGTCAGTTCACGAGTCGTGCGGATCTCATAGATGCTGCTGGAAGCTCTCTGGGGCGTGGTGCTCTTGTCCCAGGATTGGGTAAGGGACATGCACAGATTTCCTTGGAAAATTCAAAGTTCTAACAGTTTCTTTGGAAAAACCTTAAAACTAGATGGGCTTCTTGCTGAGCCCATCTAGTGCTTTGCCAGGTAAACCTGTAGCAATAGCACCATGACTGTGAGCATAGAGACACCTTGCCCTCCATACTTATTATTAGATAAGTGGAGTTTCAGCAGTGCCCGTGTGCACAGGCAGTGGCAGCACAGTGGTTGAATGCAGTATACTCTTTGCAGGTGCCTGTTATGATACAGTGAACAACATGCTGTGGACATGCTCCAACGATTACATCGACCAGTGGTGTAACCCTGGGAATCAAGCCTTCCATTACGTGTGCCAGAGACTGGGAGTCAGCCACATCATCACTGAGCCCAAAGGTGAGGCGCGCCATGCTCCTGAACTGGGAACAGACACACCGAAGCACGCTACTAGCCTTTTCTCTTTGGACTTAGGAGCCTAAAGTCCTTTATCTGTGACTCTGATAGTTTGGTTTATGATTAAATATGAAAATTTTGGGTTATCTTTTGACTCTTTCTCTCACATCCACACCCAAATGGATATCAAGAAGTCCCGTCAGCTCCTACCTTCAAAATATATCCCCAGTCCGACCATTCCCCACCACTCTGCTCCTGCCCTGCTTCATCATCTTCTCGTACGTCACTGTGGCAGCCTCCTCCCTGCTTGCTCTTCCTCCACCTCCGAGGCTCATCTCCACTTAGCAGCCAAGGACTCTCCTGTAAACTGGCTGTCAGAGCTGTCACTCCTCTGCCCATACGTCTCCACTGGCACTGAGAACTCAGAATTAGAACACGGAGCCTCGAATATAGCTCAGCGGCATAGGCACCTACTTGGCAAGTGCGAAATCCTGTTTGATCCTGGTACAAAAATAAAATAAAACAGTATCAGAACATAAAGACCTTATTTATTTCAGTAGGTCCCAAACCTGGCTTTCAAAAAGTCTGGGAAAGAGATAAACATTTCCAAACATAAATACATAAATAAACATTTCCTCCAGTGCATTTCACTGTTGAACTGAAGTCCCAAAAGGCAGACAAGACAATGAGACTCAGGCTGGCCATGGGGTTACTAAACGATCAGAAAGTTCAGTTTTGACCAGCTCCACTTTCTCTGCAGCTTTTCTGGAATCCTGTCTTCGTAGTTCCCAGGGCCCACAGTCACTTTATAGCTCCAAGGTTCCCTGTCCAGGCCTGCTTCAGCACAATAGTCTATGTTCCCATGTCTTTTAGGGAGTTCATTTGAGCTGGTTTAAGGAAAAAAGCACTGTTATATTTTACCTATTTGGATTTTCACTTCCATTCTCTGAATGTCTGTAACCAGTCATGAAATATTTGTTATTAAATAAGAGGATGCTTGTCAACCTTCACAACTTTGATTGACTGACGTAAAGCTTAGGTGACTAGATAGAATAAAAATGTTGAGTACAGTGGAAGGCAGTGTTTGTGAATGAGGGCAGGGGCTCCTACCATAGGGCAGCCTTCGAAGGCTGAGTTACTTTCCTGGAATGGTTATCAGCATGGGTTGAAATGGCTAGAATTCAATCTCCAACTTTACTAGTTTATAGCTTTGTAATAATAAGGTGAATTACTTAGCCTCTCTGACTTTTATTTTACTGCCTATAAAACAGTGCTAAAATAGTATTAAGTTTATCTTCATGTTAAAAGATAATGCATTAAAGCATTTAGCTCATTGTCTAGTGTGCAGAACAGTCTCAGTAACTGGCAACCACTTACGTTTTAGAACAGTGGAAATTCTCAAGTGTTTGTACCCAACACTGAGTGCCAGGGGAAAGGCCCCCCAGCAGCAGTGGGAGAGATGGGAGCCGAGCTTGCCTGCTGGGTGGTGTGACACCTTTGTAAGCCGGAGATCTGCTCCTCACGGGTCACCTCTGGGGTGCCTTTCCTCACTGCCTTTCCATCTTCCAGAAGAGGCGATAACCACGAATGAGGTTATCAACCAGTTACTGCACCACGTTGGTGCGATGTGCATACACCAGCTCAATCTTCTGGCCACCAACCCCAATCTTCCCATCACAAGTGTCTTGGGCAAGCAGCATCCGATTGAAGCCCACCATGTGAGCAGCATTTGTGACATCATGGAGAAGGCCATGGTTAATGGAGATACCTGCATCATACGCTGTGTTCTCGTTGTCTTTCAGGTAAATACACTGGTAGGTAAGTAAGATGCTAGAGAGGAAGGAACACAAACCTTGGCTTCAGCCAGCTAGTATCTACTTGAAGAAAAGTTCAGTAACATCCTCATTTGCATCTTACCACCTCCTAGTCCTGTAATTAGAATTATCATCGTATTCACTGCACTGCAATTAATGGGGTATTGCTATCTGTGGATCACTGCAATTAATATATGTGAAATATTCACTAATTATACCACTGCATAAGGGAAGAGATTGTACTTAAAAACTCACCAGGCTCTCTATTCATCAGAATATGTACATGCACTTTTTAAATAGGGATAATTTTATTTCTTGTAGAATTAGCATTTTTAGATATGCTCCTATGTTTCCGTAGGTGGTGTTTAAGTTTTTCTTCAGCCCACAAACTGAAAGGAACCGAGACATCATTCGACGTTCGGGATTGCTTCTTTGGCAGTTGCTGATGGCACCAAAAGATCAAATCTGCCCCGAAATTCAGAAGGAAGTCTGTCTTGCCATCAGGTAAACAGCAAATGATTTTCTTTGTGCTCTCTGCAAAATAATTTTTCTGTAAGGCATTGTGTTTTTCCTGAAAATTGGTAGCGTGTTTAATCGTTGCCCATCCTACAGCCAGGACCCCATGCGTGGGAGATCATTAATAGAAAAGGTTTGTACCTTGATCTTCATGGGGCCAAAAGGTAAACTGGGTGCCTACTTTTCTTTGTCCCACAAGGCCAAACCCTCAAGTGACTAGTTTGTTTGCACATACATGCCCTCTTCTGGAGGAATGAGTGGCACAGGGTGATCAGGAACAGATCTGCTATCTGGCAGCCCTGAGTCCTAGTCTTTGCTCTGCATCCACTCACTGTGGCCTTGATTTGAGGCTTCTGTTTCCTCAGCTATGAGATGGTCTTAAAAACAGCACCTGCCATATAAATTTGTGAGGCCGTCCAGAGAAGGTCCAATGCAAGGCAGTGCTTAACTGTGTCGGCCTTTATTACCCTGCTTAAAACTTTGTTAGACTCACTTTTGAATTTAGGGGCCATTCTCTATTTATTGTCATTTTTTTGAGTTTAATTTAGTGAACTTTCATCCAGGAGTATAGCCTTAAAATGGCCAATATATTTAAGTATATTTAAGAACTGGGTGGTTGATTCGAAAGAGTTAGCTGGCAGGAATGAGGGTAGCAGGCAGGGAACTTTCCCCTTCCACAGTAGATTTGACTTTGGATATCTTTCTGTTGAGTGGGAAGGCAGTAGATAAAATCTAGTGCCGTGAAGAAACTCGTGCAGTGATGGGTGTCCATACACACACTGTCTCCGTTATAGGGGCATCCATGGGACAGGCCTCTCACATGGCACACTTGAAATAGTGCACCTGTTGTACGTCAGCTCTCAGTAAAAAGGAAAAATCTTTAAAAATTCTGGTGCTATTTGCTTTCTGTATTTGGAAAAACAGAATTAGACATTCCCTTTCTCAAGCTATTTTTTTGGGGCATTATCTATACTGTAACTGGCTTTACTGGCTCTTGTAGCTTAATAAGTCTCTTTAACAAGAGGGCCTGAAACAAGTTAACAGTTTGGTAATTCTGACAAGAGGAGAGGGATCCCTTTATCGGGGAGCTGATCGGACTAAATTGTGACAGTGAAGTTAGGTTCAAATGCTTTTTTAGCAATAAAACTTACTTCTGTTTTATATAACCAAACTGGCATCTGTAATGAAAATGAAAATCTAAATATTTAGAATTTTAATTTTCTATAGTATTTGTTTAAAAACTTTTTGACTTTTCTGTCATTTCAGCTCTGGTTTAAACATCTTGTACCCAGGTGAAACTGAAATCAATAACTTACTTAAGCTGGTCTTAACAGAAGGTAAGAATTATCCTGTAATTAAATTACCATCTTACTTTGTTTAAGGAGATAACTGGATATCAGTAGATTCTTCTTATCTGTTGTTCTGTATATTTTTAAAATGTTTCTAGGTCAATCCAACATTTCAACCAGACTGAGAGCAGAAAGCATATTTTCTGTATCTTTAATCCTTATAATCCTCTTTATAAAGTATTTCTAATGCTTAATGTAATGTACCTGACCCTAGATGTTCTACACAGGTTTTAAAATAATGACTTGTCAGATACATACCTGTAATCCCAGCATTTGGAAGTCTGAGGCAGGAGGATCACCACAAGTTCAAGGCTAGCCAGGGTTATATAGTGAGTTCAAGGCCTGAACTACTTAGTGAGACGTGGTCTCTCTGTCTCTCTCTCTCTCTCTCTCTCTCTCTCACACACACACACACACACACACACACACACACACATAAGACTTCTCGGTGATTTTCTTTTTTTCCCCACACATTAGAAACCAACTTTTTAAGTTAGACCAGGCAACAAAAATACCATGATAAAAACACTCTGCATTTAAAAAACAACATTAATTTAAGGAATGACAAAGATCCAATCCAAAAATGGGCATCTGAGATAAATACACACTTCTCAGATAAAGAAATACAAATGGTAAATAAATATATGAAAACATGTTCAATGTCATTGATTATTCAAGAGATGCAAATTAAAACAACACTAAGATTCCATCTCAACTCAGAAAGAATGGCTATTATTAAGAAATCTACCAATAACCAATGCTGGAGGGGTTGTGGGGAAAAAGGAACTCTTCTCCACTATTAGTGGGAATGTAGATTGGTGTAGCCACCATAGAAACCAGAATGGAGATTCCTCCAAAAACTAGGATTATAAGTCCCATTCCACCTAGCTATGCCCCTTCTGATATCTTCCTGGAAGAATTAAAAACATCCTCTCACAGCAATATGTGTGCACCCATTTTTTTTTTTTTTTTTTTTTTTTTTTTTTTTTTTTTGTCTTTTTCCTTTTTATCGGTACCGGGGATCGAACTCACGACTGCCTGCTTGCAAGGCAGGCGCTTATGCCGCTGAGCTAAATCCCTAGCCCCCGTGTACCCATGTTTATAGCAGCACAATTTGTAATACTAAATCTTGGAAACAACCTAAATGCCCATCAACTAAGGAATGCATAAAAAAGATGTGGTCTTTTTTACAATGGAGTACTACTCAACTGTAAAGATGGATAGACTTGAGACTTTTGTAGGTAAATGGATACAACTAGAGACCATACTCACAAGTGAGTTAAATTAGATTCACACATGTAAATTCATATTGTCTCCCTGGTATGAGAAACTGAAAGTAAATAAGATCCAAAGTGCTCAATAGATAATGTGAAATGGGAAGAAATTGTACAAAAAGAAAAAGAAACCAGGATATAGGGCAGGGGAAAGAAAAAAAGGGAAAAGGTAAAAAACAAAATACAAGATAGTTATACTACTAATTTCTCTTCATTAAAAAGAAAGGTTTGTAGAGCTGGGCATGGTGGCTCATGCCTGTAATCCCAGCACTCAGAAGACTGAGGCAGGAGAGTCTCAAGTGTGATTTAAGGTCAGCCAGGCTACAGAGGGAAATTTTGTCTCAAAAGAACAAACAAACAAAAACCAAACCAATTGGTTATGAAGTAGTTTTGCCAGTGATGTTTGTGTGAGTTTGTATTCCTAGTGCTGCTAGACTGCAGATGATCGACTTTAAAAAAAAAAAGAAAACTTTTAAATAGCATCAGTTTTCTAAGTACTATTTCCAAGAGAGTTATGGGGCTTTATTGTGCATTAGGAGAAAGAAACAGCGGACTCTCCCAGCTACGGGATGTGATCTTAACCAACTTAGCTGAACAGCTTCAAAACAATCGATTCGGCAGCGATGAGGATGATCATTACAGGTGACAGCAGTTATGTTATTTATACTTTTCTTGTGTCCTAAGTGATTAATTTACATTTCAATGTGTTTGATCAAGTTGGTCTCCTGTTTTATAGCTAATATTATTAGCGTGTTAAATCTAAAGTTGGAATCAGTTGAAAGGTAAACCCCATGGTTGCCCCAAGAACTAATAAGAGCACATTCCAGCTTTATCAGTAAAGCAACTTGGGCCTACTTTGGAAAGTGCTCAGCAGAAGACACCGTGATAGAGGGGCCATCACTCTGCTGATCCATGAGAGGAGATGTGTGTGTTAGGCCCAGGGAGAGGGAAAGTGAGGTTTGCTGTGTTATTTATAAAGGACTTTGATTGAATGCTTGGGTACCACTTTGCTTCTGTAAATGTGGCTTAGGTAATTTTTAGTTGTTGGCACCATTCCTGAGTAAGATGATTTTCTTGCAGAACCAATTAATTTCATTTCTTAGCTGATCATGGTGTACACATCTATAATCCCAGTACTCTCAGACTCTGCGTGTGAGGATGGAAAGTTTGAGTCCAGCGTGGGTAATTTAGTGATTTAGCAAGACCCAGTCTCAAAATTTTAAAACTTTCCGAGGAAGCTGGGTGTGTAGCTCAGTGTGAAGGCCCAGAGTTCAATCTCTTAGTACTGACCGATAGATATTTTTAAATTTTTAAAAATTTCATCTGTCATTTCATGCCAGTTGTATAAAATTTACCGTCTTACTAATAAACTGTCACTGTCTTGTTACATTTTTCCTGCATTTTAAAGGCTAAATGATGAACTTTTACACTACATTCTAAAGATCGTTGTACGAGAATCCTGTATCTTAATCACCAAGTGCCAAACTGTCTCTAAAGATGATTTTCAAAAGCTCCTTTCAACTGTGCCTGTAAGTAAAAATGTGTTTTCTGAAACCAAAATTATATTGTGTCTCTGTTTTTATTATCTTGTATGGATGGTGTGTATAGACATACACATACTTGTACACTCATTTTATAAAGATAGACTGATGGGCTGGGGGTGTAGCTCAGTGGCACAGTGCCTGCCTGGCAAGCACAAGATTGTGAGTTTGATTCCCAGTACCAAAAAACTGAAAATAATTTATGAGAGTTCATAGGTGACTATGCTTACCTTAAAAATGTGGAACTAGATGAATCCACTTGAAATGGTCTTTCCCAAGACTTTATCCCCGTGCTTAAATGTGTGGTGCCATAATTTGTTTGACTAGATTTGTCTTCTTTTTTTTTTTTCCAATGTGGTGACACCTCCTTCCTGTTAATTTAGCATTTTTTTCTAAACTGTTAATGTTTTAGAGAGATTCATAGGAAACAAAAGTTGTTTTAAGGGGTTGAGTAGCATCTTCTCTACAGAGATGCCTGTGAGACAGAAGGGGAGAGAACTACCACTAAGAGGAAAAATTAAGTCCTTGTTCTGAGAAGTGAGTGAGGACTGTGCAATGAATGAAAGACAGAAAGTAGTGGGAATACGTCAAAGTCTGGGTCAGAAGCCATGTGGATAGAATCACCTGCGAAACTAACTTGGTCTGTTTTCTGTACTTTCTCTTTTTGTTTCTCTTGTCAAAATCTTAAAAACGTGAGGATTACATGATCCCTTCTTTCAGTAAGGAGCAGACCATTTAAATGCCCTTATTTGTGTTAAAGGCTGCGTCCTCCTGCCTGCGCTATCTGATGGCAGTTCAGAATCACCTTCTCAGTAACACTATTTTGATTAAACCTGATGAGAATGATGACAGTGACAACTCCTTGCAGGGAGAGACATTGAAGGTACAGGTAAACACCAAGCTTTATTTTAGCGATGCTTTCTACCCAGTATGTAAAGCACAGTTTAATTGGCCAAGTTGCGGTGTGTTACGATGTCAGACTTCACCATGTCTTATATGCTTGTGAGAGGTATTAGGCCACTCATTTCATATATTTGTGTGTCATAACACAGCAGTTACCATATTTGTGATACTGTCATAGTGTGTTATCCGTGTGCTCTGGTCACGTGTGCCTTTATTTGCATCTTCCTTTAAGAGCTAAAATGTGGCACTCACAAATGATCTCATCACACCTGAAAATTATATATATATATATAATATATGTATATTTTATATATATATATATAGATAGATCTGGGAGCATAATATTTTAAACAATTTTGACATCTTGGATGGTTTGTTATATTTTCTTAATCCAAATAAAAGGTAATCATTTTTCAAAAAAAGGTAATCATTTTGTCAGTTTTTATATTGAACAACTTAACTTTGTAGACCTATAGTTTGTCTCATTTTATGTCATTATTCCTAAATTAGCTTCTGTGTGAAATCAATCATTTGTTCTCATGTAATAATTTATAGCATTCTGAAGATCCTTTTATATCAGCAGTCGTTGTAATTTTGATAGATACGCAATTGTTTGCATTGTTGTTCAAGATTTTATCTTTGTGAGAAAATTAGAGAAATCAATAAGTTTATTATTCTTTAAAATTCTGACTTAGATATACTGAAAAGTTAACTAAGGAAGCCATAAAAACCATTATAGTTAGTCTTTAAAAAAACACAAACTTTATACATGTACTATATAAATCAGACATCTGCTGTTTTGTATGCACAAGTTTCACTAAATGACTAGTTTTAAACCGGTAAACACAGGAATTAATTATTTAAATTTCTGATATTAACTTACTTAATTTTTCTTACCTTAGTTTCCTAATTAGTATACAGAGATGAAACCTTTGCTTTGTAAGCTTGTTTGAGGACTAAAGCCAAGCCATGTTACCGCCCGGCCCTGCGCTGCCACATGGTATATATCGTCAGTACAGGTTCACTGGTACTAATCAGTGCGACTTAAATCAGCTCGTCTGTCAGTTCAGAATTCTCTTTATGATAAAAATATTCTTAATGCAAAAAAACAGAGACAGGAAATTTCAACAAAAAGGTTTTTTTTCCGTTTGAAAATTGAATTTTATAAATTCTTAATTAAAGCATAGAGACAAATGTAAAGACTCAGAGAGGCACTATAGGCTTGATTGTCTAGTATTTCCAACAATTTAGTAACATATAGAGGTCACCTTGAGAGTTAATTTAGTTATATTTTTCAATAGAAAATAATTATAAACTAAACATTTCGATGACATTAAGTAGTATTTACTAACGCAGTATTTATAGTCTCATGAATTTTCTAACAACTGTTTTTAGTGTTTAATAGCCCATAACTATATACTGCTTAAATTGAAATTTTTAACTTGGTAGTTTTTAAGTATAACAGGTTAAAGATATTAAGTGAAAGGTCACTTGTACTGTTTGAGAATGTTGTTTTTGTCTCATTGTATCCACCGCCTCTACATGCACCTTTTACTGTTCTGTTTTTCTCTTTAGCTTCCTCATACCACCCAAGGCAGTCTTCCACCTGGACAGTTTCTGGGCTGGCCACCAGGAGCTCTCTTGTGCTGGATGGGATGGGAGCTAGCCTTTTCTTCTGTGCACGCAGTGTGCTCCCTGTGAAATACTGTGTATTTCTGTCTGCATTCCAGACCTTGCCCTCCCAAATAAAATTGCTACTGGCCATCCTAGCAGAATTCAGTGCTTGGGCTTGTCCTGCCACCTCATCATTCATTTGGGAATGTGTCGCTGAAGCTGTCACTTCATGTCGTCACTGTGTGTGATTTTCATGACAAATGATACTGTGATGTTTTCCACCTAGGAGCTGAAGGTCAGTATTTTGGCTCTTGCTACCCAAATCCTGACTGGATGCGATGAAGTGCTGGAAATGCTACAGCAGGTGACCACTGCCCTTATAAACAGTGACATACCCGACCGAGAACAGAGGTGAGGAATGGACTGCCCTTCAGGGAGAGAAATTTGCTTATGAGAGTGAAACCTTTTAGAATAGAACATCGAATGTTCATTTTTGTGAGAACAGGTTGAAATGGCGAGTGTTTCAAAGCTAAGTGCAATCAGAGTGTTTAATGTGCTTTTAGATGGAGTCAGGCCAGTCGCCATAGTCTAGGGCAGTGATGGCGGACCTTTTAGTGCTTTCAGTGGTACTGACTGCTGTGGCACACGTGCCAGAGGCTCGTCACCACAAATGGGAGGTGCAGAGTTATGCTGGGCAGCCTCCTCTTTGGCAGTGGGGACTTCTACATCGTCAGTCCCAGATTGGCCTTTCTCTTAGTTCTGTAGCTCCACACCACACTGCTTGCTTTTGGGAGAATAAAGTGACTTGGTGATGTAGTTTCTGCCCAAAAGACAACACCAATATGGTATCACTAGATTTTACTGTAATTTCACTTCTCCCAGTAGAGTGACCTATATAGAGGATAAACTCATTTTTCACAGTAATGAAGCCCTTTTCAGCACTGCACATTAAAATTTCTGCCATGGTTTGCTTTCCTGACATGGTTTGCTCTTAGGGATGAGTTGCATAATGTGTTTTTTTGATGATTTATGTGTTAGAGATGTTGATTTGATATCCAGCAGCATAATTTTTTCTTCAGTAACCTTGTCTATCCCAGTGTCTTTCATTCTCTCCCACTTCCAGAGGGAAGATGGGAGTTGGGACTGAGACCAGTGTAACCCAGATAGGTGTTACAGGAGCTTATTTGTGGTTGGTGTCCACTGTGGGCACAAGACAAGTTAAACATCCACCTTCGTACAGTAGTCAGAGGCACAGGGACAGGAAGCGGAGAGGTGGGCCAGGTGGGGGAATGGAGTTGTCAGAGGAGGGCAGAGATTCGGTTTTCAAGATGTAAAGATTTGTAGACTGGATGGCAATGACTGTACAGCTGCAGTATGTACTTGAACATGGGCAAGATGGTACACTTCATGTGTGGTATGTATTACCACAATAAAAATTCTGGGAGGAAAACTGACTGAGTCAGTGGTGCCCGCGAACCTCAGCTGCGGTAGGGAGGAGTGGAGTTCACAGCCACACACAGGTGAATGGTGGTGTTCTGTTCACTTGCTGCTTCTCTGAGTCTCAATCAGCAAGGACCCACAGCCCTGAGGCTGGGAGGAACTTGAGAGGTGTAACTACCTGAGCAATTATTTGCACTTAGAAAGTGCTTTGAATGTGTTTTTAGAAATGCACTCCCTAAACCTTTTTGGCCAAATCACGAGTCAAAGGTGGAATCTGTTAGTAGCTCTCTGTTCTTCCTCTCTGCCTTAGTGGTAGAAGGTGGGACATTTGTAAACTGGATTTCTACAGCGAAAGGTGTTTCCCTTGTTTAAGGAGATGGGATTTAAGAGATCAGTGTGATAGAGTTGATATCAGCAGCTTCTCTGCATGCTCAGCCATTGCTTAGGATCTTTTTCTTGAACTTTTTGTAGGCTAAAAGGCTTGGAGCAAGTCACCAAGGCCACTATGCTTGGTCACCTTCTCCCGGTGTTGCTGACCTCCCTGATGCACCCAAATCTGCAGACCTTGACCATGGCCGATGCCCTGATGCCCCAGCTTGTGCAGCTGGTGCTCTACACCAGCCAGGTAGGACCCTCAGTGCCTACAAGCCTGACCTCTGCTGGCCCTCTTCACAGTAAATATAACTGGGCCTCAGAAACCAAGGCAAACATAATCCCTAGAAACAAATTTGAGGGTTAAGGGAGCACATTTTATTTGTTTCTTTGACTAAATTACTGCTACGGTCACTGCTTATCAGCTGTAGAAATGCTAATCTGCATGCTACTGAGATCTCCTATCATATTTAGTCTGCCAGGCCCTCACCAGCCTAGAGTAACTGACAGAAATGATGTGTTCCCTCTCCACATTTAGTAGTGACATGGTGTGGTCTCGGGAGCCAAGCCTTTCTTACTGAACGAGTGTAGACTGGGATTGTAAAAAGATGATGCAAGTGAGGGTTCTGAGTTCGGCACCTGTGGTCTAGTGAGAGCTTTAAGGTGGCTGATGGTTTTGTGTTTCAGACGGCTTTGCTGCTTAAAACCCAGTGTCCTGTGTTTGCTGAGGTGGGCTGTTCCCCGTGTGGCGCCTCCGAGCAGAAGTGCAGGCTGTTCCCTGATGAGAGGTAACTGGCACTGCCTTGCAGGCCACTCTTCTGCGAAGCCTTGTTCTCCTTTGACAGTGATAGTTTTTAGCAAGGATCATCAAACTAGGGAAAGATTACAGGGTCAAACTTGTGCAGATGACTGTAGAGTCACTTTAGATTTCTAGCAAGATGTTAAAATAGATTTCCCTGTGAATTAAGAGGTTAGTTTATTTTTATTTTTTTGTTCCCAGGAATTGAACTCTTGGCTTTGGGCTTGCCAGGCAGATACTGAGCTTCTGAGCTATATCCCTGGCCCAAGATTAGTTTAAAATTGACCTGAAATTTTCATACATGAATGATGAGGTTGAGAAATATTAAGACTTTGGCAAACAGTGTGGGAGAGATTTTTGTGGTCATTATTTTTATCCGTATTTATTTTGTTGGATTTTTGTTTTATGAGACAAGGGTCTCACTGTAGTTTGGACTGTCACACTGGCCTTGAACTCACCATGTAGCCTAGGCTGACCATAAACTCATAGTGATCCTCCTACCTCAGCCTCTGGAGTGCTGGGATTATTAGAGGCACACCACCATGCTTGACTCTTTTTTTTTTAATTTCCCAAGTAACTACTTTAGATGAGAGTTAGTGAGGTCTTCTCCTATATATCAGTTGGGCTTCTCCCTTGAACAAGGGATGAAATGCAAATATAGTACTTGAATAAAAAAAAAATAGAAAAAAACAAATACAGCTGGGCATGGTGGTCCATGCCTGAAATCTCACCTCTTGAGAGGCTGAGGCAGGAGTATTGCCATCAGTCTGAAGCTAGCCTGAGCTGCATAGTGAGTTCAAAGCCATCCTGAACTGTGTAGCAAGACACTGTGTCAAAAACAAACAAAAGATACAAAATGATACTCTTAAGTTTGTATATAGTCTGTATATTACTATGTAAGTAATATAGTGTCTAACACCAATGTAGGAATTCTTTTTTCTGCTCGAAGAATAACAACATAGCATTTACTGAGTGCTTGTAATGCAGGCATTGTTCTAAACACTTTAAATTTTTTTATTAGTACGTTTGTGGTAAACAGTAAATACATTCATTGTGAGTAGTTGTATATGTACACAGAAAGTTTTTGAATGTTTCTCATACTAGATATTTAAAAGCCACAGTGCTTTCATGTTGCATGCTATCAATAATTTGAGTGCTTTCTTGTACTCCACTGTAGTTCCATTTTGTTTTTCTTTGCCTTGCTACCAAACTAAACCACTTTCTCTGGCCTTAGAATGCTGGAAGAAAAGGAAGAGCCAGGCTTTCTCACTGGCTTAAAGATACCTGCCCCATGGGCTGCCGGGAAGACTGTGGAAACAGTGCACCCTGTCAGAGACAACTATAAATTCAAAGAAACTGTCCACATCCCCGGAGCTCGCTGCCTGTATCTGAGATTTGACAGCAGATGTTCCTCACAGTATGACTATGACAAAGTAAGCAAGAACTGAGTTCTTATTACTGCCACCTCCAGTAAGCTGACTTCTTAGGTGCTTCTTATGTTTTCTTTGCTGCTGGTCACCATTCTTGACTTATTTCTGTCTTCAGATATCTCTAAGGAGGACTTTTGTAAAATAATGCCCCAAAGGGTGGTGATTGAGGGAGAAAATTGCTACCACCTCTGCAGTCTAACACAATGTTCTGATGCCATATTGAAAGTGTCCCTCTTGTAAGCCTTTAAAAGCTTAGACCTGAGGCAAAGGAAATTTCCCTTTTACGTTGCTGACTTCCTGCCTTTCCTCTCTGCTTGCAATTCCTGTAGATGAGTGGTGGCCATTCATCTTGAAAGGTCGTACTGCCCAGTTCTTGGGGCTTCTCATGTATCTTTTGGGGAGAAAGTGGCCTTTCGAAGGGCTTAAGATGTGCAGGGATCTGGCTAATATGGACTTACATACCTCTTCTTTGCTGTTACCGCAGAGTAGTTTCCAACCTGGTGGCTGAATAATAAAACAGAAAAGAAATCAAAGCTGGATATGGTGGCCCACACCTGTAATCCTAGCATTTGGGAGGCTGAGGCAGGAGAATCACTCTGAGTGTAAGGGCCAGTCTGGGCTATATAGCGAGATCCTGTCTCAAAAATAAGGCACAACAAAACAGGAAACATTTTAGGGGTTGACTTGTGGCTTGTCATGTTAAACTTATGAGGAAAGGCTAAGGAATTGGGACATGTAACATAGGAAGGAACAACTTGGAGATTATCTAGTAACTTTGTACACACAGAATAGCACTGTGTCTGCTCTCTTTATATAGCTTGTTAGCTTTGTGTTGTCTCTGTCCCCTGTGAACTGAAAAAGGGCAAATGGTTTTAAATCCCATCAAGGAAGGGTTTTAGGGTAAAAATAAAGAACTGCTTAGTTAAACCTGCCATGAGATGGTGAAGTTATAGAATCTTCTTTCCCATTATCTTTGATGATAGTCAAGAGTCCCAGATGTTTGGAGGATTTAAAATGTGTCCCCAAAACTTATCATAGCTGAAAACAGGAAATCTAGAAGATGGTCTTTAGTAGGCCTTTAAAGAATGCCTTCGTCAGCATCAGTCCAGCCTGCTTCCCGGCTCACAGGGTTAGCAGTGCCCATTTCCTAAGTTCCAGTGGAGTGACTACTTGAGTGGAAGCAGGTGCCCTTTTAGTTGATGCTATTTTGTTTCTCCTTTAAAAATAGTAGTTTCCATCTTCTGATATGTGCTCCCTTATACATTAGTGGTAATGATAAAGAACAGAGAGGTTCACTGCATGGATAAAGTACATTTGCTTTTCCAGTGATCCCTGTCTGGTATCAACAAAAGGTCCAAAAGGGTAAGAAATCACAAAATAATAAGCATCTAAGTCTGGGAAGTAGCATTTAGATGCAAACTTAGATGCAGTATGAGGTGGTCAGAGTATATTGTGGGAGACAGGGCTTGATATTCACAGAAGCTAGAACTTCGTTTTCCCTACAGAAGTATTTGAAGCAAGTGAGCTATCAGTGTTTCTCCTCCTTATTAGAAGCTAAGTTGACGGGATATAAATGGAAGAAAAGTTATGATACATGAAAACTGACCCAAGTAGGAGCAGCCCCCTTTCTCACCCAAATGTGTTTTTTCTTTTTATACCGTTAAGCAACTTTCTAAGTGTATATGGCTTATTTTCAATTGGTTGCATTTTTATAAATCCTTATTTATTCATTGATTTTTTTGGTGCATTTATTTTATTGTTGTGTTGGATATAGCCATCTTTCCATCTGTATTTGCTTACTTTATTAATTTTGGGGAGGTCTTAAGGGGTCAAAGTCTAATATTAAAGAGTTATATGTCATTGATTAGTATTAAAATAGCTAACTGAGCAATGTATGTCATATAGTTAGGTATGATGTTTAATGTGAGGTCCCCAAGCCAATTAAAGCTTGATCATATGGAAAGTATGCTTCTTGTTTTAATCACTGTTGTTTCTCTGTGGCTGTCCTGTAAATACCAACAGCTGATTGCCTCCAAACTAGTATCAATTATGCTGAAAAAAAATCAGGAAATATTAGTTAGATTAGAATGACACCAGTGCCTGGTTATAAATGTGTTTTAAAACAAATACTTTTTGCAGCCTTTTTATTTGTAGATGTTGTTTTTGTTTTTCTTTTACAGTCTAACGGTCTATTTTCTGTTTTGAAGTTGGTGATATACGCGGGGCCTAACACAAACAGTAGGAAGGTTGCTGAGTATGGAGGCAACACTCTGGGATATGGCAGCCGTAGTGTCTTAGGAACTGGTTGGCCGAAGGACTTGGTGAAGGTATGGTATCAGTCAAGTCGCTTTTTAGAACAGAAAAGTGAACTCACGCGCCTCATGGCCTGTGTACTGTACTCATCATAACCCCAGAAAGCACGGGTCATGGGGCTTTCATTGAAGGGAGGCCACCTGCGGGGCCTGTGTGCTCAGAATGACTCCTCCACTCAGGATGGCACCGCCTGCACTCATGGACCTCACACCCCGTCTGCTCCGGAGTCGGGCTTCCTGCCGCAGGTCACTCTGGATGGCGGAGCTGCTGTTCTTCCAGCCCACTCCTTCTCCAGACTCGGTGGTGCCAAGTACCCTAGAGCCACAGGGCCACTGCAGTTTATGTGCTGAGTTGACGTTTCCGGGGAGTCCGGGCCTGTGGAGACAGTTAATGACCCATTCCCGCCTGATGCAGTAGGGCTGCTTGGTGATCTGGGCCTCCCATGACTTGAAGTATCTGCTGAAACAATGAGTATGAGCTCAGTCAGACCCAAACGTAGGCCCTGATTGGCCTCCTGGGCCTTGACTTAACATGCGTCGTCCCCGCTCTTTAACTCAGCCGTGAGTCGCTGGTTTCTTCCCGGGGTAGTCGGAATGGGTCCCAGCCGAATCAGCACACTCTTACCTGTTCTCTGACTCACTGCAGCTCGTTCCTTACCGAGCAGGTTTGGAAACGCCAGGTGTTTTGGCACAGTACTCTGCAGGTGTGCTGGCCATTTGTTAGCCTGTTGACCCACGTGACGTGGGAAGAGCAAGCGAGGGCAAAAAGCATAGAGGTGCGAGGCCCTTATTAGAAATTCTGCTTAAGATTTACTTAATCTCCACTGTGATCCTGGTGTCGGGCAGTCCGGCCCCTTTCACCGATGCCTCACCCCAGAGGTGACCTAGGCAGGTGGGACCTGAATGGTTAGTGTCTAAATGAAAGGGGATGGAACTGGAATCAGAGCCAAGCAGAGAAGGAGGGAGACATAGCTAAGAGACTTTTGAAAGTACATCTCAGAAATTCATTGCTCTTTTAAAAATTGCATGTCTTGTTTTTAAAGTGCATTTTCCCCCCTTAAATTTAAGGTGGAAGGCGATACAGTCACCTTCTCCTTTGAAATGAGAAGTGGCCGTGAACACAACACTCCCGATAAAGCTATGTGGGGCTTTGCTTGCACAGTCCGCGCTCAGGTACTTGAATCTAACCACTGCTGTGGGCAGAATGTACTTTTTACTGTGTGCCTTGGTTACATACATCATATTTACCTTGTAAATAGGGCAGAATATGAGCCACTCTTCCATCCGTCTCTTCTTTCTGGCAGTAGTAAACTACTTGCAGTTAATAGTGGTTTTATGGCATAAAATGAGCTATGACCTAAATCAGTTTAGCCACACAGGAATAATCCATTGTTAGGGACTCTGTCTTCTAGGCTCGGAGAGGTGACTTGACTTCAGCATCTACGTATAGGGCAAAGAGGATTCAAACATTCAATAGAAGTAAGCCCTTGAGCAGCAAGACCCTGTCTAAACAAAAAAGAAAAAAGCACTTGAGAACCAGGCATGGTGGTACACTTGGAAGGCTGAGGCAGGAAGAGTGCCATGTGTTCAAGTCCAGCCTGGGCTGCATAGATCTCCCAGAAAGGAAAAAAAAAAAAAAAAAAAGAAAGAAAGAAAAGAAAAAGAAGACAAAGAAAAAAGCATTTGAAATCTGGGTTTCAAGAGTATTAGAAATTCTGCTAGCCCCTCTAGATACTGGATTTTAGAAAGGTATCTTAGACATAGAGGCTGCTTAAGGTTATCCAAGCTCTAGAATGAGAATCCGTGCCAGCTCCGCAGGGATCTTTGCTTTGCCCTCTGATACAGACTGATGGCTGGTACACAAAGGGCACTTAAGTATTTCCTGAATGAATTCAGTGTAGAAATTGACACATCATAGTTTGAGTACAGAACACGCAGCAAATTGAAGTAGTGCTTTGTAGTTAGAGAGGCTCAGCAGAGAGGAAGCTACCCAAAGAACCCAGGCTTCTTGCATGTGATTCATGCTGTTCGTGAGGTAGAATCTGACCAGCTGTAATTCTCTCTCCAGAATGTGTGTTGAGACTTCACTCAGTGGTCATTCCAGTGCCACCACCTACTCATGATGTTGGGTGCTGTACCTGTGTCCCATAGCAAAGCACAGTGCTGCTCTGTAAACCTCATGGCGGGCACAGTGCGGTGTGGTGTGGCACAGGTGGCAGCACTGGGCCAGGGTCGCTGACCAGTGTGGTTTGCCCCTGTCTGCATTGTAGGAGTCCTCGGAGGATGTCTCAGGAGGCCTGCCCTTTCTGGTAGACCTGGCTTTAGGTCTATCTGTGTTAGCTTGTTCCATGTTAAGAATCCTGTACAATGGACCAGAAATTACCAAAGAAGAAGAAACCTGTCAGGAGCTATTGCGGTCCAAACTTTTACAAAGGTAACAAAAGGTTCAAATTGACTTTGTTTTGTGCACAAAGGAGAAAGGCCTTTCTGTGAAAAGCTACTGTTGGTACATTTCCCAGCTAACTGTCCACTGCCTGATCATCTCACGGGTGTCACTGTAGCTGAGAAGTAAGATAAAAATGACACCATAGTGTCATTTTTGACCCTTAATTTATATCTCGAGACTGCATAAGCTTTTCTCCAACCCAAATATTGTGCAATGAGGTTGAAGGAACACCAGAAGGATTGACAGCTGTATGATAAGCAAGCAAATTAACAAAGTGTTTTTACAGAGTACAGGACAGTGGGTATATAGATATTCACCACGTAATTCTCTCTACTTTTCTGTACGTTAAAATATTTTCATAATAAAATATTGAGGAGATAGGCTTCCAAAATGTAAGGTACATTCTTATGTGCTCAATTTCTTTAACTTCTGGAAAAGGTTATAATGAATATGTTCTGGGAACACATTACATGATCCTTCATGTTTGTCATATTGGCAAGCATCAAGTAGCTTTCTAGTCATCTTCATTTTGGTTGGGATTTAATTCATGTTTGCAGTAATGGTTACATTTATCAGGGGGAGCTGGTACATGTTCATAACATCGCTGCCAGGGAGTGAAGAATCTTTCTCTGTCTGTCCAGGTGCCAGTGGCAGGTGGAAGCCAATGGTGTCATCTCTCCTGCCCTTACTCCGAGCCCCTCTCCACTGCCTCTGACCATAGAGGAAGACAGAGAATTTACCTACCCCTCGGATGTGCTTGTGCCTCCTGTCGGAAGCTATTTTGACCTGCCCCGGATCAGGCTGCCTCCAGGGATCATGATAAAGCTCAGGGAAATTTCTGGGCGTGCTAGACCTCAATTTAGACCAAGTATAAAGTATGTAGCTATCATTTTACTTTACCCAGTGTGAAAAAGTGTTTAGACAATGAAGGACAGTATTCGTTCTTGTGACCTAACAAGTGAACCCCTCCTAGAAAGGGCCGCTGGGGTCCTGGCATGTGAAAGGCCATGGATTTGATTCCTAGCACTGCAAAAAATTAAAATTTTACATTTAATGAATGAGAGCCAAGTGCTCTGGAGGGCCCACAGGTGGCATTTCAGCCCATGTTTCCAAAGTGTGGTCCCCTGGTCAGCAGCATTAGTACCCCAGGGACCTGGTTAGCGCTTCCCTGTTTCACTCCTATCATATCAGCCACTGTAAGGATGGGCCCAGTACGCTGAGTCTTAACAAGGGTCCTGTGTGATTCTGATGCATACTAAGACTTGAGAGGTTCTGGGTTTGTCTCAAGTGCTTTGACCTTCTACTAATACTCAACTTCTGCTTTGATTCTGGAGTGTAGAGACATGTCTTTATTTTTGATTCCTACAGAAATGGTGAATATAACTTACAGATGTGTTTATGGTATTCTTGCTTAAACTCTGTTTTACAGGCCTTTATCCTGTCTTCTAAGACAAGCCTGAGCAATTCAGAGAGAAAAATTTAGAGAGTAGATGGAATTTTAAATGAAAGAAATACAGAAAACATCGTTATTCTCAGCCAAACACTTATGCACACTAAACACCATAAGCCCTAATACTGTATGACGTAATTCATAGATAACTGGTGCTGAAGAACTTTTCTTTTTGGAGATGTTAGACCTATCCCGGCCCTGATGGAACTCTAGCTCAAAATACACAAGTCATACTAAATGAATTATCTTTAACTTTGGTGTTGAGCTTTATCAAGCCAGTGTTAGTTTTATCAGTTAATACACTACATTGTTGGCCAACATGTAACACCTATAAGACACCTTAATATTTAGATCTTTTACTCTATTGCAGTAAAGGAGGCTTGGTGCATGTTTAATATATTTAAATAAAGCCTAACTTCTTCAGCCTATGTGATACAGTTGTGGTAAGTTCAGAGCAAGACATATATCTGACTAGTTTCCACTGTAATCGTAGAGAAGTGATTCAGCCAGATGTGATGGAGGAAATGGTGGTGTCCTGTGTTATTAAGCACTTGAATTTGGTGGATGCACTGCAGTCCCTAATAAATTTCCAGTATCAAGAAGAACATGCCGAGGAATATGACTTACTGTGTAAAATTATGGGCGAGACCTTTAAGAAACTCAATGCCATGGAGAGACAGCTGCAGGTAACTGAGCGCTAAAACATTGGTATTTGTTTTCCAACTGCTATGAACAGTTTTTCTCCCAGAGAGTTAAAGAAGTTTAACATATAATGTCAGTGTTTCTAACTGCTATTACAAAATTAATTTCAAAAATACGGATTGCTTTTGCTTCCATTTTGTCTCTGTTTACACATGTTTTTTTCTTCATCTCTCCCTCAGAGTGTTGCAGAACTGGAACAGAAGTGGCAGAGTGAGGTTGAGGATGCCATGCAGGGGAAACTGGAAAACAACATGCCTTTCTTCTATGATTACCATTTCAATGAGGTGAGGAGGGTGTGCATTCACCACCGAGGCGTTGCATTTGTAAAGCAGAGGTGTACGGTGTGTGCAGGTGTGTGCACGCTGTGTGTGTCATTTCCTGAAATGAGCATCTCAGTATCCAAGTCATTGTTCTAAACTTTCATTAACAGGCTAAAGAAACTATAACTATTACTAAGTTTTGCTTTGAAGCATTGACATGGAAAAAAACCAGGCAGAAATAGAAACCTCAAAGGAATCCCCAGAAAGTTACCCATGCCTTTTTAAAAGAATTAAAATGTCAAATGTACTTTAAGCATAGAAGTGTGGGCCAAATGCATGGTGTTTGTTCCCTGGCATTTTCTTTTCCCTTTAACAAATGTACAATAAAGCTTGGTTGTTGTATACCCTGTATACCATCTTTTCTTGATTTTTCCTTCTTTAGAACAAAATGAAAGAACTAGAACTTTTGTGTTCAATGAAGGAAGTCTCCTTTGATGGAAATGATCTTGAAAATATGGTCCTATCACTGAGGTTAGTGATGTTAATCATTGTTAAGGCTAATACATCGCTCTAATGCTAAAAACACATTGCGAAGGTCTTGATAGATGTTTTATTTCTCAAGTGTTGTGGAGTCATCAAACATTTTAGAGTCAGAATGCATTTGGTAAGCTGTCAGTTTTGATTTGAACCTTCAAAGGGTAGCGTAGGTGTCTGAAATAGGAAAAGGGGTAAGGAGCAGCCTAAGTTTGTAACCCTGCTCCCCTGGAATGGGGCTGCGGCAGGTAAGCAAGGTTTATTAGATTACTTTTGCTTAGTTTTCCCTCGTCTTATCTTATCCTTTTCTGTTTTAAAAAATTTGTTTTGGGGAGGCTAGAGAACCCCTCAATACATATCAGTCATTCTTTATAGGGAGAAGTTCCTACAGGAGGTGAATTCTCTTATTCAGAAACCTTCACACCCACTGGCCAAAACAAAAACGCTGGTGAAGAGTCTGATGAACCGCGCGGAGCTGCTGCTGCACGTGACCATCGCAGCCCAGTCGGGCCTCACCAGGAGCATCTCGGGTACCCCGGCGGAGACCCCAGGTACTGCTCCAGCAGGGCTTCTCCCGTGGCTCTGTTCATAGAGTAGGAGTTAACTCCTTTTTATTATTACTTTTATTATTGATAGTAGTGAGTGTTGAACTCGGCCTTCTCACTGAGCTACATCCTGAGGGTCCTTTCCTCCTTAAAAAAAAGGTTCTTTTTTTTTAATTTAAAAAAATTTTTTTAAAAACTTCACTATGCAGTTCAGGCTGGCCTTCACCTCTCAGTGATCTCCTGCCTAAGCCTCTGAGTGCCATAACTATAGGTGTGGACCGTGCCTGGCATCAACATGTTTTTACTTTTTAGCTGACCTTTGCCTTTGTTCTGTCTTCTTCCATTTAAGTATCCTTTTAATTAATTAATTAATTAATTAATGTATTTTTTTATTGGTACCGGGGATCAAACTTACAACTGCCTGCTTGCAAGGCACGTGCTTATGCCGCTGAGCTAAATCCCCAGCCCCTAAGTATCCTTTTATAAAGCAACTATTCTCTTTGATATGATTAAGGAATTTGAGGTAAGGGGCTGGGGGTTTAGCTCAGCGGCATAAGCGCCTGCCTTGAAAGCAGGCAGTCGTGAGTTCGATCCCCAGTACCGATAAAAAGGAAAAAGACAAAAAAAAAAAAAAAAAAAAAAAGGAACAAAAAAAAAAGGAATTTGAGGTATGACTGAAAAATACAGTGACTGTTTGAAAGCTTATTACAGTAAAAGACACATTGTCATTAACCCTCCTCTCTTTGAACACACTTATCCCATCATTCTTGCCGCTTTCTGAAACAGTTCTGAAAGTCCTCTTTCGAGAGTGTCTTCTGTTGTGCTGTCCTGGCTGCCTGGTGTCCTGCATCTATTACAAATTTTGACGTGGGTAGGCGCCACCGGTTGCACAGTGCCAGGTCTGGTGAGCAGCGTGGCTGGGGACTCACCACGGCGTTTCCATGAGCCTGCTTCCTCTTGTGTGACACATGGCGGCGGCAGCATTCAGCGTATGTTTTACCATACCTTGTGAAGACACTCATGCGGGTGACTTCCAGAAGTGCTTCAGAAAGCGGCGAGAATGAGATGGAGGGAGGGAAGAAGGCGGAAAGTAAAAGAGAAGTAAGGTGTTAAGTGTCTCCCACGGTGAATGTCATTATTACTGCAAACATGTACTAATAAAAATGCTTAAATTTGTGGAATACAAAAGAAAAAATTTAAAAGGTATCAAAGATACGAGATAATTTGTTTGAAGCAAGGGAGAGTATCTTTTGTTTTAGTTTTGGTTTTTTGCAACGGTCTCACTATGTAGCTCAGGCTGGTCTTGAACTCTTAGTGATTATCCTGCCTCGGCCTCCTGAGTGCTAAAATTATAGTTGTGTGCCAACAAACCCTGCTAAGCAAGAGTATCTTGAGAATTAATGGTAATGTGTCTTTCACATCACCTGTGTCATTTTTAAAATGTAAACATTCTCCATGCGTTTTGTTACCCTGTCATCTCAGAGGAAGGGCCAGTCACATTCCAGTTCAAGTGTTACATTTACTCCTTCCAGAAATAATCAAAGTGGAATTCTCACCAGCTGGCAAGGAGTAAGCTAAATACATTTAAGATTAAGGGGAAACAGAGGCCATTTCTGGGGGAAAAAAGCGGAAAGATCTGGGTTTATTTGAATTAAGAATTTTGTGCTCCTAGCTGGGCATTGTGGTGCACACCTGTGATCTCAGCACTTGGAAGGAGGCTGAGGCAAGAGAATTGTTACAAGTTCAAAGCCAGCCTGGGTTACAAAGTGAGTTCAAGGCCAGCCTGAGCTACAAAGTGAGAGCTTGTCTCAAAAAAAAAAAAAAAATTGTGCTTCTAGAAATTATTTTCTGTGTCTTCTTTTGTTTTTTACAATTAAACATTGATACCTGTAAAATTTTCAGCTTTTCTTTGAGAAACCAATTTAATTTAATAAAAAGATTTTAATTATTGAAACTAAATTAATTTTTAATCTAATATTTGGTTTAAGAAAATTGAAATAGCTAGGCGTGTTCCACTCTACTATCTCAGTACTTCGGAGACTTAAGATAAAGAAGATCATGAGTTCGAAGCGAGCCTGGACTATCTAGCAAGCTTCAGGCCATCTTACACTACATAGCTAACCCTGTCTTTAAGTTAAAAATTGTCCTACAACTCATCAGTATGCTGTCATAGCTAGACTGGTACTGAGCTCCGTTAAAAAGCAAAGCTAAACTCTGGTAGCTCTGTGTTACATTTAGCCATTAAAACTCCTTACAAACTGGATAGCAGAAATGTTAACCTTTTTATTGCTTTTTCTCCAGCTTGTAAATCAGCTTCCGAAACAAAGGTGATCTCTCATGCTGTCCGGCAGCCTGTTTTTCTGCGCAGCATGTCGGCTCCTTCTGACCTGGAAATGATTGGTAATGAAGATTTGGAATTTACTAGAGCAAATCAGAGGTAAATGGCTAATGGCTGAGGTTGAATTCCCACGTACAGCTGAGCGCGTTCCTCAAAACGAACTATTTTGTCTTCCTTATAGGCGCCGTCATGTGACCAGCCACCGCAGCAGTTCCTTTACACTCCTGCAGTCACTGGCCACTGAGGACAGCAGGGACAAGCCCACCTACAGCGTCCTACTGGGCCAGCTGTTTGCCTTCATTGGCACCAACCCTGATCAAGCTGTATGTGACACTCTAAACTGCAGACGGACGGACGGACGGACGGACGGCTCCGGATGGCAGGGAGGGTCTCCTGACACTTAGCGGGAGTCAGCAGCTTCCTTCTGCATTGCAGGTGTCCAGCAGCAGCTTCCTTTTGGCTGCACAGACAAGGTGGCGGCGGGGCAACACGCGCAAGCAGGCGCTGGTGCACATGCGGGAGCTACTGACGGCTGCGGTGCGGGTCGGGGGAGTGACGCATCTTGTGGGGCCCGTGACGATGGTCCTGCAGGGAGGACCCAGGTCAGTTGCTTCTGGTGGCTCACACTGTCCTATCTAGACTGGGCAAGAGCCATTCTGGAGATTATTACCGGGACCACATAGACAGTGTGGTATTTGCTGATGTGTTCCCTAAAATACTTTGTTTTTATATATGTGGTATGTAATTTTACAAAAATTTCAGTGTATATGGAAATCTAAAAGTTTCTTAACATAGCTTGGTTTTCTAAATTCTACCCTGTTTCCTGTTCCTTGAGAGTTTATTGTACCAATCATAAGTGAATAAACAACTGTTTAATCCTCTTTGTACATATAACCATATATATATTATACACATACATATGATGCAGCATTCTTTTTTACATAAATAAGATTGTTACACATGCTTTTTTAGAATCATGATTGCTCAGTATGTCTTGTGTCTGTTTTTTCAGTCATTACCTATAGTCTTTGTTTTGCTTTTTGTTTTTTGAGACGAAAGTCTCACTATATAGTGTAGGCTGGCCTTGAACTCACTGTGTAACCCGTGCTGGCATTGAACTCCCAGCAATCCTTCTTCCTGAGTGCTGGAATTACAGACACATGCTACCACACTCAGTTTATTTTGTCATTTTAGCGAACTTTATAGTCTATTATATGTATGATCTTCATTTGGTGGGGGGTTTTTTGAGACAGGTCTCATTGTACAATTTAGACTGGCCTTGAACTCACAATGATCCTCCTGTTTCAACCACCCGAGTGCTGGGATTATAGATGTGCACCACCACATCAGGCTATTTTAAAAATCTAGCTGGGCATGTTGGTGCATACCCGTGATCCCAGCCCTTGGGAGGCTGAGGCAGGAGGATTGTTGTGAACTCAAGGCCAGCCTGAACTGAACAGTGAGACCCTGTCTCCCAAAAAAATTCTAAATCATTCTCTCCCAGTGAACACATCATGCATCATGTGTTTCTTTCTGCCTGTGGTTTGCTGTGATTTTAGCTACTCAACACCCTCTCAGCTATGTTTTTATGTTTTGTTGATTATTTTTATTAGATAATGTTAAAACCATGGGTGCAGGTGCTGTTTATAGGAAGGTTTTGTATATGAGTTCCCCGCTGGATGTCAGCGATCCCGAAGCAGAGATAGCAAGGCCTTTCCGGCTGAACCCCGGCCTTTGCCGGTGCTCCTGGCCATTGTTTGAGGAACTGTGGCCCGGAAGCAGAGGTCAGTGGCTGAGGCAAAGGTGAATGTCTTGGGAGATTTTGTCTGTCAGGAGAGGTCAGGCAGTTCCTGGGAAATCACTCCAGAGTCTCAGTGCCTGAGAAGACCAGAGTTCATTGGGCAGCATCAGTGAGTACTGCAGCCTCCTCCCAGAATAATGTCTCCTCACACTGGCAGCACTTTTCTTTTTCTCTCAAGTTTGTAATGCCATTCGTCAAAAAGTTGAAAAAATGCATAAAATTCTAAAGAGTAAAATTAAGATCATCTATAAGCCCACCATTCCAAAACATCTGTTAAGATTTTAGTGTGTTGGGCTGGGGATTTAGCTCAGCGGCATAAGCCCCTGCCTGGCAAGCAGGCAGTTGTTCTTGACACGGTCAGCAGAGCTGCACCTTGGTTCGTTCCACAGGATTGAAGAACTCACCTGCGGAGGGATGGTGGAGCAGGTCCAGGAAGCCTTTGGGGAGACCATGACCTCTGTTGTGTCTCTGTGTGCTCGTTATCCAATTGCTTGTGCGAATAGCATCGGACTCTTGTGTACCATACCTTATACCAGGTGAGCCCTTTATCATATGTAAGTTATGCAGCAGTAGAGATATCTGCAGCTTTCCAAATGTGAAAGTATTTTTGATTCATAAAATTGGACCTTTTTTCCTTTTTGTGATGCTGAGAATTGAACCCAGTGCCTCACAGATGTTAGGGAAACATTCCACCACTGAGCTACATCCCTAGCCTTGTTTGTTTATTTGTTTGTTTAGAGACAGGGTCTCAGTAAATTGCCCAAGTTGACCTCAGATTTTCCATGCCATCTCCTCTGAGTAGTTGGGATTATACTACCATACCTTGCTAAAATTGAATTTTTCTGTTGTGATTATCAGGTGTATACTAACCAAACTTTACTTTTGACAGACACCTGGGTTCCTATGTAACCAAACACTGCAGGAGGATTACATTATGTAGCAGTTCAAAGAAAAAAAATCCTTAAGAGATTACTTAAATATTTGTCAGAAATCTTTTTTGCATGAATACATTTATTTCCTCTTTTGGGTTACTTAATTTATAGTTTTAAGGTGCCAGAAGGATGGAGTTATTCTTTAAACTTCCTTAAGATGAAATACATTATTTTGTCTATTATGGTAACCTTACTTGATTCCATCAGTTTTTATTTCGAGGTTCCATATGATCAAACCAAAACTCAAAGTTCCTTGTTTTTGAAGGAAGTCTTTATAGGAAAGTAGCTTTGCATTCATTGTACACGGTGGCGTCCTCAGGTGCAGGCAAAGAACGGCATCAGCAGGTTCCTTGCCACTTGGACCCTCTGAAACGTCCTGCGAGGCTCCCCAGGGGAGTCGGATGTGTTTCTTCCATGGCACCTGTGTCCCTTTGCCAGGAGCGAAGAGAAGTGCCTGGTGCGCAGTGGCCTTGTGCAGCTCATGGATCGACTGTGCAGCTTGAGCAGTCAGACCGAGTCCAGCTCCAGTGAGAAACAAACCAAGAAGCAGAAAGTGGCCACCATGGCCTGGGCTGCCTTCCAGGTGCTTGCCAACCGCTGTGTCGAGTGGGAAAAAGAGGAAGGTGAGCGCCAGACTCCTTTCTACTCCTGCTTCTTCCCTCGTGCTGTGCTGGAGGGGCAGGTGAAGAAGGCCCTGCTGTGGCACATGGTCAGACTGGCTTCACCCGTCGGACTTCATCGCTGTGCTTGGGGGAGAGTCTCAGCTGCCCCCTAGCGCCCGACGAAGTCGCTCCAGTAAATGGGGAGGACATGTGTCTGTACTGGTCACATCTCCACACGGTTTTACAAAACAGCTATCATTTCACTGGCATGTTTCTAAAGTAATTTTTTAGTGACCAGTGAAATTTAAAAAGTAACCTCAGAGATAAGTGCAGTGATGTGTGCCTGTCATTCTGGTACTGTGGGAAGCTAAGGCAGGAAGATGGCAAGTTCAAGTGTGGCCTGGAAAACTTAGTGACACCCCGTCTGAAACACACGCATGCGTGTGCGCGCGCGCGCGCACACACACACACACACACACACACACACACAGCTAGAGCTGCAACTCAATAATAGAGGACTCCTGGGTTCAATATCCACCACTGGAGAAAATAGAAAAGGCAACTTAAATGAGTTTCTCCACAGTATCCCAGCCTGTGCAAATAAATTATTTGTCTGTTTTTCCATTCACTTTGCATTTTAATGTCTTGGGAACCTACTAGATTCAGGCAGATGATGTATCAGGTATTGTTCTTCCCTCTAAGAACTATGGTCTGGCCGAGTAGACAGACCACTGAGCAAAGAATTACAGTGGTTTCAAAGCTGTGACCAGGACCTTACAGAGTCCCGTGGAAGCATCAAGGCTCTTTGAGACTCACTGTGCACAGGGTGGAGGGATGGGGCGGAGGTTCGGTGAGGTGGTGACATGTGCGCTAGCTTTGAGGGATGAAGAGGAGTCTGAAGTGAAACAAATGGCATGCACAGGGCTCCAGAAGTGCATGGGGAATTCAGGAAATGGTGAATGATCTTCTGTCGCTTTTATAAGGGATGTTTAGTCACTGGAAGTATGACGGACAGGGAAAATACAGGACAGTCTTACTGTGTCCTAGGAAAGGAGGGTGTGAATTAAGAAATGGAGAGGATTTCATCATCAGTAAAAGACCGTTCTTCCCCTTCCATCAGTGTACTCACCTGTCATATATGAATTTGTTGTGTCATTTTCATTATGGTAAGATTTCACCCAACACAGTGGTTTTTGAAGGAGCCCTTAGATTTTCATGTGCAGATGTCGTCTAACGAAGAGGCACTAACTGTGTGGCTAGGAAAGCATTGAGCAAGGGAAAGAAAAACTAGTCAAGGCTTGGACTTTAGCCCCAGGAGGCCAAGTGGAGGGCATGCCACCCCCACAGGCTCTCCAGGGCTTTCTTGGGCGGTCACCAGGCTGCTTCTCTTTGTTCTTCTAACTCTGAAGGCGGCTCCACAGAGGCTGTGCACTCGGGTCTGGCGCGGCAGGTGTCCAGCCTCCTCACCAACCATCTCGCCCGAGCCACCGAGTGCTGTGGCAACCAGGCTGCTGGGAATGACGCACTGCAGGACGTCCTGAGCCTTCTCAATGACCTCTCAAGGTGGGAGGCCTGGACGAGCTGGGGGGAGCTGGCTTCCCTTCGCATGGTTGTGGTACCTTTTGATTGGAGTCATCTTTAGAAGTAGAGAAATGAAGTTGGGTGTGGTGACACACCCCTGTAATCTCTGCACCCAGGAGGCTGAGGCAGGTGGCTCACCATGAGTTCGAAACCAGCCTGGGCTACGTAGTGAGTTCTAGGCCAGTCTGGATTACATAGGGAAAACCTGTCTCAAAAATTTTTTAAAAAAGAAAAGAAAATACCCAAATTGCTAGTCCCTTTGAAACATGTCTGCTTCAAAAAAAAGAAAAGAAAAAGAAGTAGTCATTGAAACAGTGTTCAGTCCCAAACTGTGAGGATTATTCAGGTGAGTAACTGGATAGGAAGCAGTGTATTATCATTTGCTTTAACTCCTGTGAAGAGTGACTGCTGTAACCTTTTGAGCAAATGCTTTTGCATTCCATAACCAAAGTCTCACCCTCGGCAGGGCAGTCATGAGTCAGGACTGTAGTCGTCTTGCATTCTCATGCTGTGTCTTTAAGCAATTCTCTAGCAGTTCATTTAGTGCCCCATGTGCGATGACAAGGCGCACCAAGTTTTATCTGCCTCGAACTTCATGTTCTTCAGCTGCTGCTGGCCCAGGAAGATTTTCTCAGTGGAAAGAAAAGCTTTCACAGGTCCGTCCCACCACTGCAGTCGTCAGCTGTCGGGGCTGGACACCGCTGCATGTAGCTTTGCTCTCAGAGTACTCATGAAGAAGGACTAAATGGGCAACAGAAAAGCTGCTAGTCTGGGTTTCTAGTCTTGGTGCTCTGTGGAACACTCTGAGTCTTGGTTACCAGTTAGAGAGACTAAGCTGGGCATGGTGGCACACCCCTGTAATCCAAGCACTCCAGAATGCTGAGGCAGGAGCATTGTTGAGAGTTTGAGACCAGTCTGGGCCACAAAGTGAGCCCAAAGCCAGCCTGCACTGCACAGTGAGATCCTGCCTCAAAAAGACAAAAAACAAACAAACAAACAAAAAACCAGAAATCTGAAAATAATAAGTAAGTAAATAAATCAAGCAACCTAATACTTTCTCATAAGGCATCATTGGCAGGTTATATGCTTTTATCAAATGTTTACAAGAAACCTTAATTTTCCTTCATAGAAACATAGTACCAAATGCACATGTGCCCCCCAGAGCCTCGATCCATTGATTTGTTTAACCTCTCTTGCCCATGTCCATCAGCCCCCTGTCTAGCAATGTGGACCTTTTATTCTCGCTTCGGCAGGAGCCACATAGGGAAGGCCATCCTGAGCCAGCCAGCTTGCGTGTCCAAACTCCTCTCACTGCTCCTCGACCAGCGCCCGTCGCCAAAGCTGGTGCTCATCATTCTTCAGCTGTGCCGGGCAGCGCTGCCCCTGATGAGCGTGGAGGACTGTGGGAATGTGGAGCTCCCTCCGTGGAGCTACTCCGTCCCCTCCCTAAACAGCGAGCAGGAAGACCCCAGCGACCCTGCCTCTAAGATCGCCTCCTTGCTCTTAGCAAAGCTAGCAGACTACGTGGTTCCAGGTAAGGAGCTCGTGGACATGAGCAGGTACTGAATCAGGTCCACAAGGGCACCTGGGCATCCTGCAGACAAGGAAGGAGACCCAGAGGAAAGGGCCAGAGTGGGAGAGAAAGGGGAAGAGATGTTCCCAGACCAGTGTTTGTCATCTGTCCGGGAACTTCAGAAGCAGTGCTGCAGTCTTTATGAATGGACATTGCTTTTTGATTTAAGGATGTCAGACAGTTCTTTCTCCAACTGCTTCTGAACCCGACACCACGTTGACCAAAACCAGTCCCAAGAATTCCTTGAAAGGAGATAAAGATCCTGGAGAAGAGAGTGAGGCAGTGGATGGCAAGCTCTCCATCTTTATCCACAAGCGGGAAGACCAGTCCTCCCATGAAGTCCTCCAGCCTTTACTAAGGTGACGGTAATGGTTGTCATAGCTACGTGTCACCAGGCACTGCATGTGTCTGGGGATGCTATGAAATGAGCCCTTTACGTTCATTGGCTGCCCCAGCCTTCTGGACAGCCCTGGTGGCCACATAGTTACTGTGACCCTCTGGTGATGTGGGAAGAAAGTGAGGCAGGACTGAAACAGAACCCAGGCTCTAAGCCATGGCTCATCCTTTCTCTCCAACCCCAGCAGAGCAGATGGCAGGACTCATCTCAAAAGCCTGGTGTGTGCTAGGCAAGTGTGCTACCACTGAGCTACACTTCCCACCTGAACCTCCGCAGAACCTTTGCAGGCTATCGCGGTGCCTGTGTCCTGTGGGGAATCTGCAGTGTGGCTTGGTCTTTGAGAAGGAATCATGGTTTGGTTTTCAGTTGTTGGCATCCTTCAGCCATGAGAAAATTCAGGGAGGTAGAGAAATAAGAGGAATATTGTAAAGCTTTAATTCGGTTTCAATGGTATGATTGCTCATCACAAAAGTAGAAATGTAATTATTGCCCAAGTATTAGAAAGCTGCAGTCCCTGTTAATGGGATCCAGGGCAGCAGGAAGGCCTGCCACATGGCAAAAGGGAATTGAGGCAGTGTTTGTGTCTTTGCACAGTGGTCTTGCTGTGTGGTCAACCCGTCTGCCGTGCGGCAGCCAAACACACAAATGGTTTAATAGCAAAATCCAAGCAGGGTCACAGCAGTTCGCTGCTAAGGTAAAGAAATTTCCAAGAAATGTCATGGCCTTATAACGCATCACAGTCCAGAACTGGTGAAAGATGCTTTTGGAGAGTGCATTGTAGGAGGCAGAGGCAGCTGAAAGCTCAGGGAGTGTCAGCCCTTTCTGGGAGGCTGAGGGCAGCTGGATGCCTCCCTATGCCAGCCTCCCGGAGCCGGCTTCTGAGCATCGCTGTTGTTTATGCATCACTCTCATGTAGGGTGTTAGATGTCATAACTCATAAAATTAGGTAGTAGTCATTTTCTTTTTGAAAAATGGAGACTCTTACTGCAGACTTTAAAAAGTCAGTTTTGTCAGGCATGGTGGTACATACCTGTAATCCTAGCATTTGAGAGGCTGAGGCAGGAGGAATTGTCACAAGTTTGAGGCTAGTGTATAGTTTGGCAAGGCCCATCTCAAAAGAAGAAATTAAATAAAAGTTGGCTTTGGAATCTAAGAGTAACTGACCATGAGGGGCAGCCTGATAGCGCGTTTGCCCTAAGATCACTACCGTGTCCTTCAGGTCACTCACGTTCTGCCTTTCCTTTTTTCAGTAGCTCAGAAGGACGGCCCTTCCGACTGGGTACAGGTGCCAACATGGAGAAAGTTGTGAAGATGGATCGGGACATGACCAAGGTGACCCTCATACGGAAAACCTACTCCAAAAAAACCTGGGATTATGAGCACTTGCCAGGCTTTAAGATGAATAAGTTAATTAAGAGCCTGGTGCGTGCTAGGCAAGTGTTCTACCACTGAGCTACACTTCCAACCTGAGAAATCTCTGTATTTATTCACTTTTTAAATGGGTTGCACCGTGTGCCTGTAGCCTCAGCTGCTTGGGAGACAGTGGTGGGGATTCGCGCACTCAGGGCCTCGAGGCCAGCCTGTGCCACTCTTCGGAGGCAAGACAGTGAGACTCTGCCTGGGAAAAGATGTTCACAGGTCCACAAAGAGACAGGGTGAGACAGTGAAGGCAGTGTCTTCCCTAAGGCCGAGAGAGCTGGCGGGGCTGGTGCTCAGTCAGTGTGCCCCTTACCACACACGAGGCGGGGTTCAGGCCCAGCATCCCCTCCCCTCAAGGGAGAGAGGGCTGGTCAAAATCAGTTGCCATTAAAGGCAAAATGTAGTGAGTTGAGATCTCTTGGTTTTGACCTACAGATTTTTCTCTTAGCTCTTTTAAGAAAGTTTTTCTTTTAACCTAAAAATTATTTTTAAATTAACATTTGAAAGGGTGTTAAAAGAGTAACAGATATTCAAGAATAATAGACAGATAGATACCTCATGAAAATATATAAATAATGCCTAGGCTCATAAATAATTAGAGGAAAGGAATAAAAGCAGCAGTGGCATACCACTCTTTTAGCTGCAAGACAGGTAATGTTAAGAAAGATTGAGATGGCCAGTGTTGTCGGGGTGAGAGTAAGGAGGCCTTCTCAAGTGTCCAGAGAAAGGGCACAGTGTTGGGAAGGCCAGAATGAGGAGCCTACATGTCTTCAAACCGGTCTCCAGGGTGGCTGTTGTGAGGTAATTACAGAAGAGACCACCGCCGCCCTCCGGAAAGCGACCAAGTGGGCACAGTCAGGCCTCATCGTCAGCGTTGGGCCACCAGTGGAATCTGTCAACCCAGAGACTGTGAGTGGACTGTCCACAGGTGACAAAAAGAAAACCGCCCAGACCTCCATTTGCCGGGAGAGGAACTCTGAACTCGCCAGGTAAACCTTCCACAAGGTAGACACTGTCTATGCTCTCCTCACAGTGACTTCAGAATGGCTTTGAAGTTAGGGCTTTTAATTTAATTTTAATTCCTGTTAATTTTTACTGTTTCTTTGACCTGCTGAAAATAGGGAACGAGGGCAAAAATGACCCATCTTCTGTAGAAGTTACTCTCAAAGTGGAGTCTGAGATGCTGTTGGAATGAGACCGTGCGCATAGACAGGTGTCATGGAGCACAGGAGGGTGCTCCTGGCCAAGGGGACGTTAGTGGCAGGGGTCTCTGAAGTACTGGTGAACTCCTTCCTGTCTTCACCTCTTTCAAATAGTACTTTCCCACCATCTCAGCTGAGCACACACATTCCTTTCCAAGAGTAGAGGAGACAGGTGCGTGTTGCCCTGGAGAAGTGCGTGTGAGTTGTTACCCTTGCAAGTGAGGAGCAGCTGCAGTGCAGGGTCTTCCTTTGGTTCCTTCTTGTGGTTTATGCAAAAAAAAAACTTTTTGAGGTCCATTACTTCAGAGTGTTTTAGTCTTACATTACTGTAGTGAAGTGTTTTTTTTTTTTTTTGGTCTTTTTCGTTTTTATCAGTACCAGGGATCGAACTTACGACCACACACTTGCAAGGCAGGTGCTTATGCGGCTGAGCTGAATCCCCAGCCACAGTGAAGTTCTTCTTAAGACATCCAGCTTAGTAAGGAAAGAAGTTTATTTAGCTCCCAGTTTTGGAGGTTTTGAGGCTGGCGTTGGCCAAGGTCTCAGGTGGTCACATCGTGGTGGACTGCGATAGTAGGAACTCATGTCTAGGGGAGCAAGGGATTACATCTTCAGCCACAACCCTCTTAGAGAGCCTCCTCCCTCCTCCGGGTACACTCCCCAGGAACTTACGGTCTCCCAGGAACACTCCCCTGGAGCCACACTTTTTTTTCTTTTGTCTTTTTCCTTTTTATCGGTACCAGGGATCGAACTCAAGACTGCCTGCTTGCAAGGCAGGTGCTTATGCCGCTGAGCTAAATCCCCAGCCCCCACCACACTTTTTTTTTGAGACAGGGTCTCTCTGTGCAGTTCAGGCTAGTCTTGCATTCACTTTGTAGCCTGTGCTGGTCTTGAACTTGCAATGATCCTCCTGCCTCAGCCTCCTGAGTGCTGGGGCTCCAGGTATACACCACCATTCCCAGGGTTGGGGCCTTGGGCAACACAAACCAAGCTCAAACCATAGCATCGCGGGTTCTTCTGATACCTTAAAGATTTCACCTTACTGTTAATTCAGCATCTCATTGTGTCAGTCAGCAAAACCTGCCTTTTCATGGGTAAATAGGAAATATTTCCTCCTGACACTAGCTCTGAAAGCACCTTCTCTGCACTTTTTTTTGGTACCGGTGATGGAACTTGTGACCTCACACTTACTTGCCAGACAGCAGGCAGGCACTTATGCTGCTGAGCTAAATTTCCAGCCCTTCTCTGCACTTTTAACCACCTTTGGGCACTGACAGTTTCCATGTTGACCCTGCAGGACCGATCCCGTCCGGCCCTTCATCAGTGGGCACGTGGCAAACAGCATGGCCGCGGAAGTGATCGCTTTGCTGCACAGCCTGCTAATGGCACCTGAGTCAAACGCTGCTCAAATATGGACCACGACAGCAGAAAAGGTTGGCACAGGATGCCGCTTAGTTGAGGAAATAAGAGGGAGCTTACATTCCACGGCAACAGAATCCTGCCAGTCAAGGAGCATTTCTGTAAAGAGAGAGTCCTCACATTAGCCAGCGCTGTCTGTTGACTGATTTTCCCCTGCATATTGCTCTGACTTAGTAGTTTCCACGCTGGCAACCTGTTCCCTGCCACTGCCAGTTTTGGTTTTATAGCGGTTAGGATGGTGTTCTCAGGGGGAGAGTGACAGTCCTTGATTCCCTGCTTGTGTAGCAAGCAAGGGAAAATGGTACTGATAATAGGGGGAACGCAGCCTTGGTTGGTGGGATGTGGTAAGCACACTCACCGAGCCCTCAGGAAGCCGCAGTGTAGTTCATGTAGCTGACTGCTTTGTCCAGAAATAATTAATCACCACGGCTAGAAATTCAGTTGCCTAAAATCAGAGACCTGTAATCTTCTTCCCCTTTCCACAGCCACTCTGCAAGTAAGCAAACACTTTGTAACATGTCCTCAGAGTCACTGAGATGTAGCCAGTATGCTGGGATAGTTTTTCTTCAGATAACAGTTGCTTTCTTTTAGCAATTTTAGTAACACAGTGTTTGACCCCCCTCATGTTTGGAGGTTGTATATTTCCAGTTTTGTCTTTACATAAGGCATACAAGGGTGAAATGTCCCTGGCCATACCTGCTAGTGTTTTGGTCCCTCCCACACCCAGAGTTCCATCTACATAAGGGAACCAGACACTTGTTATCAAAACAACCAAAGCCTTTAACTCTTGGTGCCCGGGCTGCTTCTCCTACTTAGGTTGTGTCTCGTGCACTGATGTACATTCCACAACTGGGGAAATACGCGGAAAGCATTCTGGAAAATGGCAGCAGCAGTGGCAGAAAACTTGCCAAACTTCAGAGAATTGCCCGGCAGGCTGTCGCCGCACTGTGTGCCCTGGGAGGATTCAAAGAGACAATCAAGATAGGATCTGAGGTTCAGGTAGCTGACCACCATTTTCCCAAGTCATTGCCTTCCCGTGTATAGGCATCCCTCGATTAGCTGGTCATTTTAAGATAAGTATTGTCCACCTAACTGGATCAAAAAAACTGTCCCTTCAAGCTAAGTAAAGAATCTGGGAAACTTGTGAAGTCTAATCCATATTGTGCTGTATACATTATTCAGCTGCTAATGTAATACTGTGTAATGTTAACTGCAATATTTGTGTCCTATAGTATGGTTAGTATTTACAATATTTTGGAAACGGTAGTTTGAGATGATAGCACTGTGATGTTTTGGGCCTATTATTTTAGTTCATGTCCCAGCTTTGGTATCCACGTTTAGAATAAATTACTACTACAGCACAGTTACAGACAGCTGTGCACAGGCCCGCCCTGTTGGTCACTTTAGGTGGCTGCTTACACATCAGTTCTGGCAGGTCCTACTAAAAACCCATCTCTGTCCCTAGGTTTTGGGTAGAGGAATATCAGGAAGTATTGGAGTGGTGGCTTCGATCAACGAGCAGGAAGGTATAGCCACAGTCAGATTCCCACCCATAGACTGTCGCAAGACTTCCCAGGCCTCAGACACACTGACCATTCCACTGTCTAGACTTTGTGTCCCACGATCGGAGGTAAGGAAGCTTTGCACACGGTGTCACTGCCGATGCCGGTGACAGCACTGCAGTGAGTGCTGGGCTGTGCGCAGGACCGGGCACTGGCACGTCCTGGCATTGGTCCTAACTACTGACTAGTAACGTTAGAAATTTTCATCTAGATGACAAAATTCACTTATTTATTGGCTAAATACTGTTTATGTACTTTTGATTGATGAGATCTTACCTGCATTTTCTCTGACATTTTTATTTCACACCTTCATTTCCTATAAACTGACCTGCTAACTAGTTTTTTCCCATTCTCTCCCCACTCGCACCGTCAGGCGCTGCCCCTTCACAAGCTGTCCATTACTGAGAAGGTGGTGCAGGCGGTCCAGTCCATGCTACTTCCGCAGGAGGGCAGCCTCTCCATTCACACCTCACTGCCTGCAGCAGGCGACGGGTCAGCTCCTGTGATGGCAGTCGTCCGGCTTCTTGCCGAAATAAGAACCAGGTGAGCACCCTTGCTAGATGGCCTCTGTGTGGAGGGTGCAGGCGATGAGGCGGGGTGCCGGGTGGGCCCTTCCCCCAGATTTTTTAATTTTTCATGGTGCTGGCAGTCGAACCCAGGGTCTTGGTTTAGAAGGCAGGACCTCTACCACTGCACCATTGCCGGAGCCCCATCTCCAGATTTTGAAGGGTTTCAGCTTATAGCTCTTGCCACGTGCATAAAAGAAAGCATTGTTTCACACTCCGTTTACCACAGTTTGTTGCCCTCCCCAATGACTGCCCTCCAAAGTAAAGCTGAGACGTTCACCTAAAGTAATAAATAGTCAAGTGTGGTGGCACACTCCTGTAATCCTGCCACTCAGGAGGCTGAGGCAGGAGAATCGCCATGAATTCAAGCCCAGTTTGGGCTACACAATGAGTTTGAGGCCAGCCTGAGCTAGATAGCAAGACCCTGTCTCAAAAAAAAACAGTTATTTTTTCCTTGAGACAGGGTCTCAATGTGTAACCAGCCATGGCAATCCTCTCACTTCTTGAGTGCTAGGGTTGTAGGTGTACACAACCCCTCTGGGCTAAAACTTGAGTACCGAAATGTGATATAGGGGAATCATACATCAGGCCACACTGATTTACTCTTTAAGGGACTTTGTTCTATCACAGGAATAGCTCTGCCACTTTTTAAAATGGCTTAGGCCACAATGATACCTGTCTATCACTTAGAAACTGTTAATAAGAAAATCGGGGAATGTGTAGTCTTAGTGTTAGAAGGGAGCGCAGTCTCCTTTTGCAAATATGTCTATTTCCTATTAAACAGGAGTAACACATTCTTTTATTTAGGGTGGATATTTTTGTTTTGTGTTTTGTTTTTTGAGGCAAGGTAGCCTAGGCTGGCCTCCACTTTACAGCAGTCCTCCTGCCTCAGCCCCCTGAATACTGAGTAACCTATTTTCCTTTTAACAACAAAACTTATAATATGTATATTGAATTAAGTGAAAAGAATCAACATACAAAGTTACTAGTGATTGTCCATGCAGTTCAGCAGTTACTGTGAGAGAAAAGCAAAGTTACTTATACACTAGCCCCTTGGTATCTGTGGAGATTGAGTCCAAGATCCCCCTGGGGTACCCAATTCTGAAGATGTCCAAATCCTCAACTTAGAATGGCACAGTATTTTCACAGAATCTGGAAACATCTCCCATGTCCCGAAGTCACCCTTAGGTAACTTATAACACCTAGTGCAATACACGTGCTATGTAAGCAGTTGCAGGGTGTTATTTTGGAGCTAACTGTCAAAATAAACGTCAATACATGTTCAGTGCAGAAGCATTTTCCTCCCAAATAGTTCTGCCTCCTGTTGATTGAATCCACGATACAGAACCCCAGAGGATGTGGAGGGCAACTGTGTTCAGTATTTCCAAGCCAGTCCAGCTTAGAAAACACAAGAAGAATAGGGGGTGTAAACTGGGGGACAAAATTGATTGAACTGTTTTTCACAGTTGACTTTTTAGAGAATGAACATTGATGACTTTGAAATATTGTAAATCTTTTAACATTAAGAGCATGCCTGGTCATGGCCCAGCTTTTAGAAGACAGCTTATTTTGTGAAGAGTTCATTCAGCAGTGTCCAGCAGCTGTGGAAGTGCTTAACCTAGTAGCCCAGGAGTGCAGCGCTGGTGAGTACCTTCCGCCCTCGGTCAGTGAGTATGGTCAGCGAGTTTGGTCAGCACCCTGCAGTTTGATAATGGACGTTATCTGTGCTCATGCACACACCGGAGGGCCCAGCTCCAAGAACAAGGTTATCCCCAGTCGCCTGCTCCCAGCCCTGCAGGTGTAAATAACTGGCCTTCAGCCCGGAGCAGCAGGGAAATCAGTCTTCAGTTTGGCTTTTGCACCATGTCAGGTGCTTTCTTTTCACCACTCAGACGATCCACTTGCCAGTCCAGTTATTTAAATACAGGATAACCAAAGTGTGCATCTATTTTCATGAGATGATGTAATAGAAAATATAAAAAAATTTTTTTTGGTCTTTTTTGTCTTTTGATACAGGGTGTTGTTGCTGGGCAGTTCAGGCTGGTCTTAAGCTCACTTTGTAACCCAGGCTGGCCTCGGACTCACAGTGATCCTCTTGGCTCAGCCTCCTGAGTGCAGGGATTACAGGTGTGCACCACCACACCTGACCTAACAACAGCAATCTTGTCAAACTTATTCAATACAAGAATTGGCTGTTAAAATGACATCTAACACATGCACTGCCTGAGTGATCCTATAAGTAAACTGTTAAGTGGTTAATGCATTGCTTTCGTTTCCCTCTCAGTACTCTTTAGGAGCTGCTGTGGGAACGGCATATACATTTTGACTGCTGATACTGGCTACATTTGACTTCAAAATTAAGAGTTTGCACTGATATCCTTCCTTAGCAGGATATATATGTTCCAGAAAAAATAATAAGTGCAAACATAGGGAGACCAGCATACTGATCCCACTTGTCTCCATGGTCCAGCTTCAGAGATTATCTTCTCATGGCTGATCCTCTCCTCTTTCTCTTTCTCTCTTTCTGTCTCTTTCTTTCTCTCTTTCTCTCTCTTTCTCTCTCTCTCTTTCTCTTTCTTTCTCTTTCTTTCTCTCTCTCTCTCTCTCTCTCTCTCTCTCTCTCTCTCTCTTTCTTTCTTCTTTCTTTCGAGATCCTTTTGCATTGGGCATGGTGGCACATGCCTGCCGTAATCCCAACACTTAGGAGATTGAGGCAGAAAGATCACTGAATTCAAGACCAGTGTGGGCTACATAGGAGACCCTGTCTCAAAAAAACAAAACAAAACAATTAAGACCTGTATTTGTTGTTGTTGTTTGAGACAATCTCTGTACTTTATTTTTATTTATTTTTGGGTTTTTTTGAGACAGGTTCTCACTGTGTAGTTCAGGGTAGCCTCAAACTCACAGTGCTGGGATTACAGGCATGTACCACCCACACCTGGCTGGTCCTGTTTCACCTGTGCTGCACTCCCCAAGATTATTTTTAATTCTAGATATTATTTTTATCTGTAAAGATTTTAGTAAGTGTCTCTGAAAAATAAAAATTGTTAGCCAGGCATTATATGTACTTACCTATAAAATCCCAGCACTCTAGGAGACTGAGGCAGAAGGATTGCAAATTCAAACAAGGTAGCAAGATCATATCTCAAAAATTAAAAAAAAAAAAAAAAAAAACCAACCAAACAAAAATGTAAAAAATCACTGTGCTATAAAAAAGGATAAATTTGAGCTGGGTATGTTGGTGTGCACCTGGAACCTCAGAACTCAGGAAGCTGAGGAAGGAGAGTTGCCAGAAGTTTACTGTTATCCCGGCTACAGTATTAACAACAGTTCTGTAGTACTACATTTTCTAGGTTTTTGCAAGGTCATAATTGTCTTAACATTTATTTAAATAAGGATCCCAGAATGCTACACATTATAATTTGTTACCGAGTCTTACAACTTTCTTTTGAAGTCTAGCTTTCCCCTGTATCTCTTTTTTTCCATACAACTTATTGGTTGAAGAGTTTCTGCCAGTCTGGATTTTGCTACTTGTATGCATGCCTCTGGGGTCACTTACCAAGCTCTTTCAACCTCATATTTCCTGTGAATTGATGGTTGACCTGGGTGTTTTATGTGGAATTAGCCTTTTGTCCCCAAGAATAGAAATGGGTCATGATTTGATTGCCATTCCTTGAATGTCGTAGGTAACCACTCCCACCCACTCTGGAGGATAAAGCGGCGTCTTTAACTCCCTTGATCTTCAGTAGTGTTACTTTTATCTTTTGGGGATTATTTTTCTTTCTTCCTTTTTTTCCTTTTTCTTTTCTTCTTTCTTCTTTTTCTTTTTTCCTTTTTTCTTTTTGAGACAGGGTCTCACTATGTAGCTTAGCCTGGCCTTAAACTCCCATCAGACCTCCTGCCTCAGCCTCCCAAGTGCTGGGATTACAGATGTGCAGCACCACACCGGGCCCTGTTTTGCTTATCTATATTATTTACTATTGTTCAGGACATTCTAATAGCGTTTCTGTTTCACTTGTTTTGTTCTTTCACATTAGGTGACTTCTGTTGCTTTGTTGTTGGTTTCTCGGTTCACCTTTGCTCCTTTTCTGATGCACTCCTCAAGTCTGCCTCTGATGGGGACGGTGCGCCTGGCCCTGGCTGGGAGAGCCAGTAACGCTGCTGACTCAGGAGCTGAGAGGGGAGGGGGAGCCGAGGAGCAGAGGCTGCTGCCCCTAGGGTGAACCAGGCCACACTTTTCGCTGCCTCTGCTTTGTAATACTCTTGGGTTAGATTGCACTGTGAGACAGATTTCACCAGATTCTAGCAAGCATAGAGTTTGCTGGGCTAATTACTTGCTTTTCTGTAGCTCCCTTTCTAGGTTTCTAGGTCTCCGCTTTTATATATTTTAGAGAATAAAGAGGTCTTAACTTGGGAAATTAACATTGTTGTTTAATGTACAAAGTAGGGTTTGTAGTACTGCATATTTTTTGTTAGTACGTGTTTGTGTTACACAGTGATGACATTCATCATGGGGAGTTGCCATGTGTACACGACACATTTTAATTCTTTTTACTTCCTCTTCCCCCACCTTCCTCCACCTCTAGATACCTTTCCCATTGCGAAAGATCTATCTCTCTGATTGCTATTATCCATCCTAATTTTGCTCTTTAAATTATGTATACTTTGAATTTCTCATACAAGAGATACTAAACTTGTGTGTCTGATTTATTTCACTTAACATTATGGTCTCACAGTACATCCATTTTTCTATCAAATTTACCCCACTTAATGGCAGAGTAACACCCCAGGTAGTAGCTTAGAATAGTGATTCTGTGTGGTTTTGATCATACCCACAACCTATGTTTCCAGAGGAAAAGAACAAAGCGTTAGAAAGGAATGTATAGGAAATACTTTACTAATTACAGCACAGAAGAGATGACTGTTAGCCCATACACACTAGCTATATTCTAAAATAGTGGCCTAGGACAAGTTTATAGCCTGGCATGGTGACAAATGCCTCTAATCTAGCACTCGGGAGGCTGACGCAGGTAGATAGCCATGAGTTCAAGGCCACCCTGGGCCACATAAGTGAATTCGAGGTCAGCCTGAGCTCTACAGTGAAACCCTGTCTCAATAAATAAATAAAGAGTCCTTACTAACTCACTTATTAGGCTCTCAGAAGTAGCTGTAAGGGCTGCACATGGTAGGCACACACTGGTAACTTCAGCAGCTCTGGAGCCTGAGGCAAGAGGTTTAAAGTTTGAGCACTGCTCAGGCAATTTAGCAGCTTAGTGAGATGCTCTCTCAAAAATAAAATTAACCCCGCACTCAAGAGGCTGAGACAAGTCACTGCATGGTCAAGGCCAGCCTGAACTACACGGCCAGCCCCTGTCTCAATAAAACAAATAATTAATTAAATTTAAAAATACCTTTTCAGCTGGGCATAGTGGCTCACGCCTGTACTCCCAGCACTCAGGAGGCTGAGGCAGGAGGATCCTTGCAAATTCGAGACCAGCCTGGGCTACAAAGTGAGCCAAAGGGCAGCCTGAACTGCTTAGTGAGACCCTGTCTCAAAAAGACAAAAAAACAAACAAACAAACAAAAAAAAAAACCAACAAAAACAAAACCCACAAAAACCTTTCGAAGCTTAATGTAAATATCAGTTTGCTATTTCCAGAGTCATACCCACAAAAATCAAACAACCTGCACTCTAGGTTACTTTTCAGCACAGGAGTTATTTTTATGGTTTAGGAAAAACATTTTTCATAAAAGGAGTCGGGATGGGTAAAAGAGAAAGGACATTATCACTTATTGACAAGCTCTCACTGTGCTGCCCAGGCTGGGCCTACGTGCTGGGCTCAAGTGATCCTTCTGCCTCCGTGTCCCAAGTCGCTCTAGGTATGCACCGTCCCATGGACATTTGTTTATTGTTTATGTTTTTTGGTTTTGGTTGTACTAGGGTTTGAACGCAGGTCCTTCAAGTAAGCCACATCCCTAGCTGGACTTGAATTTGCAGTCCTCATGTTTCAGCTTCTCTACGAGTGCTGGGATTACAGGCATCTGCTGCCTGGCCTGGCTGGATTTTTTTTTTTTTTTTGTACCAGGAATCAAACTCAGGCCCTTGCACTTGCTAGGCAGATACTGTCTCACTGAGCTATACCACCAGCCCTGGGTTTTTATTTTTTTAATGCATTAGAATGTTTATTTTTATATGCAAATGTCATGAATTTTATTTTATTATTATTTTTGTTTTTGGTACCAGAGATTGAACTCATGACCTTGCACTTGCCAAGCAGGCACTTGTGCCGCTGAACTTCTCTATGTAGGAGGGGAGCACCTAATTCCCCTTGGAAAGGGAACATCCCTGGGCTTTTAGACCTGAGGACAAGGCCCACAGAAACTAAGAAAGCTCTCACCTTGATTTCACACTACCACAGTAACCAGACAGCTCCTGCTTGGTAAGCATGAGGTCCTGAGTTCAATTCCCGGTACCAAAAAAAGGGAAGAAACCAGAGTCTCCCAACTGTGTGATGATGTACGCATTTCCTGAACCATGTGATCTCAATCTTCGAAAGTTCCCAACAATTCCTAAAAAGTGTGTTTAAACTACATGCCAGGCAAATAAATAAAAACTAAAAGCTTTCCAAGCTCCACCAGAGAGTGAAATTGTTAAGTCAGGATGGACTGGGCAGCGTTACGCATTGACCCTCAGACCTTGCTGACGGAAGCAGTACCCCAGGTCTTGCCCTCACCTGGCCCCTACCTGCCTGTCCCCGAGTTTTCACAGCATCCTCTCCCCCGAGATCAGACCTGGTAGCTGTTTCTCAAAAAGCGCCCCATGCCCCAGCCTTGTGAATACACACATTTAAAACAGGAGCCCTGGTTATTCCCGAGCTGCTCTCCTCCCGATTTGTCTGCTTCACTCCGCACTCAGTCAGTTGGGAGCCCCCCCTTCTCCCCCGCCCCGCCCTCCCCCGTCTCCCCCTCCCCCTCCCCCCTCCATTCCCATTCTCTTGCCACATGGGCTTCTCCCGTGGAAAGGCCCGTGGAATTGATCCTGTCCTGCCCACTTCCCCACTAGCTCCTTAAGGCAAGCGCTGTTTTATCATGTTTTAAGACACTCCTAATTATTCTCCCTCACTTTTTCCCTTGCACTTCTTTTCACATTGCCATCACTGTTAGTTTCCTGAAGCCTGATTCAAGGGAGCGACTGACCAAAGCATGTGGGATGGTCAGTGCCTGGTTTCCCTAGGCGTAGCTACTGACCGGAAGCCAGGTGCGTGCTGGAAAAAGTTTACTGCTGCTTCTGGCAGTTACTTGTTACTACAGCCAGGAAGAATCAGTCCCCGGTATCTTAGATTTGAAGTACAGAACTGTAAACGCTCCTCTATTAAGCCCACATTTTAGCAGATACTCTTCAACTGTCAAGTAAGCCTGACCTTCAGCCTCTTCCCCAAGAGTTGCTTGTATCTGTTACTTAGTATGAGTTGTGTCTGCATTGAGCTATAAAGTGTTACTACTAACTGAAAGGACACTGTGGTGGTTATTTATTGTATGATCTGAAGTTTTGATTTTGCCACTGAGAAGCAGATTTCACTCCAAGCCTAAACAAAGGAATGAAGGGCCCGGCCACACCGCGTGGCCCAGTTTGGCTGCTGGCTCCTCTGACTTTGTTAGTGTCTCCTGTTTCTAGTCCTTTCTAATCTATACCATGGGCTGTGCTTGATGTATCTGTCACGACAGTAGAAGTGACAGCATTTTACATAAACTATGTTTTACTTTTGCTGGACTATATACAGGATAGTCTTGCTAAGATATCTTTTATTTATTTTATTTTATTTTATTTTATTTTATTTTATTTTTTTGTCTTTTTCCTTTTTTTTATCGGTTCCGGGGATCAAACTCACTGCAAGGCAGGCGCTTATGCCGCTGAGCTAAATCCCCAGCCCCTATCTTTTATTTTTTAATGGAGGAATAATTTAATACCAGTTTATTATTTTAAAGTATACAGCTTGGTGGGTTTTAGTATACTCACAGTTCTACAGATACCACCACTATCTAATTCTGGAATATCTTCACCTCCCACCTATCCCAAAAACCAGGGGCGTATCAGGCAGTCATACCGCTTCTGCCATCCCCTGTCCTCTGGAAGCACCTTTCTGTCTCTGTGAATTTGCTTATTCTGGGTGTTTTATAAAAATGGACTCATGCAACATTTGGCCTTTTGGGTGAGGCTTCTTGAATTTAGCATTAGGTTTTACGTTTTGTTTCAGGATCTCACTGTGCAGTTCAGGCTGGCCTTGCGCTCACTTTGTCGCCCAGGCTAGTTTTGATCCTCCTGCCTCAGCCTCCCGATTCCTGGGATTGTAGGCATGCACCATCATGTCTGGCTTTGTTGTTGTTTTGAGACAGAGTGTGGCCATGTAGTTCAGGCTGACCTTAAACTCAAAACCATCCTCCTGCCTCAGCTTTCCAAGTGCTAAGATTATAGGTGTGCACCACCACACTCAGATTAGCATAATGTTTTTAAAATTCATTCATGCCATAGTGCAAAGAATGCCACTACATTCTTTTTGATGACTCAGTAACATGCTGTTGAATGGATAGACCACATTTTATTTATCTGTTAGTTTATAGATACTTGGGTGTTTATTCTTTGGCTATGATAACTAATGCAGCCATAAACATTCACATACAAATTTTTATATAGAGTTTCTTAATTCTCTTGAGTTTATTACATATTCCTAGGAATAAAGCTGCTGGCTCATATGGTAATTCTGTGTTCAGCTTTTTTGAAGGACTGTTGCCCAAAGTGACCATACCGTCTACACTCCAGCACTGCCCAGGGTTCCGCTTATTATTCCTCACTCTTACCAACGCTCGTATTGGCCGTCTGTTCTATCCTAGCCATCCTAAGAGGTGTGAAATGGTACCCTTGGTTTTATTTCGCATTTTCCTAATCATTAATCATGCCGGGCTTCTCTTCAGTACCTATTGAATATCCTTAGATTTTCTTGAGAAATACTCTGTTTAAATCCCTTGTCCATTTTTTAATTTGGTTACCATGGTAACTCAGTTCACGAATGCTTTTGTTTACAAATAATTTGGTTTGCAAACAGAAGTGTTTAGCAGAATTTTGTTTTGGTTTTTGAACTCTCCTTTGCAGAAACAACACGACCAGGGTCATATTTACTGTGAAGATGAACATTGGCTGTCTTTTCCAAAATCATGGAACAAATTAAGTTTGTACCTCTTGTCTTCTTATTGTTAAGAGTTCTTTATATATTCTAGACATACTGGTTCTGGGTCAACTGTAATTTACAGTGTTTTTCCTCTATTCTACAGGTTTTTTTTTTTTTCCACTTTAATGTTAATATCTGTTAATATAAACAAAAATTTCCAGTTTTGTTACTTGTGCTTTTGGAGTCATGTCTGAGAAGCCATTAGTGTTTTAATCGTAATGGTGTTTAAGCCTGTCTTTTTATATGCTCTTAACCCGACACCCACAGTTTTGTTTTTTTCCCCTTTCCAGGCAGGATCTTGCCATGGTAGTAGTCCAGGTTGACTTTGAACTCACTACACTGCCCAAATCAGTCTTGAACTCATGGTGATCTTCTGGCCTCAGCCTCCTTAGTAGTGGAATTAAGGCATATGCCACCATATCCATTCTATACCTATATTTTCTTTTAACAGTTTTATGGTTTTAACTGTGGGATTTTTGTTTTTATTTTTTAATTTTTTGATACCGGGGATCAAACGACTGCGCCGCTTGCAAGGCTTGCAAGCTTATGTTGCTGAGCTAAATCCCCAGGCCCAAAATTAACAAATTTTCTTGTGGAGTTTTTGGGTTTTTTTTGAGCAGGGATAGAACTCATGACCTCATACATGCCAGGCAGGTACTTAAACCACTGAGCTAAATCCCCAGGCCGGGACTTTTTAAAATTAGGTATTTGTTCTATTTTGTGTATCATGTGAAGTGTTCCTAACTGCCTTTTACACTTGACTATTATAGACCTTTTCTCATAGTATTGAGCCATGTAGAATTCCCTTCCTTTTTTTTTTTTTTTTTTTGTTTATTGAAATTCTTCTCCCGCCCCAGATCTAAGTTACAATGCTGTCTTCAGTAGAATGGAGTCATGTGCCTGGACTTGTGCTTTGCATTATGTTTCTTAGTGTGTGTGGGTACTTATCTTGTGTCCTCATACACTTCAGTATGTAACTGTCGGCTCTGAGGAGGTGTCAGTAGACAGGAGTTCTTTAGGATCAGCTTAGATGTGAAGAGGAACAGCCTTCATTTGTCAGAAGGGGAGAACAATGCCTGTCATGAATGTTGGCTCTGTGTCAGGTACTTGCTGACCTCATCCTACCTCAGCCTCCTTAGTGCTGGGATTACAGGCATATGCCACCATATCCAGCTCCACACCTATATTTTCTTTTACTAGTTTTATAGTTTTATCTTATCCAAGGGCCATAAGCACGGTTGGAGGTCAGGTGGTAAATACTGAGCCATGGGGCCAGTTCTGAGGCCAAGCAGTCCAGCTCCAGAGCCACGCACTCCCCACGTTGCCAGGCTGCTGAGTCACGTGTAGTAGACAGTGGTGTCGCTGGGTGTTTGCTGTAAACATTTGCATGATCCGTACGAGTGCATTTCCTGTGTTGGGTGCTACCCCAACCGAGTCAGCACCCTCTAGGGGTTGCAGGTGTTGTTTTCACAGACCCTCTGTGTCCCCCTGCAGGAGAGCGACTTGCTGTGGTTGAGGTGCAGTGTGAGCGACTGAGGATGCTCTACCGGGACTGTGCACGGCCTCCGCCGCCACCCCTGCAGGCTGACCGAAGGCAGGTGAGCCCTCCGAGCTGCCTCCACTGCCCCAGGCCTTAACGTTGAGACCGAGAGTGTGCTGTTGTTTGGGAATGCACTCTGCGATGCCATGCTGTCACCTTCGAATGTCAGAGCCGACCGAGCCGGCATTCTAAATATTGAAAAATTACAACAAAGAGCAAAATTTATTAATTTATAAATAGCTTCTCTGTGTTAACAACAGAAAAAGCTTTTTAAAAATCTCAGTTGTATAGTTCACTTACCGAAAGCATATTTAGAGAATGAGAATAAGTAAAAACAAAAGTAGCAGAATATTAAAAGTTGGCGCGGCTTTGAATGCTTGCAGCAGGATTAGTCACGATAGACAAAAGTGAAAACAGCCCAGATAGTGCTTACATAGTCAGCAAATAAACAAGCTATGATATATCCACCCAGAAGTATGACGTATCCGGCCATATAAAGGAATAAGGTGCTTGACACTTACTATTACATGCATAAACCCTGAAACTAAGCTGAGTAAAAGAAGCCAGCAACATAAAACACGCACATCTTTATGGTTCCATTTATATGAAATTTCTAAAATAGGCAAAACCATAGATAAAGCAAACAGACTGGTGATTGCTGAGGGCTGGGTGAGGAGATGGAGAAGGGGCAAGCATTGAGTCCTAATGTGTACAGATTTGTTTTAGCTGGGAAAACCTGACCTATAATTAGATCTCAGTAGTGGGTTCGCAAATGGGTGAATATAGTAAAAACTCTGGTTTACATATTTTAAATGGGTGAATTGCATATTTTGTGAATTATATAAAACAACTTGATATGTCTAGCTAAGTGTACCAGACTGATACTCTTGAAATTTTTCTGTGGTCTTGAAATTATTTTCAAACAATAAAGTTAAAAGTACTTTTTAGAGCTGGGCATGGTGACCATATGCCTGTAATCCCAGCACTTGGGAGGCTGAGCCAGGAGGATCCTCAAGAGTTCAAAACCAGCCTGGGCTACAAAGTGAGCCTAAGGCCAGCCTGAACTGCATAGCGAGCCCCTGTCTCAAAAAAAGACCAAAAAAAAGAAAAAAAAAAGATATGCTTTGTCTGATAGAAAAGCCTGAAGTCTCAATGATTAGATTGATTAAAAATTATGAATATAAGGTAATGAACCTAAAAAGGGAAAACACCATTGTACCCTGCACAGCCTTGAGCTGTACTTTGAGTCATAGGAGATTGACTTCTGATTACAGACTGAATGGAAATGGCTCTGTAGCTACGTAGGACTCCAAGGATAAGTGCATGAGTGCGTGAGGAAAAACAGTACCTAAGGGGAAGGTAAAAATAACCTAGTAAGCACGGGAAGGAATACAGAGGTAAGTAGTAGATTTTAAAAATCAGCAGTTACAAGCCACGTGTGATGCTGCCTGCCTGTAATCCCAGCACTCGAGGCTAAGGAAGGAGGATTGTTGTAAATTTGAGATGGCCTGGGTTACAAAGTGAGCTCAAAAACAGTCTAAACTGCGTAGGGAGACTGTAACAAAAAGATGAAAAAAAATTAACAGTTACAGGATTACAAATGATTATGTCTAGAGAACAGATCTGAACATAGGAAGGAATACAGCGGTGGGGATGTCACTCAACAGTAAAGCATATGTGGGAAGCCTGAGTTTAACCCCTAGCATCGCAAGTATTTTTTTACATACCAGTATCTTCATATCATCAGATACAAATTACTTTCCTTCTTTGAGATGGTAATGGGACTTGTGTGGGCTGTTCTGCTGAATGCAATTTCCCTCATGTAGCCCAAGGAAATCACTTGGAGCCCCTCGAGAGTGTTTCCTCCTGTGCGAGCCTGCATGTTCTCGTCGCACTTGACCTCTGTCACCTTCCTGGCTGACCCCAGCGCCGGAGGAGGTCTGCCTCGGGGCACTTTTATCTATGCCACCTCACCTCTGCCAGTTCAGGTGAGACTGCGCGTGGCACAGTGCCAGTGGGAGGAAAGGCCATGGTTGTGACCCAGCCAGCCTTTCTGACTGTCACCCTCTACCGGTGTCTCTTCAGGCCCCTTCTTTTTACTGGGAAATTGAAATTGTTTCCTATGGAGATACTGATGACGACACAGGACCAATAGTTTCCTTTGGCTTTGCTACAGAAGCAGAGAAACGAGATGGAGCTTGGACCAATCCAGTGGGCACTTGCCTTTTCCACAAGTAAGTGGCTACTATTGCTTTATTTTCAAAACGAAGAGCATTCCAGAAAGCAGTAGCTTCCCACAAAGTGTTTGTAGGTACTCAGAATGCCAGAAGTGAATCCGGTCCCCATGTAAATAAGCCTGGAGGAAAGAAGGTGCCCTTTTCCCTATTGGGTGTTTACAGTGCGCATGTGTGGCGCCAGTCCTTTCTGCTTGTTCTGCACAAGAAGCCAGTGGTAGCACAGCCTGCTGCAGCATATGTGTTACTATGTTTTTCTGTATGGATCATTTGTCTAAACTAAAACCCCAGTGTTCAGGTGTAGTTGCAGTGTTGGCAGTTGGCAGTAAATAAGCCGATTCAGGGATGCAGTTTGGCCCTCAGTCTCTAAAAGGTTCGCTATCCCTGGCCTGGGAGATGCCAGGGCAGGTGTGTTTAATACTAACGTCCTATCACAGTGACCTCTGCACCCGCATGGGGAAATTACCGGGAATTAAATTGCATTTTGCAAAACAGAACCACTCTTAGGATGCTGATGGTACTCTGCTCCTGAAGCTCCACCTACTGTTGCCCTGCTCCTGTGCAGGCCACAGCACCCATCTTTGACTCCCTCTGCTTCCCCCTAGCAATGGCCGGGCAGTGCACTACAACGGCTCCAGTCTGCTGCAGTGGAAGAGCGTCCGCTTAGATGTGACTCTCTCTCCTGGTGAGTGCGGCCAAGGCTTTTTGACCTTGCATATTTCTGTTCATCGCACACTTGGGTCTGAAAGGGTTCAAGTCACATCAGTGTAGCAACAAAAGCAGGTGATTTGTGTTTTAAACCCCTGTCGTGGCTGTTCCACAGTTAACGCCACACCCTCCTTATGCAGCCATCACCCTCATAGCCTCATTCTGACAGCTCAGGAGACCCGTGTGCTCTGGTTCCCACTGTCACATGTTGCAGTTTACGTGTCAGAGGCAAACTGTGTGGCACCCATTGCATTCTTCTCTGCCGCAGGCGATGTGGCCGGAATCGGCTGGGAGAGAACCGAGGGGACCCCACCTCCTCCAGGGCAGCCGGCCAAGGGCCGGGTGTACTTCACTTACTGTGGGCAGCGCCTCTCTCCATACCTGGAAGACGTCTCTGGCGGGATGTGGCCTGTGGTTCACATTCAGAAGAAGGCAAGTTACTGCTGGAAAGGAGGGCCTGCTTAGTCATCGCTGCTGTTGAGAGGGAAAGCGGGAGCACCCACACGTGCTGCCATCGGGACTGCGGGCTGCACACTGATAGGAAGGAGGGCAGAGCGGGCCTTGGCCAATGGGCTCCTTGCTTTGTGTTGACCCCACAGCCTCGGATGGGGTGATGCTTCATCAGAGCACGGTGCGTAACTGCTCTGACCCTTTGCCATATCCCTGCAGGGCAGTTCAAGGCACACTGCTGTTCTTTCGCATGCCAGGGAGATGATTCTGCAGCAGGGGTATGAAAGTGACCCTCTTGAGCAGCTCAGTGTGCCAGGACTTGGAGGACTCTGGGACAGACTCCCAGTTCACACACTTCACCCAGCCTTCCCACCTGGAAAGCCTCAGGCTCTGGATTACACGCTGCCCAACCCGAGTTTATGTTTCCACCCTAGAATGCTCAGATCCCCGACCTCAGACCCTGCAGACTAGGAAATGCCTCACAACAGATGCATCCTTAACGTGTGGGCATGGACATGTCCAAGCGGGAACAGAGCCCTGCCCTGACCTCAGAGCTGCTGGTCCTCTTCCTCTCCGCAGATGGCCGTTCCTGCCTTCCACCTGCTCAGGCCAAAAACCTTCCTCCTTGACTATTCCTTTTTTTGTTCCTCGACCCCCAATGTGTCACCAAATTTGCTCTGCCTTCAGGTTGCATACAAAACCTGACCAGTTAGTCCATTTCTTCACTGACCACCTGGCCTGCCCACTGTTGTCGCTTGGGCAGCTTATCACTCGTTAGTCCCCAGCTCTTCCTTTTTCTTGCCCTTCACACAACTTTCTGCACAGCAGTCACAGTGATCCTTAAAAGCATGTGTTAGGACGGGACATGGTAGTACACGCCTGTAATCCCAGCACTCAGGAGGCTGAGGCAAGAGGGTTGCTGTGAGTTCAAGGCCTGGGCTACACAGTGAGTTTAAGACCAGCCTGAATTACAGAGCGACACCCTGTTTTACACACACACACACACACACACACACACACAGAGTGTTAGGGTGTAGGGGACTTGTCTAGCATGTGTGAAGCCCTGGGGTTGATGTCTAGCACTGCAAAAGAAAAAAAAAAGTCATTAGTTAGAATGTTGTTCCAAACCAGTCAATAGTTTCCCATGTTACAGGATTTAAAAGCCCAAGTCTTTGTAATCCTGTAAGACCTGGTGCTAAACTATGCCTCTGATACCATTTTTACCTCTTTATTTTTTGAATGAATTAGAGATGATTATAATTTAAGCAGCATTTCTCAATCTGTTCCAATCATTCATTCATTCATTCATTCATTCATTCAGCAAATACTTATCAGGCACCCACTATAAGTCAAGCACACTGTGTCAAGCTCTGGATACAGAACAGTGAGCAAAACAGACACAGTGAGTGTCTGTCTTCACAGGATTGTAATCAGCTGGAGGAACTGGTCAGATAATCTATATGTGTAATCACAGCCTTAAATGCTTGAGTGGAATGTTAGTCTCTATGGAAGCAGGTCCCAAGCCAATCTGTTCATGGCCCTGTGTCCCTGAAGAAGTGAAGTGAGCCAGGTCTGCTGGTAGCAAGGTTCAGTTGGAGGAAAGAGCGTTTCAGGTGGAGGAGCGGCTCATGGGAGTTCAGGGGGGAAAGGAGCAGGCCCAGTTCGAGCAGCCGAGAGCCTGAGCCTGCACTCCAAGGGCAAGAGGAAGGACAGCGCGCTAGGTACCAGGCTCCTCTCAGCGGCCCTACCTCGGAATCCCTTCTGATTGGACTTAGTAACGTCTCCCCTGGGGTGTTAAATAAGTAAACATAGCCCGAAGTCCTTTCAGGTCCTCTATATGATCTCCTTTCCAGAACACCAAAACTCGAGCCAACTTTGGTTCCCACCCATTTGCCTATGCCGAGGGCCAGGCCCATCGCAATGCCGCCGACCTGTGCACTGACCTGGCAGAGGAGATCAGTGCCAACTTCGAGGCCCTGCCCTTTGCCATGGCATCTGACAGTGACAACGATGCTGGCACCAGTATTGCTTCTGACCCGGGCACTCATGGGCCACCATGCCGGATTGCCGCTGTGGCCACCGCTCAGCAACGTAAGCTGCCTCTTCCTAGGGCTCCATTGCTCTCTGGGAATGTGGGTGCTGGGCATCCTACAAACCCACTTGCCTGCAGTCTGAGGCTGCAAGCTCAAGGGCCAGTGGGTTGCAGGCCAAGTGAAAGAACTGGGTACAGGAGGTGGCAGCTAGGAAAACACATTCTTCTCTGGCAATATTTGGTGCCAACAGAATGGTGTCAGATAGCAAAAGCCCCCAAATGTTTATGTGAAATCTCTTAATTTTGCAGTTTTACTCACTTTTTAAAATTGCTTTAAGCTGAGCTGGGCACAGTGGCACACACCTGTATTCCCAGCATTCAGGAGGCAGAGGCAGGAGGATCACCACAAGGCCAGCCTGGGCTCCATAGAGACATGCTAGTATAATATAGGATAATAAAATGCCACCTGTAGGATCTAGGTGGTGAGTATTGAGTCATGCACTGAAAACTTTTTTGATTCTTTAAGAAATTTCATAATCAAATTGAATAAAACGAAGCTTGGCAAATTCAGGCTGTTTTTGATACTGCTCTGCAAACTGTTTTTGCAACTCTTTGGTTTTTTTCTAATAGTAAAAAACTTTCCAGATTTTGTTCTCAGTTGAGTGAATCAATCTATCTCTCTCTCTCTCTCTTTCTCTCTCTCTCTTTCTCTCTTTCTCTCTCTCTCTCTCTCTCTCTGTCTCTCTCTCTCTCTCACACACACACACACACACACAAAATGTCAGGATTCATAGATGTTTAATTGTTTCTTGACTCTCCAGTTTCTTAGACATTCTGGGAGACCAGTTTATCCTAGGATGAGAAGTCTGGGAGACCAGTTTATCCTAGGATGAGAAGTCCGTGATTTTCCCAGCCTGCTCGTTTCCAGTTCACTGTTGTAATGCTTTGTTACAGAATATGATAGCGACACCTCCTGTCATTACAAAGTAGAGCTCAGCTATGAGAATTTCATCACCTCTGGCCCAGACCCTCACCCACCGCCCATTGCAGATGATGAAAGCGATGATGACGATGATGATGACATCCCCCAGGCAAGAGCGCTGAGGGGGAGGGCTAGGGAGGCCCCCCGAGAGCGCTGAGGGCTAGGTTAGGGCTGGGCTGCATGTGTTTAAATCCTGGTGACAGGGACAAGCCTTCAGGAGTACTGTGATGTGAGTGTGCAGAGCCATTCCTGTTACTCTTCTGAATGTGTCATCAAGTGTGAACACTCACCCTGCCACATCCACCTTTATAAGCCGCCTATCAGGACCCGTGTCTGCTGGGCTCCGAGCCCAACACCAGAGGTCCGGGTGTGGGAGAAATGAAGGACTCTGTTAGTAACTCCACAGCAAGTTTCAGCATGCCATGAGTGTGCCTCTGTGGCTTTTGAGGGCAAAGAAAAGCTTGCTCCTGTGGAAATGACCCTCTCTGCACCTTGAGGGGAGCACACCCCACGGGCTCCGCACCTGGACTTCCATTACTAGCTTTAGGAGGCAGTGTTTGGGGAGAGCTACGGGGAGGGAAGGCACATTGCCTGCGCCACACGCTCCTCTGCTCACCAGTTTCTTTCTCCTTCCAGGAGGACCACTATGCCCTGCTTGTGAAAGCCTGGGAAACCAAGGTTTTCCCCACCATCCGAAGGCGGTTCCGCAATGAGGCCGAGCGGAAATCAGGCCTGGACCAGATCAAGGGGGCTTTACAGCTAGGTCTGCTGCTTTTTGTTCTTGAGAGAAGCTCATTGCATGTGGTGGAGAGATAAGGGGTAACGGGGTAGATGTAAACCAGGAGAGGCACTTCTCAAATGTCATGCCTAACCTGACAGTGGTACTTTCTCCCTGTCCTGGAGTCTGATGTCTTTTGTTTCCATTGCTGGGTTTTTGCTTAAGTAAATGAGCTGATGACAGATAAAGGTCCTAAGACCTGTGCCTGGAACACAGTAAGCATTCAGTTACTATGCTGCAGACTGTCCAGATGATGATGGTGAGGTCCCCCCTTCCTAGAGCAGTGGCAAAGGCTGAAAGGAAGACAGGGAGGTGGCCTATAGTGCCCAGAGGACCACTGTTATAAGAGCAAATTGGCCTCCCAGGAAAGCTAAAAAAACCAGTCTTGGGCTCTGCAAGTTCTGTTTCTCCTTATTACACTGCAAAGATTATCATTCTGTAATCTCCAAATACTAGGCCACAGTTCGTATTTATTCTCTCTGATGCTCCTTTACATAAGCATCTTTCTGCGATTGTACCCCCTTTCAAACTGTGCTCAGAAAATTGCCACACCTTTTCATTACAGCAAGGCCAGGGAATAAAAGAACGGCAGATAAGTGTGATGGAGATCGGCCTGTTTAAAAGCAGGTACTATCAACCCCTGTTCTTTGCCCACAACTTCCTAAGCACTATGAGGTCTAAGGCAGCAGAGGCAAACCGAAACATTGGGCCCCACCTCACTGTACTCCCCACAATGCTGTCTGTCTGTCTGTCTTCTTTTCTTTGTTTTTTTTTTAAGTCTTTGGATACTTACTTGCTTGGTTTATTGCTTAATTGTGGCTGCTTTTGCTGTTGAACATAGTAATATGTTCTCCCTCTGGAGAGGAAGCACAGAGAAAATCTTAGGAAAAGTTGATACTGCTTAGCTCTCTCTCTCTCAAGCAAGCAGCATGTGTTTATTATAGTCAAAATCACACACAGCACATAAGTCTATAAAGTAAGAAATAATGTTACCCAACTTTTTCTTCCTAGTTATCCTGCAGATTGTTTCTTTGAATTAACTGAAATGAAATGACCACCATTTTTAACCAACTATGTAAAGTCGTTAATTCCATTTTTTGCTGTTGCTATTCACCAACAGTGCTGCAAAGAATGCTCTTGTGCATTTGCACACTTGTGTTAGTGTTTCCATGGGAGAGATCTGAGAGAGTCCTAGAAGTCATGTATTTAGTGTTTAGAACTGGTAGAAACTGCAGAATTACTGCCCCCAAGGGTGTGTCCCCCATAAATGGGGCATGAAAGATTCTCTGTCATTTCATTCTAGACACAAGTCAGTAGCATGGGTGATTTCAAGACTGTGTACCCTGTGGAGAGTTACCTGGTGTGCTGTGTTTTCAGGCATGGTAGACATTGCCCGACAGACGGTTGAGTTTCTCTATGAGGAGAATGGCGGCATCCCCAGAGACCTTTATCTTCCCACCATTGAGGACATCAAAGACGAAGCAAACAAGTTCACCATTGACAAAGTTCGAAAAGGTTTTGCTTTCCTCCTTACTACACTTAGGACATTTTGGATGAAAAGAACAGTTGGATTTTCCTAGGCAGGAACCACGGGGTCTGCCCTGTCTGTACGTGAGCTCCCACCATGAATGACTGGACCTCTCCCGGGCGCCTCCAGATGAAGCCTGCACACACCACTCGGGTGGTGCTGACATTCGGCCTCTGGCGCTCGCTCCCATGTTCCCTTGCTTTCTGGCCACGGCGGGTCTGGGAGTGAAGGAGGGAAGAGGGACCTGTGCTGAGGGCTCCAGATGGGCCTCTCCGCTCAGTCCCAGCTTCTGAAATGTCAAGCCTCATGGTCAGGGCTTACCAGCCTTTTTAGAACTTTAATATTGCAAATAGAGTGTGCTGGTGCATATCTGTAACCCCAGCACTTGGAAACCCAAGGCACTAGGCCAGCATAGACTACACAGTTCCAAAAACCAACCAACCAAACAAACCAAAAACTGCTGCTTGTTTCAAAGACAGGAGATGGTGATTCTCCCTGAAGCAGTTTCTCCTCTGCCTCCTCAGGTCTCACGGTAGTGACCCGTTCTCCAGACAGCAACAATGTAGCCAGCAGCACTGTCGGGACTGCTTTGCCAAAATTTGCCATCCGAGGAATGCTGAAAACCTTCGGGCTTCACGGAGTTGTCTTAGATGTCGATTCAGTAAGTGAACAGCTGTGGGATTAACACGCCCTTTTACACACACAGAGGCCTTCGTGCCCAGACTCCAAACACTTTACAAAGCGTTTGTGGACCGAGGGTGCGGCTCGGTGGGCCTAGCACACACGACGTCCGAGGTCAATCCCCAGCACCGCAACAGAGAACAAAAGGGATTCCACTGGGTTTCTCTTCAGAATAGGGATGAAGAAATCAAGGAAAAAACGCCACTGTGTCACATGGTTTATGTAAGGTTTCTCATGTGTCCAGATGGGGATTGGTGGTACATTATCATCCCCTGACTCTCACACTATCAGCCAGGTCCAGCTGGCCCTCCATTGTCCCTCCAAGGTCCAGGGGAAATTCTCCTGTGTCCTTGATGGGTAGATGACCTGCCATTGCCAGGATTGTTAAAGAGGCACAAATCAAAGAGCCCTGTGTTTGATCACACCTTTTCATTAACTCCTTCAGCCGGCTTCCCCCTCTGTCAAATGTGTATATTGAATACCATGAGCAGTTATCGTCTTTGTGCACCTAGGGCTCCCAAGGACTTGGAGGGGTACAGGAAGAGCAGGAAAGCAGGCTTCTAGCCAGGCAGAGTGGTGCTTGTAATCCCAGCACTCAGGAGACTGAGGCAGGAAGATTTCTGTGAGTTTGAGGCCAGCCAGCACTACATAACAAGGCCCTGTCTCAGACAACCTAGTAGAGGGCTGGGGATATAGCTCGACAACACAGCACCTGTCTGGCAATGAGTTCAATCCCCAGTACCAGAAAGAAAAAACCTACCTACCGAGAGGCTTCCTTTAGAAAGCTGTGCTGTGCCTACATGATTCTAAGGCTATAGGCATACTCTTGGATTTGAGATATTTACCATGCAAGAAACACTGGTAAAATTATACACAGATCATGATGAGAAGTACCCATCATGACATACTTTGGTTGCCATCTATCTGGGGTATGGATATTACTGAAGTATTGCACCATTCTCTTTAAATTGTTTTAAATTGCTAACTCATCATCACATCAATGGTCTTTATTATAGCAATTAAAATTTTCCATCTGATATAGAAAACTGAAACACTATCAGTACTCACCAGATGCTTTCAAACTTTTAGGCATAAAAATTGGCTTGAAGGTAGCATAAATTAATATGTCTATATATTTGTATGTGTATAAACAAATACACATATATATGGATATACATACATATTTTAAATTTTTTCTATTTTGATTGTTTTTGTTTTTGTTTTGGTATCAGGGATTGAAATCACAACCTCACTCTTGCCTGGCAGACACTTATGCCACTGAGCTAAATCCCTGCTGATTACATTTTTTAAATTAACTTGCTCTTAGTCTTTCTGCTGTGTGTTAATTTATAATTGAGAATTTTGGATATAAAAAGAATTAATGTATGTTATGTATGTGTGCCAGCTCCCCATGATGAATGTAATCATATAACATGTTATATATAATATATATTATAAAATGTAGCATATATACAAATAAATTAGTTAAAGAGGAAATTGGGGATATATCTCAGAACTGCAGACTTTGGCTAGCATCTCAATATTCAGCATTACAAAAAAAAACAACGAAGGAGGTAAATTATTAAACGTTACATGATTATTCTTGGGGGAGGGCAGTACTAGGGATGGAATCCAGGGCCGCATGCATGGTAAGCACTCTGCCACCGAGCCATGTCCCCAGCTCTCAGTTTGTTTGTTTGTTTTTGAGATGAAATCTTGCTTCACAGTTCAGACTGGCCTTGAACTCACAGCAGTCCTCCTGCTTCAGCTCCCCAAGTGCTGTGATTACAGGCATGCGCTGCCACATCCAACTAATTATTATTTTTAATGTTTTCTTATATTGTTCTTTTCTCAGGAAAGTACTTAACAAAATTGTATAGTATAAACCTGTATCATAATACATATTTCAGTAGTGTGCTATTGGGCAGGGAGTATAGCTTAGTGGTAAGGCACATGCCTGACACTCCCAGGGCCACCAAAAATAGAAAAGTACTATGAATTTTATATTCCCACTTGGTTCATTAATTTTAGTCATGAAATAGCAAGTTTGGTATAAGTTGGAGCATAATATTTTTAAAAGGCAGGTCTTAATATATACAGAAGGTACTTTTTTTTTTTTTTTTTTGGTACCCGTGATCAAACTCACGACCTCACGCTTGCCAGGCAGGCACTTATGCTGCTGCTTGATACATACATGTGTGTACATCAACTTGGAGCAAAGGGTCAGTGCTCAGAAAAAGCACCAGACACATCCGCTTCCTCTTGTAGGTGAATGAACTGGTGCAGGTGGAAACCTACCTCCGGAGTGAAGGCGTGCTGGTGCGATACTGGTACCCTATCGATATGCTGGAGAGGCCCCCAGCAGGCTACCGAAGGACAGCCACCAATGGGCTGGTCACACTGGACAACACCAACCTTCAGATTCACAGGTAAACTTGAGCCCTCCTTTCTCGCTTTTTTCTCTCTCTCTCTTTTTTTTTTTTTTTTTTGTCTTTTGAGACAGGGCCTCACTATACAGTTCAGACTGGCCTGGAACTCACTTTGTCGCCCAGGCGGGCCTCAAACTCAGAGCAATTCTTCTGCCTCAGCCTCCCAAGTGCTGGGGTTGCAGGCATGCGCTACCAGGCCCTGTGAGTCCTTCTTTCTGACACACACTGTTTTTCCACATGGACCATTTATACTCAACAGGAGAGCTTTTCCTTTAACGCTGAGAGTCAGAGGGTGAAGAGGCAGCTGGGAAAGGTGCAGCAGGGTTGCGGACTTGAAAGGGAAAGGTGGGAAGGTTGGACTCAGCGGGCCTGCACCCCACCTGTGTGGATCGAGGAGGCCAGGGCAGCTGGAGCCGGGGAGGTTCCACAGAGTCAGGCAGGGCAGGAAGAGGCGGGCAGGAGACGGCAGCTCAGGAGATGTCCAGGCTCTGTGTGGGCAGCCAGCACGTTCTCTCTTACATGCCAACCGGGTGTCCCTGGGTGCTGGCCTCTGCTCCTGGCACTGGCGGGAAACAAAGGTGCTGCAGGCACATGCTGCCCCCAGAGGGTTAAAAACTAAGGATCTGGCAAGGTTGCTACCACGCACCGTTACCATTTCCCCGCAAATTATTCCTGTCAGTCCTGAAAAGTTCTGCCACAGTTCAGAATGTAGTAGTAAGTGGAGTTCTCAGTAGAAGCCTCTGTAAACTATTGTTCACACCTGCCATTCTCCAGCTACCACAGTTCCCCCTAGGCTGTCCATCTGGAGCCATGTTAGTATGTCCTAGGCTTTCATGGATCACCCTTGGTGACACCTAAGTCCAGGGCGGGAGCGGACGTGCTGTGTGGCAGCATCACAAGGTTCTCCCGCAGTCGTCCTGCCATGGGCCACATAGTAGGCTTTGCCAGCAGAGTTCACACAGTAGCTGGACAGCTTGGTGTCCTGAAGCGGGGCTGGCGACTCTCAGGACAGCTTCCCCGGCAGCTTCAGGCCTTCTGGGGACCGGAGGCTGCAGCCTCCCTGTGCAAATGTTCTTTTCCTCAGTCCTCCCAGGCCAGAGGCTGCCAGCTAGCACCCAGGGTCGTGTTCACCGTGCCTGCTGCGTTGCCCAGGCTGGCCTCAGACTTGCTCTCCTAAGCCTCCTGAGGGTGGCTTCTTTGGCAGGTTTTTAAGCACTCAGCTCAAAGAAAGTTAACCAACAGCAATTCTTCTGTAGACAAGGAAAGGGTTTTCTGAACCTTTCAATCAAAGTAATAAGCACCTCAGATGAATGTCTTGCTGTGTATGGTGGTGCACCTGTGATCCGAGCACTTGGAGGGCTGAGGCAGGAGGATTATTTGAAGTTCAAGATCAGCCTGTCTCAAAAATGGAAAAAAAGAAAATACCTCCTGTTCTCCCCTGTACATGGAATCTAAAGGAGAGGATAAGAAAGTAGAAGGGAGGTTATTAATAGACTAGAGAATGGGAACAGGGCGTCTGGTACATGGGCGAGTAATTGGGGTGGATATGAGTAAAATACGGTGCACCCGCTGAACAGAAAGTGGGACTGGGGGAGGAGAGGGGAAGGGGAGGAACGGGAGCGGAAACAGCCAGCCGCTCTGAGCACGCGTATCTGCCAACATAGGACCATTAACCTGTTTAACCAGTTTAAAAGGAGTGGAAGCAATAGTAGGCCGCGTGGGAGGTGGCGGCTGTGTTTCCCCAGCCCTGCTCCTCTGCCCATTCCCTGTCTAGAAGGGATAGCAGCTGTCCTTGTCCTCCCAGCCCTGTAAGCCACATCCATCTGGCAACGTTCTGCCTTACCAGCTAGACCTCAACCCTGCCTGCCGCCCGTGACGGCCAGGCTTGTGCCAGCTGCACATGGGTCACCTTCAGAAGCAAATCAGGTCCCACTTCTTCAGTGCGGTCCCTCCCTCCCGCCCGCCCGCCTCTGGCTCACAAACCCCAGCGTGGGCCTCTGCACACGCGCACCCTGCCCTGCCGGCGCCGGCCTCTCCACTGCTCCCGCCGTCGGCTCCATTTCTCTTCAGGCTCTGTGTGGCCTTGCCCTGGACATGCAGCTTGAGCACAGCACCCCGCTTCAGACACGTCTTGCTCCTGCCCCTCAGCACTTTGTTCCCTTCCATGGCTGAGTAGTGGCACTGGGCGGATATGCCACTCAGGGAATGGCATTTGGGTTGCTACCACTTTCTTGCTTTTAGCCACTACTGCTGCTATGAATGTGCAGGTTTTTGAGTGAACATACATTTTCATTTGTTTTCCAAAGGGCTTTTCCAATTGAGAAGAAACTAATGTTAAAAAACACAAAAGACCCTCTTGGGGCCAAAACACGGGGCTGGCAGAGGAGACCGAGATGTCCTTCCCCCGCCCCTCAGCACGGGGGCCAGAGGTCCCCACTCAGCATGTCTCCTGCTCTTCCTGCAGAGAGCTGCTGCGCTGTGAGGCTGCGCTGGCCCGGCTCTACTGCCGCATGGCTCTGCTCAACATCTTCGCCCCCAAGCTGCCCCACCTTTTCACACGCCTCTTCCACATCCCCGCCATCCGGGACATCACGCTGGAGCACCTGCAGCTGCTGTCCAATCAGCTCCTCGCTCCTCCGCTGCCAGGTGAGGCTCTGCCGCTGGCTGTGCTGCTGCGCGTTCGTACCGTCTGGCAGGTGGAGATATATCCCGCACTTCCGAGTTAATCTGCTGAATAGTCATGGAGTGTCCCAAACTAACCACAGGTCAAGGAACCTGGCAACTGCACTGCCACAGACAGCAGCATGTGTCCCAGCTCTCGGGCCTTCCAGACCAGACCTTTTGAACTGTGCGTGTCTGCTAGACCTGAGGCCCATGGCTGGGGTGTGTGCTCCGCTGGGAAGGCAGCGTGAGGAGTCTGCTCGCTCTCTTCCTCTGCCACCCCAGCCTCCAGTCAGCTCCCCTTGACTTCCTAGCAACTAAGCTGGGACCCAGAGATGCGGGCAGGGAGACGACAGGGACCCTGAGCCCCTCAGCATCTCAAGTAGGCACTTTCCACCTCACGGCCATGGGAGTCCCACCAGCACGTTTGTGCCACATCTCCACTGGCTACCCCAGGAATCTGGAGGCTCCAGAACTTACCCATGAGAGCACTTTGCCATGATGATTACACACACTGCTTTGTAAACTCCACTTTGAGGCCCCTTATAGTTCCTTGATCCAGCCCAGCCTGGCCAAGTAGTGAAGTGGGTCGGCTCTGGACCCTCGATCCGTTTTCCTCCCTGTCTGCAGATGGCACCATCAGCTCCAGCTCCATCCTCCTGGCACAGTCTCTGCAGCACTGCATCCACTCCCAGAACTGCTCAGCCACAGACCTCTTCTACCAGGGTAACTCCCAGACAGTGAGGGAGTGGCTCAACGTGGCCATCACCCGCTCCCTGCACCAGGGCGAGGACAGCCTCTTGGAGCTGACCAAGCAGATCTGCTCCTTCCTGCAGGTAATGCTTTGGCCTTGGCCTGCGCCTCCCATTCTTACCGGCTTGCTGAAAATTGTTCCCCATCTCCCCTGTCCCACCATCCCCTGGGCTCTCCCTTCATGGAAGCCCTTCTGCTTGGTCTCACCCATGGCTTGCTTCCTCCCGGGGAACATTTTTGAGTCGATTACAGCATATGCTCAGGCTAATCCCTTTTGCTTGGTGAGATGAGAAATGAAATGAATGGAGGCTTTCCTTACTTGTGTCTCTTTGTAGACAGCACCAGAGCAGTTCCCCTCGGAAGAGTTCCCAATTTCCGAGTCCAAAGTCAACATGGACGTTAATTTCCCCGGGGCGGCTTTTGTCGTGGTGTCTTGTAAAGAAAGTCAGTCTGGATTCCGCAAAGAGTAAGTTGATTTTCTCAAGAGGAGTTGATGGGAGAAGAGCCAAGTGAATTCCCGTGACGCTGGCAGAGGGAAATATTCAAATTGTCCCTGTTCTTCAATGCATACACCCTTTAAAACTGGTCTGCAGTTCCCGAGATTCCCTGTGTGGGGACACGGCCCTCAGGGGTGCCGGAGAGGACTTGGCCAGCTTCCTGCTGTGTCTGTACTAACGCCTTTCCTCCCAGCTCCTCTCTGTACAAGGCACCATGGGCGCGCGTGCTCGTGTACGGGCTCGGCCACAAAGTGAAGCGAACTGGCCAGCTGAACCTCATCGAGGCCGCCTGTTACCCGAGGGACGCATCCCCAGCCAACACTGGGCTGGCCCCACCGCCCACCGCTGACCAGTACCCCTCCGTGGTCCTCTCCACGGACAGGGTCCACATCAGACTGGGTGAGTCTTCCCCTGCTCCGAGAGATGCACGTCTGGGTCAGCTGCTCTGTGGCCTTCTTGGTGGAGATGCAGGGGTCTGGCTGGGTCCCTGCTGCTCAGGGTGGTGTTTCTATGAAGCAAAAGGTTGAAGGCCTGGCAGGGGCTACCCTGGGGTTTCCCCGCCTTTCACAAGCGGCACTGGCATGCGGTTGTTTGTCGGAGGAGAGCAGTCTCGGCCTCACCTCATCCCGCGCCGCACTGTGCCAGGCGTGTGCCGCGGGTCTCACTGTGCGGCCCTACGCTCCCTCCCGGCTACCCAGGGCTCGGCTTCCCAGCAGGCCTCCTCTCTGTTACCCCGAGCCTGTCACTGCCTGTCCTCTTCAGATAGGAAAGCGGCTTAGCTTTTAGGCCTCCACAGCCCGCCCATGGCATGCTCCAAGAGAAAAGATCAACGCGTTTGTCCAGGACAGCAACAGATCACATCTGTGCTCAGCTAGGACGATGGCCCTGTGTGTCTCAGAGCCCCAGGCCCTGAGCATTGCCGCTTTACGGGATGGGATGAAGGACATTTCTCAAGGGACTCGGTCATTGCTAAACAACTTGATGTTCCCTTTTTAAATCTTTTTTCATAGTTTCTTATCTGTAGTAGTTGATTTTTTTTTTTTTTTTTTTTTTTTTTTATGGTACCAGGGATCAAACTCTGGACCTCATGCTTGCCAAGCAGGCGCATATGCCACTGAGCTAAATCCCCAGCCCCTGTACTAGTTGATTTTTAAACTTAACATTGAAAACAGGATTTGAAAAAAGAAAAAAAAAAAAAAAGAAAAGAAAACAGGATCTGAGCTGGGCATGGTGACGCACACTGTAACCCTAGGGCTTGGGAGGCTGAGACAGAAGGATCTCTGTGTGTTCAAGGCTAGCCTAGGCTACATATAGAGACTTAGTTTAAAAAAAAACAAAACAAAAATACCAGAATCTGGCTGAGAGTATAGCCCAGCGATAGAGCGTACACCAGACTTTGGGTTCAATCCCCAGCGTGAGAAAAGCAGATAAGAGCAGAGGCTGCGCCTCACCTTTCCCCTGTAAACATGCTCCCTGCAGCGTGTGAGCCAGCGTGCTCCCCTGCCCCCTTGCCCGACACCTGCTGGAGCCCTGGCTCAGGTGTGGCCGGGGCTGCAGTGGGGCTAGGTGCAGGGGAGGCTGTGAGGGCACATATTAAGAAAATTAAAACCTGTGGGTTTTTAGCTCAGTGGCATAAGCAGATGCCTGTTAAACACAAGGTTGTGAGTTCGATCCCCAGAGTGTCCCCCTCCCCCCAAAAAAGAAAAGAAAACTAAAACTCAAGGTCAGGAGCCCGGGACTGCAACTCAGTAGTACAAATAAATAAACATAAAAATAAAACATAAAAATAAAAACAAGGAGAGAACAGATGCAGTGACACATGCCTGTAATCCTAGCAATCAGGAGGCTGAGGCAGGAGGATTGCCTTGAGTTCAAGGCCAATCTGGACTATATAGAGAGACCCTGTCTCAAAAAAGGAAAAGCAGGGAAGAAGAAAAAACGAGGTCCTGGTAGCCTCACCTCTGGGGATACGCTGTTCCTCCACTGTAGTCTTCACTGCATTACAGCCACGGGAAAGGACTGTTCTGTCACCAACCTGGGGAGGGTCCAGCAAAGCGTCTTTTTTTTTTTTTTTTTTTTGTCTTTTTCATTTTTATCGGTACCGGGGATCGAACTCACGACCGCCTGCTTGCAAGGCAGGTGCTTATGCCGCTGAGCTAAACCCCCAGCCCCTTAGCAAAGCGTCTTTAAAGTATGACTTAATCCCCCGTTCTGGATCACAAGGCCAGTTGCTTTTGTTTTTTTGTTTTGTTTTGCTGCTGTTCTGTGACGGGGGGTTGCTGAGTTCCCCAGGCTGGCCTCAACCATGATCCTCCAGCCTCGGCCTCCAGAGTTGCTGGATTGCAGGTCACAGCACTGCACCACTCCTGCCAGGAGGGGGACATGTACCCCCTCTGCCGCACTACCTCTCTGCCCCTTGCCACTGCAGCAGGTGCACTGGGAGCCGGCCTTAGACCCTTCTGTGCCTGCAGCTGCCCTAACGGAGAGACAGGACCCAGCCTCCCCACCTCCAGCTGGTGGGGGTCGGGCTTTCCCCAGGTTCATGGCAGGTCCTCTCCTCCTGGGCTTGTGTGGCCCGGTGCCACTGGTCACAGCTTTGCTTCTGGACTCTTGTAGGTGTGTCTCCACCTCCCGGGGCTGTGCTGGTGTTACACTCCCTGCCCCTGGAGTTCCCACTGGCCATGGCCTTCGCAGAGCAGCTGCTGTCCTGGAGGTCAGAAGATGGCGACGCAAAGGCTGAAGATGAGCCCGACACCATTCCCACTTCGGTCCTCCTTCAGGTGGTGGAGCTGCTAGGTGAGGCTTCAGGAGCAGGGCCAGGCGTGCTGGGTGTGGGGTGAGCTGGAGCTGGGTGCGGTGTGCATCCCGGTTCGCACCCATGGCTTGCATAGTGGAGGATGGCAACTAACTGTGAGAGGTTAATTTGTCATGCTTTATATATGTGTGTCATTGCGACTGGGGGCAAAGAGTGACAGTGAACAGTGTCCCAAAAGTAGACCTCACGACTTCATAGCTCCTGAAAGGTCACAAAGGGTACAGAACTCACACGTGGCAAACTTCAGGGTTGCACATTTTCCCCTATGCACCCTTAGCTCAAACCAATTCTCGCTCTTTTTTTTGTGTGTGTTTGTTTTTGTTTTTGAGACAGGGTTTCACTATACAGTTCAGGCTGGAATTCACTCATTTGGTAGCCCCTAGCTGGCCTCAAACTCACAGCAATCCCCCCGCCTCCTCCTCTTGAATGCTGAGATTACAGGCATGCACCACCATGGCCAGCTCAAACACATTCTGAGAAAAGAGCTGGGTGTGAGTACAGGGCTCAGTGGGCACAAGGCCCTGGTCCAATCATACGCAGTAGACACACACGTAAACCTAAGTAAATACTGGACGTTCATATTGTTAGGTGGGCTTGTTTACACTTTTAATACACTGATATCTGCAACTTACCTTAAATAATCAAAACTTAATATGAGTTTATAGAAGAATAGAGGAGTGGGTAGATGTGTAATAACGCAAATATGTCGTCTGTAGCAGGAAGTAGACATATAGGTATTACTATGTAATCTTTCAACTTTTCTATAGTTTTGAATTTTTTCACAGTAAAATATTAGAGCCAGGTGCCTGTACCAGCATTTGGGAGGCTGAGGCAGAAAGCTTGCATGAGTTCGAGGTCAGCGTGGGCTACATAGTAAGTTAAAGCCAGCCTGAACTACGTATTAAAACCTTGCCTCAAAAAACTTAAATTTGTAAATAATAAAGATTGGAAGGGGAAAGCAGCTGCCAACCCAAATCCCCAGAAGGATGACACAACAGAAATAGAGGAGGAAAGAGGGAGGGAGGCCCCAGGCACCTGTCAGGCAGGACAGCTCACTGCTAGAATCTTCTACAAGATTGCCTACCAAAGTTTCTGGGTCTGTGATCCACTTTCTTTCTTTCTTTTTTTTTTTTTTTTAATTTTAAAAAGGGTAAAATGAAACAGAACAAAACATCATAAGAAAACAATTTAAGAAACACAGATTTCAAAGCAACCACTGGAGATCTTCACTGTCTATCATACTGTCTCTTGTTTTTTTCCAAATAGTTGTCCATGTCTTCACACACAGTGAATTCATACTGAACAAAATAGTACTAAGCTGATCAGAACAGGATGATGAAGACATTTTAGGTCTTCCAGACCAGACAGTAGAGGAATCAACAATGGCTGCCATAGTGTCTCTCGTTCTCTTCGAAATAGCCATCCCTACCTTTACATATGTTGAAATTAAACAAAAGAAAACAGACTAATATCACTCTGAACAGAGAATAATAGCATTGCTAGATTTTATATCATAATGCTACAGAATTAGCACTGGGTATCTTAGTGTCTCTTCTTCAGAGTATCTGTTCATTACATCACGCATGATATAATCTGTTCTCGTAAACTGTTTAGAAATTCTACACATGTGTGAATCTCTACCTGTATACCTATCCTTTCTGCATTATAGGGAAAAACAGATCAGAACAGGACAACAAAACAAATTCCTAGAAAAACATGAAACCAAAAAGACATACAGGACCACAATGTAGGTGATCTACAGTAGTTACTATGCTGACTCTTGTTATTTTCAATAGAATTGTCTACATCATCAGGCATAATATAATTGAACACAGCACTACATAGCAATTTTAATAAAAACACAACATTGGAGACATTGTAGGACTTCAAAAGCAGTTAATAATCAAACCGGAATGGGTATGTTATTGCATCTTGTCATCTTCAGAGTAGTTGCCTCTACTCTTAGACTTGATACTATCAAGCATACCAAATCGAATAAAATCAGTCAAGACAAAACAGCGATCTAACAAACCAGAGTCAAATAAAATCAGTCATAGTAAGACAATATACGTAATACAAGGCTTCAGGTTAAGTTAATAGGGAATTAAGGATAGTTACCATAGTGTATCCTGCTATTTTTAGGATAGCTGTGTGTGCCCTCAAATGTATTATGAGGAGACAGACTGGAACAGAATAAAATCAAACTAAACAGAGCATAAGACTAATGAGGCTTTTAAATCCTGATACACTATTAACAATGTCCTCTGCCTTCCTGTTTTAGACAGTTCCTCCCCTTTTCCTTTCTTAGGGTGCTTTATACATTTTGGGTCCCACTAACTCCTTTAGTTTTTAGGTTGCGGGGCAACCCTCTATCCACCTAAGTGGTTCTGAACTTTTTTACCCCTGAACTTGATCTTGAGCTGTACTCCTTTACCTACTAAATCCTCAAGGTTTCCCTTCCTTCCAGCTGTGTAGTTCTACACTGCACAAAAGTGTCATGACTTTCCAACCTATCTGCAGCTGCTGGACGAGCTGTCCCTTTTTCTTTTTGGTTCCCTGTCACATAGAGCATCATTTTCTCATCTTTGACTTTCGGTTTATTAACCCTCTTTCAGGTTGAGTATATTGCCTATTCAGAGCATTTCGATGGATCCTATCTCCTGATCTACTCTGCCTGTGTTTCTTTTTGTTAGTGTATCAAGGCCATCTGTGTTAGAGCTTATAGCGAGCTTATAGCCAATCTTCTCTGCCTCATCTCTGCTATGCTATTTTTCTGCTGTTGATTGTCTACTCTTCTCCTTCATCCTACTCTCTGCCCTGTTCATTGAGGCCTCTCTGCCACTGTTGCTAGAATCCTGGTATTTTTTTCTCTCTCTCTCTTTAGAATGTCCTTCAGTATTTTTTGTAGGGTTGGATTGGTGGTCACAAACTTGCACAGTTCCTCTTTGTCATGGAAACATCTTGTTTCTCCATTAATTTTGAGAGAGAGTTTTTCAGAGTACATCAATCTGGGTTGGAGGTTATTTTCTTTCAGGGCTTGAACTACTTCACTCCAAGCTCTTCTTGACTTGATTGTGTTGAGAAGTCTGTTGTGATTTTGATGGGTTTTCCTTTATAAGGTGATCTGACTGCTTTTAATATTCTATTCTTGTGATGAATTTCTGGGATCTTGATTATTATATGTCTGGGTGTAGATGTGTTTTGGTTGTAGTTGGCTGGAGGCATCTAAATGTTATTTCCTTTTCCTATGCTTGAGAAGTTTTCCTTAATTATTTCTGTGAATAGCCCTTGTAATTCATTTATGTTTACTCCTGCTTCTTTGCTCATGTTTTTTATTCTTAAGTTATAGATCCTCTTGTCATCTTCTAGCCTTTGTGTTATTACTTCCTGGTTTCGTGTTATTATTATTTTCTTTTTGTGGTACTGGGGATTGAACTCACGACCTCACACTTGCCAGGCAGGTGCTTATGCCACTGAGCTAAATCCCCAGCCGCGATTTCTTGTTATTTTTAAGAGACCTTTTCTTTCACGATCACACATTGCAAATCTACGTTCAAGTTTTGAAAGTCTAACTTTAGTTTCTGTCAAGGAATTTTGCCAGCTTTCAAAGGAGTTTTTAATTTCCTGGTAATCTCTTTGAATGTTTCATTTATTCTAGATTTTGTTCATATTCTTCATTAAAGGTTTCTCTTCTTTTTCTATCTGTGTCTTCTTGAGAAGGGCTTGGCATTTTTTATTAATCTTTTTATATCTTTCCTCACTTGAATTAGAATTTCAGTTTCAAGTTCGTCTATGAGGTCATGAAGGTATTTCTTTCTGTCCGCTGACGCTGTGGCTGATATTGCATGACTGCTGCACTGTTTCTCTTCTGTATTTACCTCTCCGGGGCTTATTTTCCCAGGGTCAGTGGCTGGAGGCTTTTTCTTGTTTCTTTCTCTTGTGATGTTTCTGGTTTCTTTCGGACAGGTGTACAGTGGAGGTCTCAGGCCCCTTCTGTATTGCTTCTGGTTTTTCTGAAGCGTGCTGGCTAGAGGATTGCCGCCCTCTCCAGTTTATTATTGATCTGAGGTGCACGCAGGGATGATGCGGGCTGGCCCCTCTCCTGAGCCAGTCAACTGGCAAGTGTCTTCAGCACATTAGTCTGTGCTGTGGGGACATCACAGGTTCGGGGTCGGGACCCAATAGTCAGGGACGAAACTGTGATCCACTTTCTGGAATAAATGTAGCTGCTGGGGGTCGGAGGCCCACGCAGGCAGGCGGTAGGATGTGGTGGCGCCCTCTGCCTGCTGCGTCTGCACTCCAGCCTCATACAGGCACTTGTGCAACCTGCGTGTCCCAGTGGGTGGGCAGGGCGGCAGACATCTTGGAGAGCCCTCCCCTGCCAGTCTAGCCTACTTGCTGCATTTAGGCAAAAGTTTTTGATAAAAGGATAAGACAGGGTCTAATTTTCCTTTCTATCAATTTTGAATTTGGAAAACATGAGCACTTCAGCTCTTCAGCCCACCCAAGGGCGCTGCTCCTCAGACCAGGATAAGTGCAGCCCCTGTCATGAGGCTTCAGGTGGAGCCCGTCTCTCCCCGTCTCTCCCCGTGTCTCTCCCCTGCCTCTCTGAGAGTTGGCACCGTGGCTGGTGCTGGGCCCGTCCCTTCTGCTGTGGGCATGGGGCAAGCGCTGACCTCAGAGCCCCCACCGCCTTCCCTGCTTCTTCCCTAGTGAGAATCTGTGTTCCCACCACAGTGTCGCCTGCCTTGTTTAAGGAACATGGCACCCACTGAAGGGCGAACTTATCATAAATTGGGATTTCAAATAAATATTATGTATCTGTGTCAAGAAGAAGAAAGAATAATACCAGCCGAAAGAACAACTTCTTTTTTGATGTTTGGGGCTTGAGCCCAGGGCGTCACACAGGCTGGGCAGGTGCTTACCACCGGGCTACGCCCTCGCTAACACAAGCCTTTCTGTTGACAAAATTAGGACTGCCACAGCCGTTCAGCTGCCACAATGGCTCATACCTGTAATCCCAGTACTCGGGAGGCTGAGGCAGAAAGAGCACAAGTTCGAGTCCTTCCTGGGCAATTTAGCATGACGCTGTGTGAAAATTTTTAAAATTTTCTAAACAGTTCTGGGGACATAGCTCAGAGTGAAGGCAATAGATCTGACCCTCAGTCCTTCAAATGAATGAATGGTTCGTAAAAAGGAATCATTTCCTACACTTGGGTAGGTGAGGGTTATGCATCCTGTCCTGTTAGCATCATCCCATGCTTTGGGGAACACTGATCTAATGACTGGCACCAAGTTGCTGGGGAACCTTAGGACACGAGAGCAGAGCTGCCCATCCTGTACTGCAGAAGTAGGCAGGACACCATCCACGGCATCGGGTTGAAGGCCCTGGCTCTTCCTCTGGTAGCAGTGACGCTGGCCAGGGCCCAGGCCTACCTGCTTCTTCCTCCCTAGGATTCGGGCACAATGACTACTTTCAGGGTTGTCCTGTGGCTGCATCTGGTGAAGTGCATGGCAGCGCCTTGTGAGTGATCGCTGTCCTTGTCCTGTCTGCCCCAGGAAACTTCCTGTGGACCACAGACATGGCGGCCTGTGTGAAGGAGCTCGTCTTCCACCTCCTGGCCGAGCTCCTGCGCACCGTGCATGCCCTGGAGCAGAGGAAGCACCCTGCCGGCCTGTCGTCCTCCATCGCCCTTCAGCTCAACCCCTGTCTGGCCATGCTGATGGCCTTGCAGTCGGAGTTGCACAAGCTCTACGATGAGGAGACCCAGAGCTGGGCATCAGGCGGTGGCTGCGGGGGCTCAGGCGCTGCTGCAGCTGGCGAGCAGGGCAGGTTCTCCACGTATTTCCACGCTCTCATGGAGGGGTGCCTGGCTGTTGCTGAAGTGACCCTGCCTACCAACATGAGTGTCACGGCCAGTGGCGTGACCTCCACGACTGCCCCAAACCTCAGTGACTCCTCCTCATCCTCCTCGTCCTCGCCAGGACAGACTCCACAGAGTCCCAGCCTGCTGTCCAAGAGAAAGAAGGTCAAGATGAAGCGGGAGAAGGCCTCCTCCTCTGGGAAGCGCCAGTCGTCCCGTGCAGTCGAGTCGGACTCCACCATGCTCAGCATCGGGGGCAGCAAGCCTGAGGACATGCTCTGGTTCCACCGAGCGCTCACGCTGCTCATCATCCTCCGCCACCTCACCCGGAAGGACCCGCAGGGCCTCGGTGTGACAAACGACGCCATCGCTGATGCCTGCCAGGCCCTGGTGGGCCCCACAGCCCACAGCCGCCTGCTGGTGATCTCAGGTATCCCCACCCACCTGGATGAGGGCATCGTCAGAGGTGCCATCCGCAAGGCCTGCAATGCCCACGGTGGGGTCTTCAAAGATGAGATCTACATCCCACTGCAGGAGGGAGACCCCAGGAAGCCCCAGGACAAGGCCGAGGGTGGCGACGGCAAGGCCGAGCCTGAGAAGGCGCTGGGCTTCCCGGGCGCAGACAGCCTGGATGGGAGCACATCCAGCAGCCTGGCCCCTGCCATGAGCATCAGTGCCTCCGCATCCACCAGTCAGGCCTCCATGTGCAGCTCCCAGGGCGTGTCGCAGACCGTCAGCGACCTCTCAGTGGACCCGTTGCCCGCGGGCCTTGAGCTGCCTATCCCTCCTGGCCTGCTGGAGCCGCATGCAGTATCCAGCCAGGAGAGCCTGGACATCTCTCTGTGCAGCACGGGCAGCCTGGGCAGCCTGGGCAGCCTGGGTGAGCAGCTGGACAATGCAGAGACGGCCTCAGTGTCGGACGTGGGCTCCATGTATACTGTCACGTCCCTGGACAACCAGCCCCTCACTGCACGCCCCATCAAAGGCTTCGCAGTCGTGGAGGTAATGGCTCCCCACCTCACAGCCACATAAATCCTGACCGGGTTGAATCCCCCAAGCCTCCCAGCTCATGTCCAGTGGGACCCCCGGACAGCAGCGTCAGGATTGTGTCGAGGGCAGTGATGTCACCAGGGAGTGCAGCACTGTGCCTTGGGGCCCGTAACCTCCAGGGGTGGAGCCCTGCAGGTGTCCCCACTGCCCTGGCAGCTGCTTCCAGACCTCTGAGACTGGGGCACTGTCACTGCAGGGGGATCTGCACTGACTGTGAAAACAGTCACATGCTAAGCGCTCAGGGGTTCTGAATGCCAGGGGGTGTCAGGCTCCATGAGAAGACTCCATGAGTTTCTTGTGCCACCATGTTTAGATATCTTACATCTGGGGTTGGCATGTACTTGGGAGGCTGAGGCAGGAGGATCACCATGAGTTCAAGGTCAGCCTGGGCCACATAGTTTGTTCAAAGCCAGTCTGAACTAGATAATGAGACCCTTGCCTCAAAAAAAAAAAAAAAAAAAGGCAAACTGGAGCCCGGGCTGTCACTCGGGGTGAAGTATATGCTTAGTGTCCACAGGCCCTGGCATGCCTGAGTGTGCACACACACACACACACTCAAAATTAATTGTTCCCCCGCTTGCTGGGTAGTAGAATGCTGGAGAGAGACCTTGCACTGTTTTCTCCCAGTGTGGCCTGGAGTCACTTCTTTGAATCCAGGGTAAAGCCACAGGCCTTGGTGGCCCACAGAAGAGTTTCCCATAAGGAGCACCCTTGTGGGCTGGCAGCTGTCCCCAGGCGGTGCAGGGAGGGCTCACAGGCCCAGGGGGTGGAGCCACCGCCACGTGGAGGGACCGTCACTCTGCTCGGATCTGACCCTTGTTTTTGTTCACACAGATAAGATCCCGAGCCAAAATTGAGAAAATCCGAGCAAGTTTATTTAACAATAATGATCTGATTGGTTTGTCAAGTTTGGATGGTGAAGATGAACTGATGGAGATGTCGACCGAGGAGATTCTGACTGTGTCCGTAGTGAATCAGAGCTTGTTTGATACGCAGGGGAGTCCGGGGCTAGAAGATTACTTCAACGATAAGTCAATTAAAGGTTTGGACTTGTTTTTAAGCAATAGGTCCTCTCAGGAACAGTTTTAGGTTATAGAAGAAGTTGAGTGAAATCCACCCCGCCATGCGCAGGCCCTGTCCTGCACACCTCGAGTGGAATAGGCTTCTGCAGCCAGCCCAGGGAGCTGCAGAGTTTGGGGGTGCTTTTGAGAGTGAGCAGGGTGCTGGGGAGGTGGGTGGGAGGCAGAGTGCTGGCTCCCGGCCTACCGGTCCATTGGGCTGTGGAGGCCGAATGCACGCCTGTCCCTGGGCAGAGCAGCAGCGACAGCCAGTGGCATCACGGCAGCCCCCACCCCACCAAGGCTCCTCACGGGCTGGCTGTCGGCCTGCTTTCTGTGTCCAGCTCGCACTCAGCCCTGTGGATTTAGCTCTGTGCTGTGCAGCTGGAATGTGACTAGGATATCGCTGGTAGTTGTATGGTCATGTGCTTAGGGACAGCTCTGGCCTCGCCCTTTATTAAAACTGGTTCTTAATGAATAACAGTTCCAGCTCTGTCTTCCTGAAGTCCCACTTCCCATCCCCGGGTCGTTGTGGCCGCTTTTGGGAGGGACCGGGTGATCCCTGTCTGGCTTCCCCACATCTGTTGTCTGGGACAAGGGCTTTACAGTTCGCCACAGAGCTACATCAGGCTGCAGGTGTCCATCCACAGCCCAGAAATGGGCTCGCTTTAGAAATGGCAGGAGTTTCTCTTTTTGTGATCAGCAGTGGTTCTTTATGTCACAACTTTGTTTCATATCAGCCTTTCTCAAAACGAGTAATCTATCTCCCTTTCCCTTTCTCTGAATTTTTAATACTGATTTTTTTTCTTTTTTTTTTTTTTTTTTTTTTTTTTTGGTCCTAGGGATCAAACTCAAGACCTTGCTCTTGCCAGGCGGGCACTTATGCCACTGAACTATATCCCCAACTGTTTGAAATTTCATAGTAGTGTTTGCTTTATGTTTTCCAAGTACAAAAACACAGTCTTGGTTTGGCTTTTTTTATTGTTTTGTATTTTGAGGTCTCACTATGTAGTTCAGGCTGGCAGCAGTCATCCTGTCTAAGCCTCCTGAGTGCTGGGATTACAGGTGTGTGCACCATGCTCAGCTCAGGTTTTCTTGTTTCAAATTATTAGCCCCAGTCATGAAATTTGGAAATGTTCCCTCAGAGCTGGCATCAGGGACGGTAAATGAGGTCTTGGGCACAAAATGAAATAGGGCCCAAACACCCGCATTACAATAAATAATGTTTTGAGGATGCTGGGTGTGGTGGCAGTGGAGCTCACACCTGACCCTTTAAAACTATTCTTGGAGAAGAAACCGCTCTGCCTTCCTTTTCCAAAGTACTAAAAACACTGGCTGGCTGTGTGTCCTTTGTGCCATTGGGACAAGTGCCCACTTGTGTTTCAGTGGAGATGGGCCAGCCTGCTATCATCAGGGGCCCAAGTGCAGAGGCTCAAACCCGCAGGGCTTGATTTCTTGCAGGTCCAAGAGCCCGAGTGAGCACTGAGCAGCGTGCTCTCCAGGATGCTTGTAATTGCTAGGCAGCCAAGTCAGGGCACAGGTGCACAGGACAGCAGCCTGGCCCAGAGAATGCACTCTCAGGCCGCACTTTAACTCTCGGAAGGCCTGGCACATGACAGAGGCCCAAGTGCCCAAAGAAGGGACATGGCCAGCACGTTACCTCCACTATGTGTTCATTATGCACTTGCAAAGCCCAGTGGTTTCCTGCCAGGCACAACAGTGCATGTCTGTAACCCCAGCACTGGGGAGGTGAAGCAGGACGATCAGGACCACCTTAGGGGCTACACAGTAAGCTGCAGGCCACATGAACTGGCAGAATGTGCCCCAGAATGGGTTTCTGAAAAGTAAATAAAAACAGAGCGCTCGCAGGGTGTGTCCTGACACACCGCGCTCACGGCAGAATCCTTTTGCCCCCTTTCCCTCTGTAACAGGGGAGAAGCTGGTGCCGGGGGCCCGGGAGGTCCTCACCGAGATATTCAAGAGCTGCGCCCACTCCGAGCAGACGCTGAGCCTGACGCCAGCGAAGCCCATCCGTGTGTCTGACATATACCTCAGCAAGGAGCAGATCAACTCCCAGACCCCAGGCAACCTGCTCCACCTCTTCTTCACCAACGTCCGGCCCCCGAAGAAGGTGCTGGAGGACCAGCTCACACAGGTAGCCGCCCTGTGCCCCCCTCGGCTGTGCGGGCCTCAGTGCCCCGGGCCGAGTCTGAGACGCCTCCCCGCCTGCCCGTGGCCCACAGATCCTCAGGAAGTACGGTGTCCCGAAGCCCAAGTGTGACAAAAGCAAGTACAGCAAAGCTGGCAAGGAGCAGCACCCCGTGAAGGTGGTGAGCACCAAGCGGCCCATCACCAAGCCGCCCGCCAAGGACAAGGCCGTGCTCAACAGCGTCAGGTGCACGCCCCGGAGCCCTGGAGCTGGGAAGACGCGCCCGCTGGGGGCGGATGCGGGTGGCCTCGGGGCGGCACCCAAGAGAGCGAGGCAGCCCTGGGCGGCCGGGCCCTCTGCCTCTTCCACTGCCGGTCAGCGCTCAGCCCTCGCGGTGCAGTAAAACCTGCCCCCTTTGGGCACCAGGCCAACACTGCCCTTTGAGAAAGCATCGCGGGTGCATAGCGCTTTCCTGAAACCAGCCGCACAGTGTTGTGTAGGATGATTAGAAAGGTCGCCTAGAGGACAAGGTTGACGCGGGCTGGGGTGTATCTAACTCAGGGCTAGGGCCTGTGTTTAGGCACCCCAAAAGGATGTTCTCACACACAGCCAGCACTTCTGACATTTAGCACACAACCTTTCACCTATGCGTGCACACTGCACAAATCAGTGTAGAGCTGCCAGGCGTATGCAGCCGGGAGCCCTCTGTCTTCACCTCACCCTGTCATGAGGCTCTGCCTGAGCCTGCTACGAGCGAGGTGGACACTGTCCAGTGTCTGAGCTTGGCTGTTCCTGCTTCACACTACTCTTGGAGATCACTCTAGACGGCGCAGAAAGAATGTCCCTGTCCTTTTTCTAATAGCTACGTAATATTCCATGTGCAGATCTGCGAATACGTTTCACAGAATGTGCTTTAGAAACAGGTTTATGTTCACAAATCCTCACAGTTGAAACCAGGAGCAAGTCTAACCCCGCACCGTGTCTGGAGGAGTTGCATGAGTGGCCAGGACAATAGCGACCCTTTTGCTTGGTCATTGTGTAGAAAGCGCTTTCCTGAAACCATCTCCTGCAGCCAGCCACCCACCCTGCCACTGGAGCACCGCAGAGCTCTTAGAATGTGGTGCGAATGGCCAAGGAACTAACTTGTGATGGTATTTAATTTTAGTCCATTTACCCATGAGTAGCTGCTACAGGTGACTCGGGGCCCTAAAGTACGTAGGAAGAATGGAAAATATTTTAACTCTTGTCACATTGGATGTGGGGGCACATGCCTGTAATCCCAGCACTCAGGATGCTGAGACAAGAAGATCACTGCAAGCTTGAGGCCTGCGTTAGCTGCGTAATGAGTCCAAGGCCTAACTGCATTACAAAGTGAGACCTTGTCTCAAAAGGAACAAAAATAAATAAAACAGATTTGTCACATCATAGGTGCAGTGGCACACACCTATAATTTCAGCACCCTGGAGGCTGAGGCAGGAGGATTTCTAGGAGTTCAGGGCCAGCCTGGTCTACACAGTGAGGTCACAGCTGGCCTGAACTACACAGGAGACCCTGTCTCAAAATACAAAAGATTGGCACCTTGTACAGGGTTGATCTATCCATCAGGGCGTTCAGGGTGCTCCCTTCACTCTGCTCTTTGGCAGGCGTGCAGAGCACGTGTGCACCCCAGGGTGTGAGCTCACACCTGCCTGCACCCTGGGAGAGTTTCTGTACGTCCCCTCAGGAGGTGGGGCTGTGCGGGCTTCTAATTCCAGTGTGTTGGCCTAAGCAGGACTGCCTTAAGTGAGAAGAAACCCACTGTGAAGCCCAAGTCACCAGAGAAGGGCAAGCCGGAAGAAAAGGATCCAGAAAAGTCACCCACCAAAAAGCAGGAAGGTAAATGGGCTGCTTGGGGTGCTGTAGGCACAGAGCCAGCCTCCCCGGGGGCCACACAGCCGCTCGGCCTCTCGCACCCTGGGGCAGCCCCAGGCCTCGGGGCCCAGCGTAGGCAGGCCAGTGGCTCCAAAGGTGCTGGGAAGCGGGCCAGGCTGCCGCGGGAGATGCTCTCTCCGTGATGGACACCAGCCTAAAGAGGTGGAAGTAGCCTTTCTGTGGTGCCGCACCCCAGGCGGGGAGTAGGGCTGTGTGCCTGAAACACTCAGACAGGAGAGCTGCTCCGGCCACTCTGCTGGAAGGCGCTGGTCAGAAGCACAGTGGCCTCCTGCAGCCCAGCTTAGGAGAGAGCTGTTCGCATGGCCAGAAAAGCTGCTTTCCCGTCCTTTGGCTCTGGACTTACAGAAAGTGGAAGGCAGGGTCCATCGCCACAGGGGTGATGGGCAGCCACGTCCCCCAGCTCTCACATGTGCTGTGTGGTGGGGAGGCAGCCCTGAGGGTTAGGAGGCTGAGGGAGAGCTGGGCGGCCTGGCCCAGGCGCGTGGCGGGTTCTCCTGCATTCCTGGTGCTGCAAATGTCCTTCCCTTCCATTAGTCCCTGAGGAAAAGTATCTGACCTTGGAAGGATTTCACAAATTTGTTATCGACCGAGCCAAGCAGGACATCCGGAGCATCTGGAGGGCCATTCTGTCTTGTGGCTATGACCTGCACTTTGAGAGGTGAGGGCGCCAGGCACAGCTGCTGGGCACTTTGCTGGTTCCCACTTGTTAGTGGTTTTTCTAACTCACCCTGCATGCAGGGGTGTAAGCGGCGTCCTGGAGGCAGGGGCAGGTGCAGGTGCTTTGCCCGAGGCCTCTGCTCTTGCACAGGCAGCTCCTTCTGCCTGCACCCTGGGGCAGGCTTCCCTGCCCTGCACCTCCTCTGTCCAGGATCCTTCTCCCGTAGTCAGGGGGCTTTGCGGGTGGGGCTCGATGTAGTCTCCTGGGCGGTCTCAGGCTTCAAACACGCACCTCCCTCCGGGTCTCCACTGCTTTCCTCCGCTGCAGGCGGGCGCAGTGAGACACTGCCCACCAGTTCCCAGGGTGCCCGGCTTCTCACACAAGTCACACAGGTCAAAAGCAGGCTTTTAAAGAACTCAGTTTTCAGAACAGAGAAGTGGTTTCCTGCTTGACTCCACATTTTGTACCCTGAAGGCTCTGGGTCAGCCCCTGTGTGGATCTTGGCGACACGCTGGCAGGACTGGTTTTCTGGACTCAGTAGGGTCTCACTGAAAGGTGGAGCATGGAGGGGAGGAAGTGGCCCCCGGAACAAGGGCAGCAGGCCACGGGCTCTGAGCCCCTGTCCCCCCTTCTGGGTTAGCAGGGTACCAGGCCGTCACACTCTGTGGACTGCTCTCAAATGCCTCCCACCGTGTTTCTGGGGGGTCTTTTCAGTGGCATCCGAGGCAGTAGCACCCTGCTGTGCACAGCCTCTCCCCTCCCTGTGTCAGTAGCACTGATGCTGGGCACTCGAGCTCTATGGGCGGGTGGTGCAGAGCACTCGGAGCCCCCAGTGAGGCCACAGTTGCTCAGCCCTGCAGCAAGGCTCTTCCCCTCTGTGCCGTGACACTGTGTGTAGCCACGTGCTGGCACCTGCGTGAGCTTTGCCTTATTCTGACCATGCGGCAGAGCTGATGCCGCTGTGAGCTTGTCTTACAGGTAGAGAAACCCAGGTGCAGACAGTGTGCATGGCCTCGGCTCCGGGGCCCAATGGGAGGGAGGTCTGCACTCCTGTGCCCGGCGTGTCCATCTGGGAAGAGCTTTGCTGGGAGGGGCAGTTTCTGTAGCAGGAAAGCGGAGGGAGCAAGGCTGCTTCCTGTATGTGCCTCGGCCGAGGGCTGGGTGGCACTGGAGGAGCCACTGTCACTCAACTGCCCTACCCCTCTCCACCCCAGATGTGCCTGCATTGATGTCCGACATGCGCAGAAGGCCTCCAGGAAGTGGACCCTGGAGATGGACGTTGCGCTGGTGCAGTACATCAACCGGCTGTGCCGACACCTTGCCATCACCCCAGCGCGGCTGCACCCGCACGAGGTGTATCTGGACCCCGTGGACGCTGCCGACCCCAGGGTGGCCTGCCTCTCCAGTATGTGCTTCCCAAGGAGCCATGCCCCGTGAGCGCGGTCTTTGGAAGGGCCAGGTGCCACCCCCACTGCCCAGCGTGTAAGGTGGAGGGCGCTGACAGCTCGGGGAGACAGGGAGCTGCCACTGGGCGTCACGCTCAGCACGACGCCCAGCCCTGGGCAGAGGAACGCAGGGTGGAAGGGCGATGGTGTCACCACGCTGGCCCAGCCGCTGTGGGAGCCAGAACAACAGGCAGCTCTCAGCCTGTGGGGGAGTGGCACATTTTATTAAAGTCAGGCATGACACAAAAAACACGCCCACACTCCTGGCTTCACCCCAAAAGTCAGCCCTGGCAGAGCCCCCAGGAGGTGGCCTTGTGTGGGGACATCACGGGCTGTGGCCTCACCTGGCAGCCAGTGCAGGCCCAGCTCTTCTGGATGCTGAGGAAGCGGAGGTGGCAAGGAGTTGTCCCTGAGCGCCGTGTCTCACGATGGTACCAGGTGCAGGGCCCTGGTTTGGATCCGTGTCTCTGTGAGGGAAAGTGGGTGAAAGGTCTGGGTGACTCTGCACTACTGCAGCTTCCTGGGTGTGTCCACCAAAACAGTGCTGGAAAACAGAAAAGAACGTAGGGCTGGCTATCTAGGACAGACTGCCCCGTGGTGGCCCGCTGGGTCACCGTCCCCGGGGATCAGGACCTCTGGGTCTGCCTGCAGCCAAGGCCCAGCGGGCTCAGCCTGGTCCTGCTCACCTCCCGTGCCCACAGCCGTTCCCATCGAGAGCCTGCGCCTGCGCTTCGCCCTGCTGCAGTCCCTCAACACCACGCTGGAGACCTTCTTCCTGCCGCTGGTGGAGCTGCGCCAGACGCCCGCGTACACCCGTAGCATCGCGGCCCTGCTGGAGGGGGCCAAAGGTCAGTGCTGGCTGGGGCAGCGGGATGGAGCGTGTGCCCCACACCAGTAACCCTGGCTCACGGCTGTGCGGCCTCCACGTCCAGTTTCTACATTTGAGCTTTTCCTTTGCAGTCAAAGCTGGGCATGAGTGTGGCCCTTCTGTTGGCAGTTCCCACCTGTTAGGTGGTTTCTGTGCGCGAGGTGTCACCTGGCCTGACAGTGACAGGGCCAGTGTGCTGGGAGTTGGCTAGGTGCTGACATCAGCCCCTGGGTCAGGACTGCTTTCCTGTGGCCCCCGGTGACCCTGACAAACCAGAGGGACGGTGGGCCGATGGCCCAGGCGACTGGGAGTAGGGCGGAGCCACACCCACCTTCCCGCCCCACTCTGCAGGGCTGATCTTCTATGACACGAAGGTGACGGTGATGAATCAAGTGCTGAACGCCACTGTGCAGAGGACGGCTGACCACGCAGCCCCGGAGATCACTTTGGACCCCCTGGAAATTGTGGGAGGTAGGTGGCCCTGGGGCCCAGAGCTCTCAGACCAGGCGGCCAGCCCTGGCCCGGGGCGCAGCAGCGTTCACCAAGCACAGCAGACTCGGAGAGGCAGAAGCTCTTGTCTCACTGCTTCCTTCGGGGCCTCCCAGCGGGAAGAGCAGAGTGCTCAGCCCTCGGGGCCATGCATGGTGCTGGAGGGAGAGGGTCCCGGGCAGACTTGCTTCTGGCTGGCGGGAGAGGTGGGCATGGGGATGCGGCCACGCCCATGCCCAGGAGCAGGGCGCCATGTGCTGGGCAGACTCGGGGATGGCAGACCTAAGGGCAGGTGGAGGCCTGGAGAATGTCAGCGGGGCCCCGGCCGCAGGGCTAACGTGCATCTTGCTTCCAGGGGAACTCAGAGCCTCTGAAAACTCCTACTTCTGCCAGGCTGCCCGGCAGCTGGCCTCCGTGCCGTCTTCCCAGCTCTGCGTCAAGTTGGCCAGTGGCGGTGACCCCACCTACGCCTTCAACATCCGCTTCACCGGGGAGGAGGTGCACGGCACCAGTAGGTGGCCAGGGCGGGAGGGGGCACCTAGACAAGCTCTGCACCGAGCCAGGGACAGAGAGAGAAGGAGACAGACAGAGCGCGTGCCCTGGTGTCAAGAGCAAGGTCCCTCCCGGTCACTAGCCCCCAGTAACCGGGACGTCCAGACCAGCACTGCCCTCTCGCCACCCCGCCCCCACAGGTGCCAGCGTGGGTCTGGGGCTGTACCCTGCCAGGGCTCCTCTTCTCGCTGGTGGCTAGCAGAGGCAGCCTTGGTGCAGGCGTGGCCTTCTCCCCAGACCAGGGCAGCTCCCGTGCTGCTCCCAGGCTTTGTCCCATCTCCCCTCCTCTCTGCTCGTTGGGGACAGTGTTGCCAGCAACAGCCTCCCAGGAAGGACAAATCACTGCTGGGCAGACTCAGGCTTAGGTGACACAGCCGAGCCCCCCAAACACAAAGCCACCACCGGCCCGGGCTCCACACCTGTGCTGCTCAGAGCACCAAATGCCTGGTTGCCGGCTCACTGCTCACGACGACAGTGCAGCTCACCAGGAGGCCGGGGGCCAGTGACAGAGGGGTCGGAAGCTGGGGCGGCCACGGGGAGAGGTCCCCTCTGGGACCTGGTCAGCACCCAGCCTCTCCTCCAGCCCGCAGCGCAGCGTGCGCAGCTCCATTTCTGCTGTTTGAGTCGGAGGGTTGACTGAGCCAGGTTCATAGACAGCCTGGACCTGGTGCTGTCCCTCGGGTCACCAGGTAGTAAGCAGCGGGGCAGGACTTGACCTCAGGTCCTCTGGTCCTGGACAGATGTTCTTTCCACCCCACCATGGTTCCAAGCAATTGGCAAACCCATTCCAGAGGCCAGATGGGGGGGAGTGTACCCCCTCGGGGGTCCACCATGACCGCCCCAGCACCAACGATGCACTCCTCTGTCCTGCAGGTGGCTCGTTCCGCCACTTCCTGTGGCAGGTGTGTAAAGAGCTGCAGAGCTCCTCGCTGTCACTGCTGCTGCTGTGCCCCAGCTCAGCCGTCAACAAGAACAAGGTGAGCATCCCGGTGGACGGGCGCGGCCCCAGCGCCCTCTCCTGCTGGCCACATGGCTGAGGACGTCCTCACGGCCGCTGCCTCCACCCACAGGGCAAGTACATCCTGACGCCCAGCCCCATCACCTACGGCGAGGAGCAGCTGCTGCACTTCCTGGGCCAGCTGCTGGGCATAGCCATCCGTGCAGACGTCCCTCTGCCGCTGGACCTCCTGCCCTCCTTCTGGAAAACACTGGTGGGGGAGCCCCTCGACCCCGACCAGGACCTGCAGGAGGCGGACATTCTCACCTATAACTACATCAAGAAATTCGAGAGCGTAAGTTGAGCCGTGTCTGTTCCAGGGCACAGGGCCGCTCTGCTTAGACTGGTGCAGACTCAGCCACCAAGAGCACGGGGGCTCATGCCCCCAGCTTATGGGGGCAGGCTGGGGTGACACGAGGAGCCTTGCAGATACTGTACAGGGCTCCTAGCAGCAGGAAGAGAGGGGTTGGCTCCCCATGTCAGTGCCACTGTAGGCTTGTCCAGGGTGGACAAGAAGCTTGAGAAGAGGACTTCCTCCTGGTCCCTGTGTGTGCTGGGACCAGCAGAGTCAGGCCACTGTCCTGGAGAAGGGGGCAGTTGGTGTCCAGTCTGTCAGCCAGGTCCTGCTGTGTTCCACAGGATCACAGTGACGCTGCTAAGTCAGGAGCCTTCTGCCGAGGGCAGCCGCACTGTGCGTGGCCCAGGCCTTCACCTCTGGCTGAAAGCTCGGCCAACAGGTCAGCCTCTTGTAGGTCCAGGCCTGCTGGCTGCGGAGCACTCAGTGCTGCTCTGCCTTGGGAATGAACTGTCCTGTCAGACAGGGTGGTGACCTCAGAGCCAGCTGTCCTGTAAGGCAACCCCACGAGGACTTCGGGTGAAGGAGCTGTCAGTCGATTCTGCTCCAATGGGCCACTGAGGCACCTTGTGGCCAGGGCCCCTCAAGTTGCCCCTTGGCCAGGAGGACACTGGAGGGTGCCAGCGCAAGAGCGTATCAGAGCAGGGTCCCAGGTGTCAGGAAACAGGAGGCTCTGCTGCAGTCTGGGAGGCCCTGGCGCTCCTTCGAGGGGTGGCAGCAGGGGCAGTCAGACGGAGGTGCACGACGGGGTCCAGCTCTGACTGGTACGGGCAGCAAAGCCGCAGAAGGTGCACTCTCGACAGTGGGTGCTGTCACCAGGAAGGCTGCTGCTGAGGACAGGGCCAGGTCCTTGCCCTCACTGCCACCGTCCTGAGCTGCAGGCTCCTGTCCCTCTGTCCCACCTGCTGCCAGCAGCCGCGCAGCCCAGCACCCACAGCCTTATCCTGATGCTCCGGATGGAAGGAGAGGCGCCCGTGCCACTCCGACAGATAGAATCAGTCCAGGCTCTCGGGTGGCGGGTGACTAGACTCCTGCTTAGAAGCATCTTTTCAGGAAAACAATGGCACACACCTGTACCCACCGCTCTGGAAGCTGGGGCAGGAGGATTGATTGCCTCCAGCTCAAGGCCAGCCTGGGCTGCACAGTCAGTTCAGAGCGACCCAGATGATACAGACACCCAGTCTCAAAAAGCAAAACAGATGCGCTGTGAAGTACAAGGCGCAGACACAGGTTTGGCCTTCAGGTGGGGCTGAACACAGGCCTCCAGCTCGGTCTCTGGCAGGTGAGCCGCAGCACAGGGACCCTCATGCCGTTAGGCGCCCACCACGGAATGAACGCCAGCTTCTGCACCCCAGCGGGACAAGCCCTGGCTTCAGCCCTGTCCTGGGCTGGTGAGCTGAGCAGCCAGGCTTAGGTCTCGTGTCCAGGGTGTGACGGGGGCGGGGGGGGGAGGGGGACTTGGCCACGCTGCCCGATGTTTGCACTGCGGTCCCAGGTGCACATCACAGGGCCACGCTCTGCCTGTGTCCCACAGATCAATGACGAGACTGAGCTGGAGGCCCTGTGTGCCGAGATCGCCTCCCAGCACCTGGCGGTCGAGAGCCCCGAGGGCCCCAACAAGCCCTGCTGCAGGTTTACCTACCTGACCATGACGGGCGAGGAGGTGGAGCTGTGCAGCCGCGGCCGGCACATCCCTGTAGCGTGAGTGCACACAGGGACAGGAGGGCACTGGCCAGTGGCACTGGCCGGGGAGAGACGTGGGGGTGGCCCGCTGGGGACTGGGACGCAGTCTTCAGCTGGTGGATCTTCCTCAGCCCTGGAGGAGGGGAGGTAGGCAGGGGCCAGGGGCCACTTCAGTTGTCCGTTATGTGGCCTCTGCCCTGGCAGGTGGGAAAATAAGGACATCTACGCAGCCGCCATCCGGAGCCTGCGGCTACGGGAGCTGCAGAACACGGAGTGCGTGATGGCCGTGCGTGCCGGCCTGGGCTCCATCATCCCCCTGCAGCTGCTCACCACGCTCAGCCCGCTAGAGATGGAGCTGCGCACGTGCGGCCTCCCGTACATCAACCTCGAGTTCCTGAAGGTAGGCAGCTGGCCGACAGGGCTTCCCCGGCCTGCAGACTCGGAGCTGGGACCCCGGCCGCTCACCCCGCCCCTGCTCCGCAGGCCCACACCATGTACCAGGTGGGGCTCATGGAGACGGACCAGCACATCGAGTTCTTCTGGGGCGCCCTGGAGACCTTCACCCAGGAGGAGCTGTGCAAGTTCATCAAGTTTGCCTGCAACCAGGAGCGCATCCCATTCACCTGCCCCTGCAAGGACGGGGGCCCCGACACGGCCCACGTGCCCCCGTACCCCATGAAGATTGCCCCCCCAGATGGCACAGCAGGTACTGTCCTCCCCAGACCCATAAAGATGAGGGGTCGGGCCGGGAGGGACAGGGGACAATGGGGATCATGCAAGCCAGGCCTGAAGTCCTATAGCTTCTAGCATTTTAAGAGAAGCAGAAAACCCATAATTTGTTCACCCCTTTTTTTGGTGGAACCAAGGCCTGAACCCAGGGTCTCTGACTGCTCAGCGACTCTGCCATCAAGCCGCATCCTCAGCCCTTACCTGCCTATCTTTAAATGTAGAAAAAGAATTTTTTTGTGTGTGCCGGGGATCGAACTCAGCCTCACGCTTGCCAGGCAGGCGCTTATGCCACTGAGCTGGATCCCCGGCCCTTAGAAAAGAACTTTAATAAACTTTCCACAAAAACAAAAAACCCTTGGCTGACCAAGCCATTGGGCCTGCAGCCGGACTCCTGAGCCCCAGCCCCGCACTGCCCGGCTCTGACGCTGGCCTCGCCCCTGCGCAGGTTCCCCAGACTCCCGCTACATCCGCGTGGAGACCTGCATGTTCATGGTCAAGCTGCCCCAGTACTCCTCACTGGAGATCATGCTGGAGAGACTGCGCTGTGCCATCCACTACCGCGAGGACCCCCTGAGTGGCTGACGGGGCCGGAGCTAAGCCATCGCCAAGGCCCGTTCTGCCGGCCAGGGAGCCGGCCGCCTGACCGACCACCGTCCCTCCAGCAGCGAGGGAGGAGCCAGCGCGCCCTGCTTTTGCGAACTGTGTCCAAGCCAGGGCCTCCGGGAAGACACCCTTTTGTATTCGTCCGTTCGTGATGGGTTGGTTCTTTTGCTGCCTGTTCGTGGTATATTCGTAGGGTAGTTCTGTTCCCAGTTTGTCTCTCTTGATCTTCTCGGACAGTGTCCCTGGTGGGTGCCAGACGCCACGAGGCCCAGCTGGTTCTCGCACAACCACCGGCAGGGCGTTGGCAGTGCGGTGACCGGCCACACAAAGCCAGCCCTGCCCTCCCGCCGCCTCTGCCAGCGCCCACCCTTGCACAGGGTACACGGGGAGGTCATTGGTGTCCTCTCCCTGCCTGAGACCGGTCCTGGGCCTGACTTTGGCGAAAAGCCCTCAGGGTCACTCTGGGGCCCTGCAGACAGCCCCCCCCGCCTGTACCCTCTGGACCCCTGGTCTGTGTCCCCAGGACTCCTCGGGAGCTGAAGAGCCAGGGTCCTGCTCAGCCTTAGTCCGAGGAGACAGGCTGGCTGCGTCCTGGCAGCAGGAGAGGACGGAGCTGACAGGGAGGGACAGACCCTCCTCCACACCTAGGCCGGGGGCTCCTTGCCCACATAATGAGGCGGCTGAGGTGCTCTGCTCCATGCAGACTGTCCCGTCCATGGAGAGGCCAGGGTGCCTTGGCCCCCACCTCGCCCCATAACCCCGTGCCCCCTGTTACGCGTGTGTGCCGGGGCTGAGCCCCTCCAGGCTCACCCACTGCCCAGTACATCGTGCCCCAGTGAGTCTTTGTCCAGTGGTACTTTGTTGACGAGCAGCACTCGCCGTCCGTCACACACTGTCTTCTTGGGCTTTGCCCGTCCCAGAAGCGTGGCGCGGGGTCCTCAGTGACGCTGCCCAAAGGCCACAGGGCACTCTGCAGGGCCCGGCCGCCTGGGTGTGGGCTGCAGTCGGGACCACTGCAGAGGAGCTTCTCCGACCTGAGGGCAAGACGAGCCTAAGGCTGATGGTCACCATCAGTCACATGGTGCAGGAGTCCCCTGCTCTGAGAGGAGATGTCACCGCTGCTTTCTGGGGGCCACAGCCCCCTTGGTGGGGTCACATCAGGACTGTTCCTGAAAACAAGGATCCTCTGACTTCCTTTGTGCATAGTGAAGAGCCTTTGACCCTCCTAGGAGGGGTGTTCCTCCCTGCATCCTTCAGTCCCTAGTTCCCGCCACCCCTCATCCCGTGAATGCCCCGGGGCTCTGTGGCCACCTCCCGAGAGGTCGGGAAGAGAGGACGGCTGTGAGGCGGTGTCTGCCGCCAGCCAGCTGCGCTGGGAGCGCAGGGGTCCGGACAGCCCACGCCTGGCCCCAAGCAATGTGTGCTGTAAAGTTACTTGATGTATATTTATTATAGTTATTTATGGTTGCATCTAACAGACTCTCCATTCAGTCTGATGCTGTTTACACTCCGCCGTGTAAAGGAAGCCCCTGCGGGAGAAAGTCACACCGATAAGCCCTTCACCTAACCCACCACCCGCCGCAGGAACCGGGCCGGGCTGACACGCTGGCGCCGCCCCGTGGCGGGAATTAAAATGTTCTCATTACCTCGGGCTCGGCGCTTGAGTGCTTCTTGCTCCCGCGAGCTGGCTCGGGACAGCTGGCGCAGGGCGCAGGGCGCAGGGCGGGAGCCAGGGCTCCTCCGGGAGCAGCGCTGCGCCCCCTGCTTCCCTCGCTTCCCGCTGTCGCCGCCGCCGCTCGGCCCCCACCAAAGCAGGGCTCCCCGCTGGCTGGGGCGCTGGTCACCGAGCCCAGTGCAGTGAGGGCGCCCGCCCGCTCCTCGGGTCCCCGGAGCACACCCACGTGCACAGTGCGCTGTCCCACGAGGGGACAACACGCACTCACGGTGATAGGGAGGCCCAGGCCCAGAAGACGCACCGCAGGGACCCACCCGCAGTCCTGGCGTCCACCCCGGCACTCCTGACACCAGCAAGGCCACTGCGGCTGCAAACCCCAGGGAAACACAAGCACTGCGGGCAGGCCCCGAGGGACAGAGGAACGATGTTGCCTAAGACGTGGAGCTCAGTGCCGGGCCGGCGCGGTGGAGGGGACGCGGGTGTGCACACTCAGGACAGCACAGCTGCTCAGATGGAACCCCGCGTGTCTCCTCAGCCCACAGCCTCCGAATGAAGGCTGCTGATGGAAAGTAAGGGAGGCACCTCAAAGCCCAGCACTCCGGGAGGCTGAAGCAGGAAAGCTGAAGTGGAACCTAGTGGGACCCTGTCTCAAAAAGCCCTGGAAAGGCAGCTCGGTGCAAAGGCCCTGGGTTCCATCCCCACTGGCACTAATAATTCAGGCAGCATCAATTGGAGGCAGTTAATTGCTTTTTTTTTTTTTTTTTTTTTTTTGGTCTTTTTGAGACACGGTCTCGCTGTGCAGTTCAGGCTGGCCTTGAGCTCACTTTTGTAGCCCAGGCTGGTCTCGAACTCGCAACAATCCTCTTGCCTCAGCGCCCCCCCCTCCCCCCAGTGCTGGGATTTCAGTCTTGAGCCACCACGCCTGGCTATTTGTACTCTCTTTAAAAAATCTAAAGGGCAGAATTTGAGGTCCCCTGTACCAAGAAGAAATAAGAAACAAGTTCAGGTCAGAAGGCAGTTTCTGTTTTTGTCAGGGAATCAAATATAAGACCTCGCCCTTGCGAACTGCAGCCCTGGCCCAGAAGCCACTGAAACTGAAGATCAGAATTCATATTGTGGGAGAAACCAGACAAGCTGCAAAGCCATCTCCTAGACCTGGGCAAGGGGAGGAGGCGGAATATCCTGGCCCTTCCAGGCGCACAGCAGCCCTTTCCCTGGACCAGGTCAGAGGACAGGACAGACCCGAGGTGCTGACTGCCCACCCCAAGAGCTGCACACAGCTGAGAGCACCAGAGGCTGCTGGACTCCCTGAAAATGGACACTGTGGAGGGAGACTATCCAGGGCACAAGAAAAAGATTAGCCAGTACTCTCAGCACTCCGGGAGGCTGAGGCAGGAGGATCCCAAGTCCAAGTTGAACCTGGGCAATGTGGTGACTCAGCTGTCTCAGAAAATAAACCGGGCTGGGGGTAGAGCTCAGGGCAAGGCCCTAGGTTCCATCCCCACTACCACAAAAACGAAATCAACACCCATACTCCCACGACAGGCACAGAAGGCATCAAGGACCCAAGATGGAGACAGCAGATCCATCACTGGGAAGACAAATGCCAAGACAGGGCTCAGAACTAAGCTACTGGAGGGAAAAGGCCACGCACCCAGGGCTCTGTGCCAACCACACACCTCCCACAGTGCCCGGGAGGCAGGCCTGCCGGCATCACACTAGTGGGTGGCACGTGGGTAATGGGTACCGAGTTTTTCTTTCAGGATAAAACTTCTGCAAGTGAACATGGTGATGGCTGCAACCTGCAGAATAAGGTACACTGAGTGCCACCATCATCCAAGTGTACAATGAGTCAAATGTCACATTTCAGACTTTATTTTTTACCAATTTTTTTTTAGACAAGGTCTCACTGTGGTTTAGGCTGGCTTTGAACTTGCAGTGATCCTCCTGCCTCAGCCTCCAGAGTGCTGGCAGATTGCAGGTATGTGCCACCACGCCCAGCCTGTTTTAATGTACAGCCATGCCAGGTGTAGGTTTTAGAAAAAACAGCTTAAAACTAATGCAGTCAACTACTAGGAAGGGTTTTGGGGGGAAAACAAGCAATTTTTAACTTGTTAGCTCTGTTTACCATATGTATTTTTTAAAATCTCTTAAACTCTCCAGTCATTGCAAAACACTAGAAACCGTATTTTACTAGCCAATAAATTGCCCAGTGTTCCATGGGAGCTGGATGACTTCCTAGCAGGTCTCGCTGCACCCACAGACAGTAGTGGGTTGCAGGACTACTCCCCGGCGGATGAGGGGACACTGTCACCACTGCACGTCTGTCCCTTTGGCTGCTCCCACCAGAGCTGGGAAGGCCTCCCCTGAACCCCAGTGCAGCCCTCTTCTGGTCTGGCTTCTCTCAGGCTGATTCCTGGCCCTGCCAAAAAAGTAGGGGGGCAATGGCTGCCCCACCAGGGGCTGGGGAAGGTGAGCTCCAAAGACACTGAGCCTACCGCCGCTGTGTGACCGCGAGGCACGGGGCAGTGGCGGCCTGCCGCGCCCTCCTCAGGACCTGGCGTTGAGAGCCCTCCCTGCCCGCTCCCTCGCAGTCCCGCGGACACTGGGCGCTGCCCCTCCAGCGTCTGGAGCTGCAAGGGCAGGGGCACCCTAGGGGAGGCGCCGCTCCCTGCCAGCCTGGGGTCTCCAGAGAGCTCAGCGAAGGAAGCGCAGGCTTGGCTGAGCGCCGAGTACAAATTTTATTTCTATTACAAGGAGGGTGATAATTACAGTGAGATAGAAGGAAGGGAAGGAGCCTGACACGTGATCTCCAAAGGAAGCCCAGGCTGCGGCCGGCGGGGCCAGCAGCCCGCACCCACACAGAGGGCCGAGGACAAAGGGGCCACGACACCTCCCGGAGCAGAGACAGTGATGCCAGACAAAGCAGCTTCAGACACCCCAGGCCACACCTTCCGTCGGCTCCCTCCTGGCGGTGCCACCGGCCAAGCACTCTGGCAGCGCCGTCCCACGCTGGGGCCGGGGACTGAGGCAGGCAGGGCGGTAACACGAGGGTCGCCCGCACACCCACTCGGTGGCCCCCAGGGAAGACCATCGCTTCTCGGGGCTGCAGGTCCCCAGAGGCCGCCTCTCCCTCCCCGGACACAGTGCCCGCTGCGCCCAGTGGCAGCTGAGGTGCGCCTGGCTCCCTCCCTGCACCCCGGACTCTCACGACACAATCTCAAAGACACAAAATGGCCATAGCCTAGAAAAAGTTAAAATCTGGAAACCCCCCTGCCTAAAGAGCCGGGGAGGCCGGATCCGTGGCAAGTGCTGCTATGCACAGAAGGGCGGGCCCAGGCGCCATCACTCCTCCTCCTCCTCCTCCACCTCATCCTCCGCATCCTCGGCATCCCCGGCTCCCGGCTGCTTCGGGGGCTTCGCCTGTGGAAGGGCAGACAGACATGAAGGAGCCGCACCGACCCCAGAGCCCTGGAGGAGCCCTGAGGACGCCCAGCCAGCGCCTCCCGGCAGGCAGCTCCCCAGGTTACCTTCGCACTCCTGCTGCGGTAACTGGGGGCGGCAGGGGTGACTCGGAAGCTCCTACTGCTGAAAAAAAGGAGGAAAAGTGAGAACCCCTGAGCAAAGGTCCAAAATCCCAGAGGGAACAAAGCGTGCTTTACCAAGTCACGCAGAGCCGCCACCAACACGCAACACAAAAAACCCGTGGCCAGCAAAGGCGCTCCCTGCAAACAGCTGACCGCACAGGAAGCCCGAGCTCCTCTCGTGCTGGGAAGCAGCTCAGTGGGAGCGCGGTGCCTCGCGTGCACGGAGCCCCCTCCCATGGCCCACGTTCCCTTCAGGACCCAAGCCAGGCCGATTCTCACCTGGCTGCGGGCCTCCCTGCGGGCCCCCGGGGTAAGGAGGGCGCCAGGCCTTCTGCACACAGGCTGCGCACAGGGTGCATGGCTGGGACAGGCCCCGCAGCCGGGGGCCCACCCGGGCTGCCTCGAGTCCGCGCCCGCATGTCCTGGCCATCCGAGGTGCTAAGCTTGACCACACGAGAGGGGCTGGGCTGGCAGCTAGGCCTCGAGGCGGACGGGGACTTTGACAGCCGATTACAACCGGCTGTCATAGTAACAGCTCTGCTGGGGGGCAGAGAGTAGGTGGGTCCTTTAGCTGCTTCCTGCTTGGTATCATCCATGTAACCAGAGGACAGGTCTCCTGAAAGAGGACACAGTGAGACTTCAGGGAAAGTGTGCTCCTCTGTTAGTGCTGGACTCAGGGAGGGCAGGAACAAAACAGTTCCGGATACGAGACAACCGCAGGACCCACTCCCACATTAACAGGGGCAGCCACATCCCCAGGAGGCGAGGGAGCAGTCTGTCTCCTCCCCACTTTAATTACTGGGTCCCCAGACACAGCCTCCCAGCTGTCCGGCAACACTGTGCAAGCAAACCTTCCGTAGTTTCCAGGGCCTCTTTCAAGTTTCAAACACAGTCTACTGGCCTAGTCATGAAATGCAGAACTATGACGGGGCCACACAGCAGACGCGTGCCTGGAAGCACTGACTCCGAGTGTGTCACATGGCTCGCCCTAACCCATCACCACCTAATCTACACTCAGCGGAGCGGCTCATCCGCCCTACCGAGGGACCACAGTTGGGTGCAGAGGAGCTCCCAGGCCCTCCCAGGTACCCCGAGTGTGGGGCCCCATTCTGTGCGGATGAGCAGGGGGAGACTGCGCTGAGGCCTGGCGCATACCCTGGTGTTTGACACGCCTCCTGGGCAGCTCTGCTGAGGTCTCGGGAGGCTGGGAGTCTTGCCGAGGAATTCCGTCCAGCACATGGTGGCTGGCTGTGGCTGGACGTTGGTCACACTGGTCCTGAACAAGACACGCTAGACTTAACGCCTCAGAGTGGTGAAAGGAAAGACACTAAGAGCAGGCGGGCGATGGCGGCCCGTGCGGAAGGGACTGAGCACCGCCGAGGCGGCCCTGGGCACCCCTGGAGTGGAGCAGCCACCCCGGGAGCACCTGGGATCTGGCCGGGGGGGAGGAGGGGCGCGGGCCGCGGGCCCCAGGAAAGCACGTCCGGACTCTGCTGGCTCTGCCAGCAGGCGACCAGCAGTGACCTGTCTGCATCTTGGTCCAAAAGCAAAAGGGTTTCTTCTAGAAATGACCGTGATATACTAACACCAGTGAAGGAAATGATATTTTCAGTAGCTCCTCCTCACAAGATTAAGCAGAAAATGGATGCGTTTTCCAGTAACAGATGGGAACCTAAAACTGGAAAAGCTGACTAAAGATTGCAGATTGTCTAGCCCAACTCCCCCGATTACAGCTATCCTCAGGAAGAGGAAGCAGGATCCACCTAAGGCCAATCGGAGGACACAGGCAAACTGGACCTCCAGGCTCCTAAAATGTCGTGTCCATGACATCACACGGTAAGAATCTACCTGCCTGGGTGAAAACAGAAGGCACCAATGACCTCAGGGAGACTGTCACCGAAGCCCATGCAGCAAGGCCTCCAGGCCTGCCCAGAGGGAGTCCTAGCTCTCCATCATCCCTAGCTACAGATCTGGTGCTTTCAAATGCTAGAAGGCAGGGCCGGTCTTGGCCTGAAGTATGAGGTTCCTCAGGTGGCTGGTACACAGGACAAGCCAGGTGTGTGGAATGCAACCTATAAGCTAAATACTGTCTTGGCTCAGGAAGCCACAACTTCTTTCACAAAAAATCATCAAGGAGCCAGGGAGAGGAGCCTCGTGGGCTCTCACCTGATGATGGAATAGCACCTCTTCCTCCAGCTGCACGCCACAAAATTCACATGGGATGATGATACTGTCTTCCACAGGGGGTGAGTCACTCAGGCCCATCAAAGAATCCCACTGATTACTTGGAGCCCGCTGCAGAAAGCTCTGGAAGACGACGTCAGGATCCTCCACCCGCCTCGGGGGAGAGCTGCCAGTACTGAGCAAAGGTAAGGCACGTGAACGGTTACAACTTGTCTGTAAGAAAAACATAAAAAATACAAATAAATCAGACATTAAAGAAAACAACTACATTCCTAAACCATTCCCACAAGCCGTGTTTTCTTTGAGAGACAGGATCTTGCTATGTGGATCAGGCTCATCTGAAACTCATGACTCTCCTGCCTTAGCTGGCTGCGTGCTAGGATTACAGGTGGACACCACATCAGGCCACGAAGCTTCCCTAATATTTAATGCTACTGTAGAGAAAGACTAAGCACAGGACACTGTAAATACAACATTCACTTCACTTTTAAACATTTCCATGTTATTCTAATTTTTTCCTAGTGTTTGTGATTCTTTTTTTAGACAAGGTCTCACTCTGCGGCCTAGGCTGGCCTCAAACTCACAGTGACCTCTCCTGCTTCAGCCTCCCAAATGCGGGGATTACAGATGCGCACCACCATGCCCTGCCAGGATTATTCTTTTTAAGAGTCAAAATTCTTGCCCACTCCTAGCACTGAAAAAATTTCAAAGTCTTCCTACTGCCATACAGTAAAAGAGGTGCCCAAATTCAAATGTTCTTCACTATCTTTGTTAAATATTCTTATGTGGCTCCCAAAACAAAAATTAGAGGTATTCAAATATCACCTCTTCCCATTTGTGGGAGGAAGGCACGTTCTACCGCCTAAAGCACAGGGAGTACTTAGTAGTCTGTAGAAATGCCAGGCGAAACCTGACACCTCTAATTCCAGCACTAGGAGGGCAGGGCAGGAGGACAGCAGAGTTCAAGGCCAGTATGAACCACAGAGCAAGGCTTTCCCTCTTGAAATACCAAAAAAGAAACAGAAAAGGAAAAAGAAGTGCCAGACAAATGAGGCATGATGGCGCACCCTTATAATTCCACACTCAGGAGGCTGAGCAGGAGGACCGCCAGGAGTTCGAGGCCCGCCAGGACTATATAGCAAGACCTTGTCTCAAAAAGGTTTAAAAAAAAAGGCCAAACCAAACTGGACAGACCAAAGACTACGAAGGGAAACTAGTGGTTCCCTCCACTAGGTAAACCTCAAACACAGCACATGACTATTCTTTAATCATTCCTATATGGCTCAAAAACTTCCTGTCATTCAAGTGATTTTATGGCTGGGGATATAGCTCAGTAGCACAGCACCTGCCTGGCAATGGCAAGGTCCTGAGTTAAGATTCCAGGTACCAAAAATGATTTCATACCTTCCATATACCAAGTAGTGAGAAATTTAGAAACTAGGGAAAACTAGAAGCTTCTCCCAAGGAACTCAGCCCAAGGGGATGACTACCAGGGGACCAGGAGACAAACTCCTAGGGTGACAGGCTATCAGAGCGTGGTGCACAGATGGAACCCTGAGCTGACCTTCAGCAGGGCCCTGAGGACCATTTCCTGGAATTAAGTCACACCCAGGCCGAGCCCACAGGTCAGGGGTCCACGTGGCTGGAGGCACTGAGGAGTGCTGGCAGGAGACTGCACCTTTCAGGCAGAGGAAGCAGCGGGGCGCAGGAAAGGCTGCTCAGCCTGCAGGGGACGGGGCGGGCGGACCTCAGCACAGCGCGGCTTGGGGTGAGAGCCGGCGAGTGCACCGCTCAGCAGAGACGTCAGCCAGCGCGCAGCCCTGCCTGCCGGGGAGAACAGCCTCTGCCGGATGAGCACTGCGTTTTCTAAGTGGGAACAAGGCGAGAGGCGCACCTATGTGCCGGTTACACCACGGTGAAGACCAGCTGCCGCTCCCACCACAAGCACTGTACTGGAAATTTGCACCACAAAATAGAAAGCTGCAGGAAACAGGGAGGATGAATTTCGGCAGATGAAAGTAAGTGTAGGGACGGAGGAGGAAGGCAAGATGGGGCGGGGAGGGAGCACTAAAGATACACACACACACACACACACACACACACACACACACACGCACGACTCGGCATGGCGCGCTCACTCGGTGCGTCTCACAAACGTCTTTCAGGGTGGCCTCAACTCACAGCCATCTTCCTGCCTCACTCAGTCTGTCTCCCAAATGCTGGATTATAGGCACGTGCCACCATACCTGGCTCTTAAAACAACTTTAACAAGTAAGTAAAATCTGTGCCCAAACTCACATTTCCCAAAACATCACATATGGCCTACTCATACTCCTACGTAAAGCCCACAGTGGCTGGCACGGTGGCACATGCTTAAAATCCCAGCACTTGGGAGGCTGAGGCAGGGCGAACGCCCCAGGTTTGAGGCTTTGAGGCTAGCACGACCTTGTCTATATAACATGAACTTGTCTCAAAACAAAACAAAAACGCCCACAGTTAATTCTCAACACACCTGATGGTCAATCAGCAGTTCCTCTGGGTAGAGCTCCTCACAAAACTCACAAGGCAACATGGTCTCGTCAGCTGTACCTAGGTAGCAGGCCACATGGTCAGACTTTAAACAAAAACCAACTGGATTTCAACCTTTTATTCCCCTTTTGGAGTTTTATAGAACAGTTTTACTTTGGAGCCAGACATAGTGGCACACACCTACAATCCCAGCACTCTGGAAGCCTAAATGGGGGATCACTAGCTTTAGCCCAACTCGGGCAATATAATTTAGCAAGAGCCTGCCTCAAAATAAAACATAAAAAGGCCAGATGTGATGGAGCACCCCTGTAACCCAGCACTCAGGAAGCTGAGGCAGGAGGATCGCTGTAAGTTCAAGGTCAACCTGGACTACACAGTGAGTTGAAGCCATCCTGAACTACATAGTGAGACCCTATCCCAAAAAACCAAACAAAATAAAGAAGGGCTGAGGATTGCTTTATTGAGGAGGCGCTGGGTTAGATCCCACTACTGGCAAAGAAAGCTGATGTCGGCAGCAGCACTAGCCACCATTCTATCTAAAGCAGCAACATCGTAAAAGGTAGTTCTACAGTTCTTGAAGTCATTATCCATACAGTGGAATAAAGAAAAACAGTAGCTCAGAGAGCTGCTGAATTTTCAGGCCCTTAGGATTGCTTACACTCTACTTTTAAATATGACATACGTCAAACAAACTTTTTTTTTTGGCGGTACCGGGGATTGAACTCACAACCTCACACTCCCTGACCCTCAATCAAACATTTTTGTGAGGTTAGTTTCTACATGAGATCCAAAAAGGGGCTTTAGCATTAACAATCTGAAATTTTTTTCCCTAACTTTTATTTTTTAAAACTTAAGCCTTTTTCTTTGTCTTGAATGAGTACTTGGGATTGAACCCAGGGCGTCTAGAGAGGTTTATTTATGTCCCTAAAAATTTAGCTCGAATTTTAAGTCCAACAATATTAAAAAAGAGATTTGTTTTTAAATAGGGTGGGGAGTGAAAGATTGGAAAAACATGAACCAGTAAAAGACAGCTGAACGTGTTGGCACATGCCTATAATCCTAGCACCAGGAGGTTGAGGCAGGATGATTTTAGCAAGTTTGTGCCCAGCATGGGCTATACAGTGAGTTCAAGACCATCCTGAATTACACAGTGAGACTGTCTCAAAAGAGAAAGAAAAAAAGAGGATAGAAACAAGAAAATTCACCAACTTTTAATAACCTTAGTAATATCTGCCTCAAGCAAGAAACACTAGTGAGCACTAAAATGGCCAACTTATGAAAATATTCCATATCCTAAAAATCTCAGAATACCCTATAATGAGCTCTTACAAAGGGAAAAGCTATCTTGACAACAGTGAATAATGAGACGAGCTGACATCTCAAGAATGACACAGAAGTACCAATGAGCACTCTTCTTTTTTTTTTTTAAACCGGTACCAGGGATCAAACTCATGACCACCTGCTTGCAAGGCAGGTGCTTATCCCAGTCCCCAGTGAGCACTCTTAACAGAACCTGTGTGACCTGAATCCAAACATGAGACACACTCAGGCTGGGCGTGGTGGCCCGGGCCTACAACTCCAGCACTTGGGAGGTGGAGGCAGGAGGATCACTGTGAGTTCAAGGCCAGCCTGAACTGCACAGTGAGTCTGTCTTAAGAAAACAAAAAATTAGATAAATCTAAATTGAAGAAAAAATTTTCTGTAAAAAAATTATTCTGGATTCTTTTCATTTTTTTTTTTTCTGGATTCTTTTCAAAGTGTCATGTCCTAAAAGATAAAGATTAAAAACAAAAAAAAATAAAAAAGTTTTAAAGGACTTAATATTCAAGTAGAGAATTTACATTCAATTTCCTGAGAGGTACATTTATTGTGTCTTCACAGAAAAATAACTCTTGTTAAGAGACATATAATGAAAAAAAAAGAAAAACAAAGACATACAATAAAAAAAAGAGAGAGAGACATATAATGAAGTGTTTAAGCATAAGCTATCCCGACTTGGTCTCCAATCGCTGAGGAAAAGGTGACATAAAGGTACACGTGGTGTCACGCTGCCGAGCACAGCCCAGCAGAGGTGGGTACGCACTCTACCGTATTGCTGCAAGAGGAGCCCTCGCTGTGTTGGCCAGCTGACCTCAAATGAGCCATCCCTCTGCCTCCATCTCCCGAGCAACAGGGATTAAAGACACGCTGCCTTGGCCAACTCTATTCTGACAATACTTAAAAATAAACTGGGAAAACCAACAATAGCAACAAAAAGCAAACAACCAAAAATAATTAAGCGAAGTCTATCTCACTGAAACCTTTTATGTTCTATGTTCATGTAAGCTGTACAAAGACTAACTGAAATTATAGAGAAGCCAGTGCAGAACACGCAAACCTACCCTTGGCGTCACTCCGAAACTGGGCAACACCGTGACATGGGTCCGCCTCACACACGGCCCTCCAGAAGTCCTGCTCGGCCACACTGGGGGTCTGGCCCTCGTTCTGCAGACTCAGGGCCAACATGAAGTCCAAGTTTGCAGTGTCTTCACCACCCTTTGGTGGGAGCTTTTGGCCTCTATCCTTTTCCTGCATTTGTTCTTCAACTAAAAAAGAAAAAACCAGCACTCAAGACCCATCAGAGATGTCAGCGCCCCTCTCAGCACCCCTCTCAAGTCCATGTCTAGCAAATGGTCAAGGGTTAAAATGTCCAACGCCACATGACCACCTCACCTCATTCTCACAGGTGTGTGAATATTGTCTGCCATGAGACCAGGCTCTGTTACTATTTTAATAATGTATTATTAAAAGCAGTGTGACTGAGCTCCAAAAGCAAGACAAGCACTTGGCAAACGGTTTTTAAGTATGGCATCGGACTACCTGAATTCAAATCTCAGCTGTACCGTTTACCCACCCTCCCATCACTGTCAGGCAAATGAAGCACATGTCAAGCACTGTGCAAGTGCCTGAAGCTCAGAAGGTGGTTTCTTTTGTTGAGACAGGGTCTCACTGTGTGGTCAGGCTGGCCCCCAACTCACGGAGCGCCTCCTGCCCCCCAAGTGCTGGGATCACGGGCTTGCGCCACCACACTGCAAGTCAGCTACTGACAGTCAGGACTGCCCTCACTAGCACCAGCGGTTCTTATCCCCACTTCATAGGGAAGTTAGCTATTCTTTCCCACACTAACCTGCTAGAGTCCAGTTCCTATAATGAAGATCTATTTGGCCACCTAAATCTCGGTTTCGGTTGCCCTGGGACTTTTGTTTTAAAAACAGGGTCTCACTATGCAGTTCAGGCTGGCCACAGACTCACCATGTATGTCAGCTTAGGTTGGCCTCTAACTCGCGATCCCCCTAAGTCTCCTGAGAGCTGGGATTCCAGCCATGTGCCACCACAGCCGGCTCCTGAAATTCTGATACTGTGTCATTTCCTAATTCCAAGCACAACTCACATAGATTATTCTGAACTGGAAAACGCGCCGTCACATTCCTTTGGTTGGCAGTCCTGTTGTGGAAAAGGTCTGATTCGAAGGCTCGCAGGGGCCTTCGGGGCAGCCTGGTGGGTGGGTCCAGGGCCTCGATGTGCCTGAGGAGCTGGGACGCAGCCCACATTCCATCTTGGCCCCGAGACTCATCGCACGCCGCAGGAGCCCCGGCAGCCTGGTCCCTGCTTTCCTCCTCCCCCCTCCCACAGACTGCAGGGTGAGTCTTCAGATCCTTCACGAGGACATTGCGCCCACAGCTGCTGCAAAGCTCTGTCCGGGCACCACAGTAATCTTCATGTTCCTTCAGTTTGAGAACAGAAAGCTCCAAGTCGCAGTGCTGGCAGACAGCAAGCCGCAGAGGGCACTCGGTCTCCTGCAACAAAGCAATGAGGCGGTTGACACCAGGGCAGAGCGGAGCAGAGCGAGAGTGGCCGTTCTGCAGGGGTGCACAGGGTGTCTTTGTTTTGTTTCTGACACAAGGTCTCACTATGTTGTTCAGGCTGACTTGAAACTCACTGGGTGGCCCACAGGACACAAAGTGATCCTCCCACCTCGGCCTCCCAAGTGCTGGGATTCTAGGCAAACACCACTGTGCCCCATGTGAGCTTGTTTCAATACAGGGAAAAGAAAAACTGTCATTTCCGTCTTCTCCTGTAGGCTGGGGATGTAACTCTGTAGCAGCGCCTGCCCTGGCACGCTTCAGGCCCTGGTTCGGTCTCCAAGGTGGGCAGAGCACATCTCTATCAATCCTAGCTCTGCTTGTTAAGCTTTCTGTATACTTGTATTTAAAAATCACGGCTTCTCCTTTTGTTTCTGCCACAAGGAAAGAAACTCTCTACTATCACATCATTCTGTGTAACACAAACACTTAACAAAGTAACCCAAAGCAGCCTGAACCGAGAAACAAATAGCAAGCACACCAAGCTGGGGTGATGGAGCGAGCATGCCCACAATCTGAGCTACTCGGGAGGCTGATGCAAGAGGATCACAAGATGGAGATCAACTTAGACAACAGCTCGAAATAAAAACAAGGATGCAGCTTAGTAACAGAGCATCCCTGAGTTTAATCGCCAGTACAAGGGGAAAAAAAAAGCAATTCAGATTTTTTTCCCTAAAGCTCCAATTTCTCCTTTCAATTACAACTCAGTCTCAAAGAGGAAAGAGGCCGCCCTTAAAAAGATCCTGGCTTTTCTAACTTTCATGTTTCTATGTAGTACTGGCTTTAAATAGATCTAATAACCAGGAATTACCAACGAAGATGAGCCCAGGAGTGGAAATGCACTCAGCAAATGGAGGATAAAACCTTTATGCTTGACCAAGGATGGTGGCACACAACTAGGATCCCAGCACTCAGGGAGGCTGTGACAGGAGCACCATAATCACCCAGCCTGGACGACTTGGTGCGATCATCTCAGATTAAGAATAAATAAGGACTGGGATGTCACTCAATGAGAAGGTCTTGGGTTTGATGCCCAGTACTGCTGAAAAATAAAAACAAACCTTTATACTTAACTGGAAATTGTTGATGATACAACAAAAACATTAAAATATAAAGGACTGTAACTCTGATAGACACAATCCAAAATTTAGGAGTTCAAGCATAAACTTTAACGTAACATTATTTTTAAAGTTTTTTTTAAACTTTTATCGGTACCGGAGATCGAACTCATGACCACCTGCTTGCAAGGCAGGCACTTATGCCACTAAGCTAAATCCCCAGCCCTATTTTAAAAGTTTAAATAAAACCACCATGCCAAAAAGCAAAAATTTCTTTTACATAGATATTTGGGGAGGGGTTTCTTTTTTTGAGACAGGATTTCACTATGCAGTTCAGGCTGGATTCGAACTCACTTTGTAACCCAGATTAGCCTCAAACTCACAGCAATCCTTCTGCCACAGCCTTGCTACAAGTACTGGGATTACAGGCACACACCACCATGTACCACCTGGCTCAAAAATTTCAAATAAATTGAACTCAAACTTATTTATTTATTGAGATAGGGTCTCCCTATGTAGGTAGTTAAGGTTGACCTTAAACTCATTTATGTAGCTCAGGCTGGCCTCAAACTCACAATGATCCTCCTGTCTCATTCTGCAAAATAATGTATACTACAGGAAAAGAAAAAGTTATATAAATATTTTAATTCTAATTTGGGGAGGGTTGAGACAGGGTGTCATTATGCAGTTTGGGCTGGCCTTGAATTCACTTTTATAGCTCAGGCTGGTCTCAAATTTGCAACGATCCTCCTGCCTCAGCTTCCCAAATGCTGGGATTACAGATATGCGCCACCATGCCCAGCTCTTTAATTCTAAATTTATTGAGATACCATGAGGTTACCTTTGATCTCTACAATTATAATTGCTCAAACTGGTGGCAGTTGGCTTCCAGACATTTATTAGTATGACAAATTGCTGAAGTGTGTAGACGTTTTTTGGTGGAAAAACACCAAATCATTTTTCTTCCAGTTTCTCAAGACAGGGTCCCAGTATATAGTTCAGGCTGGCCTGGAGCTTGCAATAACCCTCCTTGTCTCAGTATCCCGGACATGTGCCATCAGACTCAGCCAAATCAAATTCTAACAAAGAAGAGCTGCTATTCTATATCACATAATATAGTAACCACTATGTTAACAACCTTTAAAAAATTCTAGTAATTTATGAGAACAGCCACTACAATAAAAAGTATTAAAAAAAATTTTTTTTTAAACTCTAGAATCTCTGATCTTTAGAAAACTGTAATAGCCTGGCTTGTAGGAATGTTAGGGAACAGTCTGTATTTGTACATTTACACTAACTGGTACACTACCGTGGGACCCCCAGAAATAACGGACAGAGGCTAGAGGAGGGATAGTTTATTGGAGGTTATCCTCAAGAGCAGCAGATGCTGGAGCCAGAGAAATACTCATGATTGTTAATGTGACTTCAATCATACCTCCTAAGTCAGTGAGTCCTACTAAATCACCAAATACTTATGGGGAAAATGCAATTAAGAGTCCCAAGGTATTTATAAGATGTTCTTCTCTAGGTTGTGGGATTATAAAATGCCTTTTGGGCTGGGGATTTAGCTCAGCGGCACAGGCACCTGCCTGGCAAGTATGGAATCATGAATTCAATCCTTAGTACCAAAAAAAAATAAATAGCTAAATTTTTTTTCAATTTTTCTACATTGAGTATGTTGTAAGGATGATTATAAATTAATGAAATTACTTTTTTTTTGAGGCACAGAGAACAAAATGCTCCAATTTGAAAAGCATACCTTGATGACTTTTTCTGTAGAGTCTTAGATGACCATTATCTAAATCAGTTTTAATTAGTGAATTAAAACATGCTGATTCAACTTTGGTCAAGTTATCTTAAGTACTGACCACTTGATATCGTACTTTTTCTGACCAAATGCTGAGAACCAGCATGCTATCCAAATGATGGAGAACTCATAACCAAAATACAACACGTAAGACTGGCTATGTGCTGGTCAGGCTGCCCTGTACCTACAACACTGGCCTTGGTTCGTCCTCACTAAGGCTGCCAACAGCCAAACCCCAGCAGAAATGACAGCCTTGTTCCCAAGGGAAAGAATCTGAGGCCTGAGCCGGAGTACAATAGACAGGTGGCCAAATCTGGCAGCAGTCGAAGCTTCAAATAGGCTTTCAGAGGCGGTCTGCATAGGAGCTGCGGGGAACAAAGACTCCACCAGAGGGGCTTGTGCTCTGCAGGTGGCTCTGTAATCCCAGCAGGACTGGCCTTGGCATCCTCCTGGTAGCTCACTCCCCTCCCAAGTGCAAGACTAACCTCATGCTTCTTTAACTGCATCTTCTCAAACTTCTTGTTGCATTTGCAAGTCACCTGGGACAGGAATGAGAATCAGTAAGTGGTTGTGACGGTGTGCTCATCTGTTACTGCACACATACAGGCACAGTACATCCAGACAACGGCAAGTACTGCAGTTTCTGAAGGCCTGTGCAATCGGCAGCTCACCTGACAGTGTTCCGCAGTCATGTGGGTCTCCATGTCAGACTTGGGAAACGGCTCCTTGCAGATAGGACAGACACCAATGTTCCTCTGACAGTGGATCTCATGGATGGTGAAGTTAAACACTGGAATTTCTTTTTTGCTACAGAAACAGTCCAGAGAAAAACATAAGCATTACTAACTGACCTTGCACAATGGTATCACACAGAAGTTGTTTTTGTTTTGTTTTGTTTTGTTTTGTTTTTTTGAGACAGTCTAGCGATATAGTTCAGGCTGGCCTCCAAGCCATCCCCCTGCCTCAGGAGTGCTAGGATTACAGGGCTGTACCACCATGCCCCGCTGTCCTGTTTAAACATTAGTGTTCACTCTCTTTCTTTAGTGAATAAATGTCTACGAACTTATGATTGTTATCACTGCACTTCTCAAGAACTAAATCCTAAACAGAGCATGGTGGTGCATGCCTGTAATCCCAGCACTCAGGAGGCTGAGGCAGGAGGGTTGCCTGACTTCAAACCCCTGCCTGGACTACAGTCAGGGCCAACCCAAACTATATAACAAGGCGCTGTCTCAAAAAACCAAAGTGTGGGGCTGGGGATTTAGCAAGCAGGCAGTCGTGAGTTCGATTCCTGGTACCGATAAAAAGGAAAAAGACAAAAAAAAAACAAAAAACAAAAAAAAAAAAACATGTAAACTTGACAAGGGTATGTATACCCTCACACTAGAGGAACATGTACTGTTCAAAGGCTGTATTTTTAATTCACTTAGATACAGCCACTGGAAAACTCCAGGTGCAAGGTAGCTAAGAATGCACCAATTAGCATGACACCTAGAATAGAAATACAGAAAAATAAAATACCGAACAAGACCAATACAATACAGCAACAACCTCAACAAATTTGTAGATGACATCTATGTGGCTCGGGCTGGTCTCAGGCTTGGAGCTCATCTATCTCCCGCCTCAGCCTCCTGAGTAGCTGACACCCAGCAGCACAGGTCACCGTGTCCAGCAACAAGTCTTCAATGTCCTATTTCACCTCTAAGCCAACAGTACAAGAACCCTCTCCCACACCAACATAGGAATAGTTTATTTCCATTTTACAGCTTTAATTTTAATACATAATCCATGAAACATTTTGAAGGAGGATGATACGCTTCCAGTTATGGTCATTCTCTCAATATGAAAGGCCAAAGCACCAAACAAATACAAATTCAGTTTCCTCCAAAGACAAAACTGTCAAACTTTTTGACAGTTAGGGATCATGATCTTAGGGATCCCACGATACCCTAAGAATATGACTGGCTAGTGAAAGAACAACTGACAAACAAGAACACACAGCTGAATAAAAAGGGAACCACTACAAGACCTGACACGTTCAATTTCCATTATTTCTCCCAAATTCCTAGCTTTCTACGCAAATTATTGGTTTTAAATTAAATTTTTAAAACTGTAAAATAATATATACTGAAAAGAGCTGTACCTAAATCACCATTTATTTTTTTAACCTCTCGCTCCCCAGTTCTGAGATTCAGCACCGAACCTGGGATCTTCATAGTGAGCTATAAGCCAGTTCCTGTCTGAGTCAGGTCTCTATGCAGTTCAGGCTGCCCTTGAACTCACAATGTAGCCAGGTTGGCCTTGAACTTGCAGCAATTCCTCTGCCTTTGCCTAAGTCTAAGTACTGGGATTACAGGCTTGTGCCACTATGCCTGACCTGAAGCTCATTTTAAAGATTAAAACCAGTAAACTATAACTACTGAAAATAATATGGGACCAGGGATATAGTTCAATGGCACAGTGCCTGCCTGGCAAGCACAAGTTCGTGAGCTCAATCCCCAGTACCACCAAAAAAAAAAGTCTAAACAAAGCAGGTGAGCCGGGGATTTAGCTCAGTGGCTTAAGTGCCTGCCTGGCAAGGGTGAGGTCATGAGTTTGATGCCTGGTACCAAAAAAAAAAAAAAAAAAAGCAGAGGATAAACAAAGCAGGTGTGAATAAGCATGTACCTAACCCCACTAGGGGCTGAGGCAGGAGGGTCACAAGTTTGAGATCAGTCTGGGCGACACAGTAAGTTTAAGACCAACCTAGAACATAGCAAGAGCCTGTCTCCAAGGAACCAAAATTGTAAAAAGGGTTTAAACAAGAAGTTTTAAATGGTTCACAAAGTAAAAGCAGTGCCTTATCATGATTGAGTCACAAATGCTATGAAAAGTTAAAGTCACTTGTCATTACTTAAAGTGTGTACATCCCGGGTCCTTTTTAATCATTTTGGCAATGTCCCTTTTTTATTCTACAGGGCTGTTCAGAATAACCTGGTGACATGAATATTCTATGCATGGCAGACCACTGAAACTTTAGAACTAAAACAAAATGTATTAAAGACCACATGAAAATAATATGAAGAAGAACCAAAAGCAGCTGTAAGGTTAAGAGAATCCTTAAAAGAAAAAGGTAAGAGGTATTTGTAACAATCACATACACACGGGTAGGTGTATGTTTGTGCCCACGTGTGCACCTGCCTGTGTAGTTAATACTGTGTGGAGGCCACGCGTGAGGCCTTAGCTGTCTAGGACTGGTAAGAAATCCAACATATTCTCACCTAATATTCCAGCCAGGTAAAATACTAATAAACCAGCTCCCTACCAACAGAAAAAATGAAGATGGTTTCAGAGAAACAGTGATAACATAGTTCCATATACCAATAATACCATTAAAAGTTCCAAGGAAAGCTAAGTTAAGAGGTGAAATTTCATTTTAGATAGAAATGATTTAAAGGTAAGCCAAGGCTTCCAGAGAAATCTCTAGTAGCCAAACACTAAACACAATCAGAAATCTACTCCTGTACACAGTATATGCCAAAATAAAACACAAAAGCCTTCTGCCAGGCGTGGTGGCACACACCTCAGCCTCGCAGCGTTCAGGAGGCTGAGGCAGGAGGACTGCTGTGATTGCAGGAACAGCCTAAACCACAGACTCTACCTCAAAAAAAGAAAACTAATTCTATGCAGAGAAAGAATATTATGACCAGCAGTTACTCTACTTACACCCTAATTCTGCTTAAAGTTAGGCTGTCCAGAAAGAAAAAACAATACAAAAGAAAAAAAGAAAAAGGAAATATTTGGCTCAAACTTTTCACTAATCTGCACCAAATTATTTTCTTTACTTCACATTTCTCTCCATATACCACAATTTGGTAAATTGAACACAGGCTATCAAGATCTGCTTTGGGTTTTCTTTCAATAGGAGCACTTTGTATCACCAAATATTGGAATAAATTGTTAGGGAACCAAGTAATTAACTGGAGGTCTGGGTTTCATTTCAGCAAGAATGAGTTTTTCCTTCTAATCATTTATGTGGGTTAGAAACAGCAAAATGGAAAGTTTAACCTTCAAGACTATGTCCAACCCTCACAAACAGCTCTGCAATCGTGAAATGATTAGCCTGACTGCCTGGAGCTCAACGAGCCGTGCGGGGTGGTGCAGGCCTGTAATCCCAGCACTCGGGAAGCTCCGATTTTAGGAAGACCCCCAGGAATGGAAGCCAGCCTGGGCTACACAAGCAAGTTCAAGGCCAGCCTGACTACACTGGGAGACTCTTAAAAAAAGGCTCAGTGAGCCCCATCTCTCCCTTTTAAGCAGCAAAACTGTATTTAAGAAAGAGCTACAGCTGAGCTGTTCTGGTTGAACGGCTGTCACTAGAAGTAGAACCAAGCTCACTAATTCAAACAGCCACTTCGGCTGCTCTGGGTTACTGTTGCATCATACTTTGGGAAATGCTGATACAACCCAAATATTCATTATATGTTTCTTACCTGTTTACTATGTTCCAAGTTAAGTTCCCCTAAGTAGGTAAGGGAAGTGAGATTCTAGGGGCGGGGGAGCACAGCAGTAAAGCACTTGCCTGGCATATACAATGTCTTGGGTTCAAAACAAAACAAAAGGCTCTCAAGCAGTCAAGTGATTCTCTAAAAGATTTTTGGGGTTTTTTGGTTCTTTTTGTTGTTGTTTTTTGGGGGGTTTTTTGGTGGTTCAACTGGGGGTTGAACTCAGGGCCTTTACTCTGAGCTATATCCCCAATCATTTTTTTTTTTGTTTTTTTGACACAGTGTCTCAGTATGTAGCCCAGGTTGGTCTAGAACTCATGATTCTCCTGCCTCAGCCTCCAAAGTGCTGGGCCTTATAGGTATGTGCCACTCTGGCTAGCACTAAGTCATTAATTAAAAACAGAAGCCAGAGCCCTGATTCCCGGTCTCATGCATCAATCTAGGCACTTTGCTATTCTACATAATAAGCCAAGCATCTTGTTAAATTACTAAAGCAGGTAATTTATGCAAATTTTTGTTAAAAAGTGTTAAGATCATTTATTTGAACATCACATAGTTCCAATTTTACCTACCAAGAAATCAACAGCCCTACAGAAACTAGTTTGTGCTCATTTCAATAACTTTCCTTAAAATAAACTCACCAGTTGCCACACAGTCGAATATCCTGGTCATCTAGAAATTCAGCCATCTTTAGCTCTTCCTAAAAACTACAAAGAAAGAATCGTGAACTTTCTGTTTCATTTCTCCCTTTAAGAATGACATGCAGAAATTAGTAAAACGCTATTTTACAGACAATGGGACCAAAGGCAGCACAGGAAAGAATTTTTCACTGCCCCATACCGACCCTTCTCCTGCCCTCCTCTTCCTCTCTTTCTGCAGTACTGATGACTGCACCCAGACAGCAATAAGCTACATCCCCAGCTCTTCTTATTTCTGAAACAGTCTCACTAAGTTGCTCAAGTTGGCCTGTAATTTGTGATTCTCCTGCTCTAGCCTCCCAAGTGGCTAGAATTAGAGTGGGACACCATCACACAGCTTACTTTTTAAATTTTTAATTTAAAAGAATTTTACTTAGAAAACCAGTTCCAGCAAAACAGTACAAAAAATTCCCTTATACTCAAGTTCCCTAAAAGTCAACATCGTAAGTGACCACTGTAAAATTCTCAGCCATAGGAGATTAACATTAATTACAGTGTAACTAACCAACAGGTCTCCCTCAAATTTCAATAACCATCCTACCAATGCCCTTTTTTCTAGATCAGTATCCATTATTTCCCTTTAATTTTCTGTGACCTGGGATGCCTGTTTAGTATTTATCTTTCATGACTTGATCAGCTAAGTAGTAGCTTAACTAGTGGTGACTCACTACTAGCAGTTGATAGTAGTTTCACTAAGTCACTGGATAGTTATTTTTATAAAATCTCAATTTGAGTTGTCTGCTTTCCTAGGATCAAATTCAGGCTGTACCACAGAAATGACCCTATTGTCCACCTTGGTGCATTATGTCAAAGGCATACGACGTCAACAGACTTATTACTGATGATGTTAAACCTGATTAGGTAATTGAAATGGTGCCCTCCAGGTTTCTTCACTATAAATTTTTTCTATCTTTTTTTTGTCTTTTTCCTTTTTATCGGTACCGGGGATCGAACTCAAGACTGCCTGCTTGCAAGGCAGGCGCTTATGCCGCTGAGCTAAATCCCCAGCCCTGATTTTTTTCTATATTTTTAAACACGATGCCAATGTAGAAAGCAAATTACTGGCAACTTTACTACTAATGTTTGTTATTTTAAAAATGCCCTTAAATACTGTTCCGTAAGAAGAATCTACAATGGTTTTGGTATTATCAAACCCACTGCCACATTTCAAAATATATTCCTTTACCAATTCAATAGGTCAGTTCAGATCCTATAAGGATATTTTACAAATTAAAGAATACAGTGCCTGACAAAAGAGCAATTAATGGCCAAGAAAAGCAAGCAAAAACTGAATATAATCAGAGGTGAGTCTTTTGCTGCTGTTTTGGTACCAAGGATTGAACTCACCACCTCGCGCTTGCCTGCAGGAAGTTACACTGCTGAGCTAAACCCCAGCCCTAAGGTGAGTTTTTTTAAGGAAAAGACATATGAGGATGGAGGATGGAGAATGGAAGGGTGGTCAAGGAAGAACTTTCCAAGATGACATTTAAACTAAGACTCAAGTATAAAGAGCCAGCCAGGCAAAGACAAGGGTGGAGGAGGGAGTGGGAAGCCCCGTGTAATTACTGGGAAGAGCAAAAGGCCTGAGGAGATGAAACAGAAAGTAAAAGCACATGTGCACTAAGCTTATTAAAAAGGAAGGAAGCCTGGCTTAGCGATCCATCCCCACAGTGCCAGCACTCCAGGAAACTGAGGCAGGAGGACTGCAAGCTCAAAGCCAGTCAGGGAAATACACAGCAACTCAGTGAAATCCTGTCTCAAAATTTAAAAGGAGGCTAGGGATACAGCTGTGTGCGAGGGCCTGTCCCAGGACTGCCAAAAACAAAATGAAAAAAGAATGATTTGCAAAAGCTGTATCTTGTAGGAAACAAGGGATTGGATCATACTCCAAGCCCAGTGGGAAACTACTGGAGGGCTTTTAACCAGGGACTGACACCATTCAAGATACCCACTCCCACAACAAAGGTCTCCTAGGAATAGAATGCCCCCCTCTATGAAATCGAATCTCGCTTCCTGAAGGGGAGGGCCTAGATACCTTTCCCAGGGCAGACTGATTGTTTGTAGGTGTGCGTGCTCACCTGCAGGCCACTACACAGCCAACTCTAAATCCAGGCACAGAGAGGCGCACACCACTCCCTAGCGTGCCACTCAACTGCCACAGCATGCAGCTCGGCAGCAGGCAGCATCTGTGCCCAAGGACCCTGACTCTCACCTCCCCTTTGGCTCCTGCCTCAACGCTGCTCCCAGCCCTGCCACGGCCTCCGCATCATCAGGCTGTCACATGTGCAGCTTGGCCTGGTTTCCCTGGTTCCCTGATCACTAGCAAACACGCTGGGGTCACAAGGACAGCCTGGTGGTACGCTTGCTTGTTGGTGTACTTGCTGGTGGCCCCCAAAGCACGCGGGAGGCAGCTATCCAGAGCGGCACCAGGGACCACCTGCTGGACATCAGCAGCGGCAGCCACACTGCAATCCTGCATCAGCTTCCACCCCCAGGTGCTCCCAGCGACCACATGGGACACCAGCGACAGCCTCCTGGAACTCTCCTGCTGGCACTCAGGGCTGTGGGCATCTTAGAATGGGCAGCTGGCTCTTCACTGCTCTGAGGACCACAGGCCTACCCTATCATCCTCCTGCCTTCAGCAATGAGTGCAAGCTCAAGGGGACACTTCTTCCCAGCAACTACAGCCTACCCACCCTGGGGCTCTGCGTAAGGACCTGAGGACTGAGCCGGGCATGGGGGCACACACCTATAATCACAGCACTCGAGAGGCTCAGGCAGCAGGACTGCCAGAAATCTGAGGCCAATCTAAACTATGTAGTGAGTGCTAGGCCAGCTGAATTACAAAAAGACACCCAGTCTCAACAAAAGGCGGGGTTGGGGCTATAGTTCACAAGCACACTAGTGGGGAATTAGACAAGAACCCTCATATAGTATCAGTTAGTATGTTATACCATGGATCAGATAGCTTCAAAACTTGTGAGCTTCAAAACTAGCTCATAAATACAAGCACCTGCTGGCAAGCACAATTTTCTGAGTTTGAGTCCCAGTACCAAAAAAAAAAAAAAAAAAAAAAAATGAGGACCAAGAGGGGGAATTGAGTGCCTGCTGCCAGTCACCCACTTCCTCTCCAGGCTGTGACCGGCCAGAAGAGCTTGCCTCAGCTCCCAGAAACCTCTGAGAGGTGTACTTTCTTTGGATGAAGAGTTTAAAGTACAAGCAGAGGTACGGGATCTTTAAATATGTAAAATGTGGTATTTATACACAATGGAGTACTACTGTGCCCTCCAGAAGGATAAACTGGAGTCATCTGTAGGAAAATGGATGCACCTTGGGACCACAAGGTTAAGTGAACTAAGCCAGACACACTAGCTTAAGTATCACATGGTTTCTAAAACCAAAACATAATAAAGTAAAAGAAAGATAGGCCAGGGCTGCTAACACATGCCTATAATACCAGCACTCAGGAGGCAGTGACAGAGTACACCACAAGATCAAGACCTGGTGTAAATTACCTCAAAAACAAACAAAAAGTCAATCAATGTAGACAGAAAGAAACGGAGATAAATCTCTGGCAAAAGGGGAGGGGACTAAGGGATGGAGGGTGGAGGCTGGGAAGAGAAAAGGAATAAAAAAGAATTAAGATGTGTTATGGACATCTACAACTCCCCCAAACAAATTTAATTATTATGTACTGCAAATATGTACTACTAAAAATAAAAATAAACTACAGCATGACCTTAGCTAAGGGAACTGCCCAGTTTTCTAGCTGCACAGAAACTGGGGGTAAGAGAGTCAGATCCCTGGGAATTAAGTTCCAGTTTCTGTGATCAAATCCCTTGGGGATCTGACTCCTGGGGCAGACGACTGACAACACTTCCACCGGCCGTAATGAGGAAGCAATGGGCGAAAGCTTGAAAGGGCTTCTCCAGAGGCCAGGCCCGCACCAGAGCAAGCAGCCGCTTCGCACTGCAACAGCTGATCCCTTACACCTGCAGCCGCTTCAGTTCCCGGCCCCACTTCTGGGCGGTGAAAGCCAACGTCCCCACTCGCGACAGGGAAGGCGGAAGTGCCAAGCAGTCACCGCCGTGCCAGCTGATCGGAGTGGAGGCTCGAATCCGGGTTCCCCAGCCAGAGCCGCACCAAGCCGCTCGCTACCCCCACGCCCACAGCTCGAAGCTCGGGCTCCCCGCCCAGGCCGGCATCAGGCCCAGCTCCGCCCCGGGCTCCGGGGTCGCCGCCGGCTGCCCAGAGTCCCGGCCCCAGCCGCGAAGGAGCTGGCGTCCAGGGCGGCCGCCACAGTCCGGGTTCCCCGAGGAGAAAGCGCGGCCTCCTCCCGCCGCCCCGAGAGAAGCCGCGGCCCCAGTCCGGGCCCCAGCATCTCCTCGCACCAGCGGCCCCCAGCCCGCACGCCCTTCCCTCAAGCGCCCGCCACCTCCCGGAGCGGACGCCGCAGAAGCAGCCGGGGCGCAGGCCGCCACTGCCCTTCACCTGAAACGACAAGGGGAACCCTGAGCCGCCAGGCTGCCCACAGACACTGAGCCTTCTCAGCCCCCTCACTGAACAACGGCGCCCAAGCCGCCTCGCCACTTCCGACCTTCCGCGGAGGGGCGCGCCCATTGGCTAAGGGTGGTCCCCACTGAAGGCCCATTGGATAGCACTGTTGTCTCTCCCAGGGCCCCGCCTTCCGAGTCCTGATTGGTTCCCTGAGCTCCATAGGGGCGTGCCTTTAGAAGCCTCAACCCTCGCACATCTGGAGTGAGAGGGAGAGCTTAATGCGAGGTTTAGTAACTTCTGACTCAGTCTAGTAATATTTGCGTGAATAATACTGTGCAAACGTTACTAATGTGCCTAATATATCAAGACAGTGAATGGCATTTGTTCTTTTCTCATGGGCCATTAATACTGATGAGTCATATTTTTGTTTTGTTTTAGTTTTTGTTCTAGGAATTTCTAACTTTTCTTTTCTCTTCTTTTATTTTTTCTTTTCTTTTGAGAAAGGTTCTTGCAGTGTAGTTCAGGGTGGCCTTAAACTCTCTATGTAGCCAAGGTTGGCCTTGAACTACTGGGGATTCTCCTGCCCGACTTTCGTACTAGGAATTGAATTCACAAACTTCTCATTAATCTACATCCTGAGCCTCTTTTTAAATTTTTATTTTGAAACTATTTCTCACTAAATTGCTAAGCCCAGGATGTAACATAGGTGAAGGCGGATTTTAAAAAGACTTTGTACAGCCGGGCATGGTGGCTCATGCCTGTAATCCCAGCACTCGGCAGGCTGAGGCAGGAAGATCCTTGTGAGTTTGAGACCAGCCTAGGCTACAAAGTGAGCCCAAGACCAGCCTGAACTGCACAGTGAGACCCTGTCTCAAAAAGACCAATACGTTATTCTACAATAATGAAGTAGTCTGTTACTTCATATAAGTTACAAAATGAAATTAGAGGAGGTAAAAGTTTAAACTCCACCTTTTTACAATTTTACTTTTTTAAATTATATTTAAGAGATATTGGTTGAGGGCTGGGGCTCAGTGGCTCAAGCCCTTGCCTGGTAAGCACAGGGTCATGAGTTTGATCCCTAGTACCAAAAAAAGAGAGAAAGAGATTGGTTGATTGTAAACATTTTTTTTTCTTGAAATGTTTTGTCATGTTTTTTACGCAGTTGTATGAGGATAAAATATATTTTCAGTCCCATGATCCTCAATTGCAATCATTAAAAACACCTCACTCTGTTGTCCCTCTCCTTAGTTATCTATGCCTACAGTAAACTCATTTCAAGGTTTGTGTCAGAGGTATTTTGGATGCCTTTTTAAGTCAATGGAATATCCAGAACGGTCTTGTTAATATTATGTTCATCTGTAATGCATAGGGGAAACATATACATATATTTTTAATATTTTAAACAGTTGTACTGATTAATCACCACCACCCTCTGGTAAGCAAAACTGGTGAACAGATGAAGATATGGAATTCAAAGCTCTAATGGACCTTTTTGAAGAAGAAGCTGTGGCTTATGTGAAGTTGACGTGGGCCTCTGACGGAAGAAAGGTAATCTGTTTAGTATTTGTACATTTTTTTTTAAAGCCTACAGCACCCAGCATTCCCAAGCGGTCTCCCGTCCACGTACTAACCAGGCCTGACCCTGCTTAGCTTCCCAGATCAGACGAGATCGGGGGCATTCCGAGTGGTATGGCATAGATAGCATTTGTACATTTTACAAAATGGCAGCTTGTGTTATGTATCTGTTGTTATGATGCCAATGCCAGGATTTTAAGTGGAAAAAAATAACCTGTTTGCTTTGTGCGGTATACACAAGATTTCTGAGAATGTAAAGAAAAAGCGTCTTCATGGCTCACACAGTTTAAAAGTAGCCGTCACTCAAATAAATATATGCTCACAGTTGGGCTGCTTTTGTTTTATTTTAAATAAGTTGTTTCCTTTTTTGTTCCTTTTTGTTACATAGGGAGACAGGATCTCCCTACCTAGTTTAGACTGAACCTGAACTCATTATGTAACACAGGCTGACCGCCAACTCCCAATAATCCTCCTGCCTTGGCCTCCCAAGTGCTGGGAGTATGCATGTGCCCCACACTCAATAAATTGTTTCTCTTCTTTTCTGTTTTATCATAGAAAACTGAGGCCAGATAGAGCACTGTCTCCTGATGGGAGAAGAAGCAAGGAAAGGGGGGGGGGGAGGAAGGGGAGGAGGAGGAAGGGGAGGAGGAGGGAGAGGAGGAGGAGGAGGAAAAGCTAAATTGTTTCTTTAAATTGTTTTGGGTTTTTTGTTTTGTTTTGTCTTTTGAGACAAGGTCTCTCTATGCAGTTCAGGCTGTCTTTGGGCTTCCTTTGAACCCAGGCTGGTCTCAGACTTGGAAGGATCTTCCTGCCTCAGCCTCAGAGTGCCTGGATTACAGAGTGCCTCAGCTTCCCAAATGCTGAGATTTCAGGCATGCACCACCATACTGGCTGTTTTACTGTTTTTTTTTTTTTTTTTTTTTGAGCCAGGGTCTTGCTATATAGCCCAATCTCTCAAGTGCTGAGCTTATAGGCATTACAGGCGTACATCACCAACTCAATATGTAATCCAGGCTGGCCTCAGATTCACAGTGATTCTCCTACCTCTGCTGCAGAAATCAAGAGTCTGGGGATACTCTGGAAGAAACAAGATTTATTTAGTTTTGGGTGAACACCAACACAGCAGACTCATGTCTGAAAGGCCTGAGCCCCAAACAAAGGAATCTTGGGCAGGGGACTGGTGGGAAGCTGGAAGAGAGTGTAAGGGAAGCTACAGAATCAAGACAAAGGCAGTTGTTTACTCCATGAGAGTTTCACAACTTAGCCTTGAAAGAAGAGATCCCAGGATGTCACAGAACGCTTTACGGGAACATAGTTGTCAACCTTTATCAGAATCAGAGTGGAGGTCAGTAGTTACAGGGCAAAGGAATTCAAGGAGGAGCTGCTCAAGGCTAGGAGGAAAAAAACCTGATTTTCCTTTAAATTCTGCTTTACCTCAGTCTCCAGAGTGCTAAGATTACGGGTGTGAGACACCACACCCAGCTAACCCTATTTTTAAAAAATGTTTTTGAGGCAATTTATATACAAGTGTGGCCATGTTAAGAGCGTGATGTAATACATTTTCACATCCAGAGCCACCCTCACAATTAGAGATTATTCATTTAGCCTCCTGTCAATCTGTAATTGCTCACCAGATGCTGGCGTGCTGTAGTAGCACAGTATGTCTTTTCTACAGTTCCTTTTAAGTATTTTTTGAGACAAGTTCTTGCTATGTAGTTCAGACTGCCCCAAACTTACAGTGATTTTTCCTGCCTCAGCCTCCCAAGTGCTGAGCTTACAGGCATTACAGGTGTGCACCACCACACCCGGCACAATTTTAAAAAAAATTTTTTTTAAATCAGTACCGGGGATTGAACTCACGACTACATGCTTGCAAGGCAAGTGCTTATGCCGCTGAGCTAAATCCCCAGCCCAATTTTTTAAATTTTTTTTGAGACTGAGTCTCAGTAAAGTGTTTAGGAGGAGCTGACATTTATAGTCCTCCAGCCTCGGTCTCCCAAAGTGAGATGCATTTTAATTTTATAAACAATTGTCTTGCTAGGTGTGGTGCGCACCTATAATCCCAGCATTTAAGAGGTTGAGGAGGGCTACATAGCCTGGGCTACATAGTGAGTTCAAAGCTAGTCTAAACTACATAGCAAGACGCTATCTCAAAAAACACAGAGATAAGAAACTGCCAAAGTTTTCCCAAAGCATTTAACATTCCCCCCAGCAGTGTGAGAGACTTTTAGCTGCTCCATATGCTTGCCAGCATGTTGAGTGGACAAGAGAACAGCAGTCCTAAGCCAGGTATAATGGCACTCATCTATAATCCTAGCACTTGGGAGGCTGAGACAGGAGGATGGCTACAAGTTCAAGGCCAGTCTACTCTACGTGGTGAATGCAAGGCAGCCTGAACTCGTAATGAAACCGTATCTTAAAAAGCTGAGAGAGAGAGAGAGAGAGAAACTGAGAGAAAGGGGCAGTCTTATTTCTTGGGAGCAACGAATTGTCTTCCCTTGTATGTGTGGCTCAAATTCTAAATTCAGGACTTAAGGCGAAGGAGACAACATGGACTCAAAGTAGTAAGTAATAAGGTAGAAATCCCAGAACTCTGGAAGGCTGAGGCAGGAGGGTAGACACTTCAAGCCTAGTCTGGGCAATTTAGAGATTTAGCAAGACTGTCAAAATAAAAAGGGGGGGTGGGCTGGGGATTTAGCTCAGCGGCATAAGTGCCTGCCTTGCAAGCACATGGTCGTGAGTTCAATCCCCAGTACCAATAAAAAAGAAAAAAAGACTGTCAAAATACAGTAGCTCAGTGCAAAGGCCTCAGGCTCAATTACTATAGACAGCTAAATTAGGGAAAAATATTTTAGGCAATCAGATAAGACCAGGCCCTGGAGGGAGTCAGTGCAGAGGATGAAAACACATCACAACTGTAGCTAGAGGTAAATATGAAGATTAAAATTACAAAAACCAGATTTACCTACCTCCCTAAGGCATAAATGGAAGCTTGCGATTATTGGTGTCACCCTTTTGAAATTTCCCATATAAATAAACCGTTATCTCATT